AGAGAGAGAGAGAGAGAGAGAGAGAGAGATCACTTCTATAGTTGTATATTATTTATGATTTTTGGACTTACCGACAACTAGTTTATAGCCAAACTGCCTAAAAACTTGGAAGACAAGAGATACGGTGTATAAATCAAACTCATTGTCTCTTATCATCATCATCTGCATAAAACCATGACAACTAAACATGGTCTCTAACTGCGAAAAGATTTCTCCTTCAAAGTGGTAGGAGACACCGAGGCGACAAAGAGTATCAATGAATTTGATGTTCTCTATTGGCCCTTCTTTTGATGAAGCCATTAACATTTCTCTTACGGTTTCCTTTAGTGAACTCACCTTCTCTTCGTTACTCTCACTATCCTACACATCAATAGGTCAATCAAGAGTCAAGACAAGACAAAATTTAGAGTATATATATTCAACTATATATTGTATATCTTATGAACAAATTTGCATAGTATTCAATGAAATGTGACTCTACAAGTATTGGGTACGTACCGGGTCCAGACAAGAAAAAGAGATCAAGGGATCTTCCCAAATATTCACCGGAAAATCAGCTAATGGCCGATCAATTTCTTCAGTATTTATCATCTGCTCTTGCATGCTTAACTTTTTTTGGTTTTTTTTTCTTTTTTATTTATTTCAAAGTGTACTGATATTTACTTACTCTCCATGGCTTTCTTAATATATATATATAGAGGGTGATGATGAGATCATTGGATTAGCCTCTCTCTCTCGCTATTTTCTTTTTTTAGGTCTCTGATTTTCAGCAACCTTTATCATTATTTTGTTATTCAAATGGTGAGTTCTTTTTGTCGGCAAAAAAAAAAAAATGTTGAGTTCTTTTAGACGTGTAAAAATGAGTCATTGATTAAGACTTGTAAGCCTATAATGAACTAAAGCAACGATAACTTTTGTGTCTATATATTGAACGATTCGCTAATATCGCTATTAGTGGAAATTTTATAATAGACAAGTGACATAGAGATTGTGTCCGGTTACTAAAAGAGGAAGATCAATTATTTATATATTTCATCAATCCGTTGATTTAGGCTAAATTGGTGGTGATAATTCTTTGATATTGTGCTATTAAGTATATGATAAAACAAATGTTTATTAGGAGTATTATACATAATCACTATCACCATTAATTTAATTCCTTCTTTTTTAAGTGTGATTTTTTAAAAATAAAAATCATTATATGGTCTTTTTTTTTTTTTTTTTTTTTGTCATCTAAAAATCATTATATGGTCTTGAAGATAAGTTTGGAGTCTGGTGACCTCTCTAACCCACTTATGCAGTTTTATATTCAAGATAAGAGTAAATATTAGAAAGCAATTTTTTTAATTAGGCCAGTTACTCTATTTTCACTTTGCTTTCAAATTTAACATTCTCTTGCATATGTAATTAGTTCACATAAGTATAGGACAATAGAAATGTCAATTATATGACTAAAAGATTAGCATTTTGGATCAAAGTTGTATTTTCCATATAGGACCCATATTTAGATCCAAAGTCAGCTTTAGAACAAATCTTTAATAAGCCTACCATCACAACCCCAACTTTAAAATATCCAACAAAAATGGATCAAAATCTTGATGACAAAAAAAAAGAAGAATAACAAAAACAGATTCATCATACTTATTGCTTCCTTCCTCTTCCTTTCTTCACAGGTTGTGTCTCCATCTGTTCTTTCCCGGTGACTTCAGAAAGATCAACTGCATTATACACCAACAAACCCGGTCGAGTCAGTGAGGAGTCAAACCACATAGCACCATAAAACAAAAGGAGATTTCCTCTCAAGCAAGCATTAAGAGAGATAATATGCATATTCAACCGTGATGTTACATTCTCTCTTTTAAAGATCACAGAAAATAAGATTTACCATCAGGTCCTCTAGCCATCAGGGTGAAGAATATGTTATTCAGTTTCTCCATCTTCTTTGCTTCTTGTGCTTGGTCTGTCTTGAACTTGAGACACTAAGTTTAAGAAAAAGTAGAAATCAAATATATCATATACTTCACACTGAAAGAATACACAGGATGAAACAAGTAGCCTAACAGGGAGAGCTAATTAACCACAGAAGTTGATACAATGTTTAACGTCAAAAAATCCGCCTAGCTCAACGAGTTATAAAGTACTACCACACTTCAGCTAACAACCACAAAACATGCTTCAACATGTACTAAAAACAATTGCTCTGAAAGAGTTAAATAGGTCTGCTTATCTAACTAACCAATCGTCTCCACGCAGGACATGTTTCAATTCATCAAGAAGTAAGAAAACTAAGAATTATAAGCCTATTAGAATTCACATTCACCAACACAAAAACCTAAGTAACCATATAACTACGAGAAAGTACCATGTAACACCAATTCTAGACATCATCATCATGGAACCCTGACTTAACAAGAATTATACCATCAAACCATTAACCATCATTCCACGAATCAGATTATCAACTTCAATAGCAAATATTGAATCCCCTACTATTGAATCCCAAATTGAGAGAAGTATCCATTGTCATATAAGATAAACTCCACGAAGCAGTGAATGATCATAGAGAACAGGACACAAGTCAAAAAAATTACCTCTTTGTTATCAGTAACCTTGAGAACCAACTTGCCGTCACAGTGTCGATACTTCATCACATACCGAGTCTGCACCACACACAATAATCGAATTCAACATTAGAAAAACAAAATTATGAAATCGAAACATATAGATTGCGACCAACAAACACGAGGAGATTCAAATCAATTACCGAGGTTTATCAAAATTCCCAGTAAGAAATCGAGATCCAAATCAAAATAATGAATGAAATCGAGAAGAATTAAAGCAAAAACAAAGAAGATTAACCTACAGATTCGGGATCAGCTCGAAAAAGCTGAACAGATCGATCCACGAACTCGTCCCACGAAGCGATGTAAACCATTTCTATTCAACTGAATTGGCGATTCGATTTGAGGCGATTGAGTTTGTATTGAAATCTCCGGGAGACACTCGACGGAGAAGCTGAGAGAGAGAGAGAGAGAGAGAGAGAGAGAGAGAGAGAGAGAGAGAGAGAGAGAGAGAGAGAGAGAAGGCAAAGAAGACGGCTTCTTTTTAGTTTTGTTTTAAATTGGAGTGATGATCAAACCGGAATAAACCGACAAACCCGTACCGGCTAGTTAGTGTTGAGAATTAAGATTGTAAAGTAAAAACCCTAACCGTTCTTCTTCGAACCTCTGCAATTTGTTTTGTTTCATCCAAATTTGTGAATCTCTGAGTGTTCGTCTTCACCAACATGCTCTCTCGTTTGTTCCTTAGACCTTCGAATCTACGACTCGTAACCCTAGTTTCATCCAAATCAAATTCTCAGATCTTCTCCTCGTTTATTCGTCCTCTTTCCACTAACAGTAGCGGCGGCGGAAATGGTGATGGGAATGGGCGTAATCGGAATGATGCTCCGTGGAGTTTTACTGGAGTAAACGATGACAAGTCCGGACCTTTCACTTCCGATGATTCTTGGGGTTCTTCTGGAGTTGCAGGATCTGGTTCAGCTGGTGAAGAGGGGAAATGGCCGGAGGAGCCTAAGAGATGGAATATAAAGGAGGAAGATGATAAGGTTGTGTTTGATACTGGTGGAGAAATGAGTCAAGGGATTGAAACTGGACGCGAGAGGAGGGGCAATGACTGGGGGGAGACTAAGCGATGGGATATGAAGGACGGAGAGGATAAAGGCGTGTTTGGTGCTGGAAGTGAGGTGGTGAATGGATTTGGAACGAGTGGAGAGGTGAAATCTAATGAATCGGTAGGTTCTAAGCCATGGAATTTGAAGGAGGAGGATGAGGGAGTTGTGTTTGACATTGGAGGTGAGGTGCCGTTGAGCTTTGAAAACAGCTTGGAAATGGCGGAGGAAGAGCGTGTGAAGAAGGAATTAATGGAGAAAGAGGAGAAGGAGCTTCTTGAGGTTATCAAGGGTGAGATTGTCTGAATTTGTTTTACTGATTCTGAAGTTTTTATTTTAGAATGCAATGCAACAGTACTTTGGAAATGTGTCTAGATTTGGAATGAAGAGACAAATGGGTAGCGAATTTGATCACATGACTTTCCTTCTTAAGGTTAGATTTAGATTTGAGGATCAGTCAAGTAGCAAAGGTTGTGTAATCAATCTATTGATAGGCATATTTGCTGTATGGAGGATTATGCTGGTTTTTGGAAGAAGCTCGGATGTTTGAGAGTAATGAGCATTTGGGTAGAAGTGGCTAGTTTTGTGCTTATTAACGCTTATGTGTGGTTTCTGTTAATAGTTTATGGCTGATGCGTTTGCTATTAACAATTCTCAGTTTAATGAATTGAAGAATTTGTTATTTTGATCTCACTAGTAATTATTGATTCTGCTGCTAGTAAAACAGGCAGAGTAAGTTTTGCAGTTTGATTGACTTCAAACTTTACTATTCCAGGTCCTGATCGAGCATTTGGAGACCTCATTGCTAAGTCAGGTATAACAGATGAAATGCTAGATAGTTTAATAGCCTTGAAGGATTTCCAAGGGGTCGAAGGATTGCCTCCTCTGACTGAGATTGAAAATCTGCGCCGTGAGAAAAGTTCAAAGAAGTCCTCAAGAGCTGATATAGAACTCCAGATGCAAGAAGACATTGCCAAAGCACGGGTGAGACAGGTCGACGAAACGGGTAGAGCCTATGGAACCGGAAGAAGAAAATGTAGCATTGCCCGTGTTTGGATTCAACCTGGGGAAGGAAAATTTGTTGTTAACGAGAAAGAATTTGATTCCTATTTCCCTATGCTTGATCATCGTGCTGCTCTTCTACGCCCACTTGCTGAAACCAAAACCTTGGGTCGTTGGGATATTAAGTGCACTGTTAAAGGCGGTGGTACCACAGGTAAAAACCCTCCACAATTATCTCATTTCTACTAGTAGTCACTCCGAGCGTGAATCTCTATTTACACTAGCAAGCGTACGCTAGAGGATTATTTCATAAGTTAAGAGAGTAGTCTATTCTAACCGATGTTACTGTGTACTCAAATGTTTGGTTTAAAGGTCAAGTTGGAGCTATTCAATTGGGTATCAGCAGGGCATTGCAAAACTGGGAACCAGATATGCGAACATCACTTCGAGCTGGTAAGCAAAGATACAATGCACAGCTTAGCTTTATAAAAACTGTGTAGTCCTTTCAATGATTTTTAGCAGAGATATGCAACATTTGTCCAAAATGTTTTCTTTTGGTAGCCAGTATGTGTGTCTTCATGTCTGTTGGATTGAATTGTCTTGATCTCGATCTTTTTCATCTTCGATATGTTTCAGCTGGTTTTTTGACAAGAGACTCACGAGTTGTGGAAAGGAAGAAACCTGGAAAAGCCAAGGCAAGAAAGAGTTTCCAATGGGTCAAACGTTAAATCCAAAAAGCGTACGATAGCTTCCTTTTTTTTTTTTTTTGTCTCTGTCATTTTCATTGGTTCATCTACACTTATACCGGGTTTAGAAGAATCACCGGCAAATAACTTGTTCTTTTGGTTCGATCCCTTAGTTATCTTCTTGTACCAACACATTCTTGGAAACTTGAGTTTCTTTGGTTTATGAGTCGGACACATATTTTTGTATTGTTTTGTTCCGACAATATGTCCTACTTCTTCAAAAGATAATGTTCAACTCAATATGAATCATCTTATTAAGTAAAATCTTGATCCTTTTGATCAATCAATGATATACAGTATATCATATCCTCATGTTAAGGAATGTCCAAGTCTCTCTAATCTCTATTATACTATCCCGTTATGGCAAACATGACTTGTGAGTTTGTGTAAAGACTTTCCATAAAAAGGGGCAATGGATATAAATTTATTCACTTGAAGGTTCTATTTTATATTACGTGCAAGCATCTCATTCATTTTAATTTCTTCACTCCTACTACAAGTACTAACAAAATTAACAATTTTCCCAACAAAATCCTTGGCTATCCTTATTCTAGCAATCGAAGTAACTACTTTAATTTTCCTTAAAATAACATATCACTCGAAGGACTATATAATAAACAAAGTACCTTCTTGTCGTTCTCATTATCTTCTCCCAGCAGTATACATTAAACCAAATAGATTTTGCTTCATCCATCCAAGATATCGAAATGGGCATAAAAGTTTCATCAAAGATCAAAAGGATTCTCGCATCCACAGGTAAAATACCACTGACTTTTTTTTTTATAATCATGTACTTTCTTCTAACACATGATAATTTGTAAACTATTTGATATTTAGCTTCGGGTGATAGTTCAAGTCCCAAAGATGGTGATGCTGTGGATGTCCGAGAAGAATATGCAAACGCCTTTCGTACAGAATCATACAACCAGTTCTGGTCACGTGTAGTACACTTAAGCCGGAAAAAGTCCAAGGTGTCTTCTTCTTCTTCTTCATCACCGATTGAATCATCCTCCACATCAGCTCGTCTCATGTCATATCGCCTCTTCGCACACAATCTCCTAGACCCGGATCCGAATACCATAACCCGGATACTGGATGCATCCCGGGTCGGACGAACCGCACGAACCCTTCTCTCTGATTACTTCTTGGAGACGGCAAACGCTTTCTTGCTTTGCACGCTGCTACTTAAAAACATTCATCGTCTTCGTTCTAAATACGAATCTTTGAAACCCAAATTTCAACCAGAGAATCATAGTTCATTGGCTCTTATAGACCAATTCACGGAGCTATCAAGATGGTTCGACCCGTTTATCTCGTCCGGTTCTCGGATCCAGCTAATCAGATGCGGCTGTTTAGACTTGCTAAAACGGTTAGAGTCCAGCCGAGACAAGACACGATCTAAACTCAAACTCATTAACGGACTAACACACAGCTCAGGGCTTCTCGTTCTGGCTCTAACAACTACATTGATTGTAACCATAGCCTCTCACGCCTTTGCTTTGTTTATAGCCGGTCCGACTCTTTTAACCGGTAGATTCAAACCAGCCGGTCTAAGAAACAAGCTAACAAAAACCACAGCTCGGCTCGACGTGGCTGCTAAAGGAACTTACATCTTAAGCCGTGATATAGACACGATAAGCAGACTAGTGACAAGGATTAACGACGAAGTGGACCATGTTCGAGCAATGGCTGAGTTTTGGGTAGGGAGAGGAGGGTCGGGTCGGGTACGAGGGAGTGAAGAAGTGGCTCGAGAGTTAAAGAGATGTGAAGAAAGCTTCAGTGAAGAACTTGATGAACTTGAAGAACATATCTACTTGTGTTTCATGACTATCAATCGTGCAAGAAATCTTGTTGTTAACGAGATTTTGGATTCCAATGATCCACCACCTTGTTCTTTCGCTCCCATATCCAAAACAAAATTGTAGTCTTTTTTTCTTGTCAATTATTATCATTATTATTATTATATAACAATCCATTACATAATTTTTTTGGAATATTTAGTATATTGTAAGAAAAATGGTAAATGTCTTTTTCATTTACCACCACAAACTTTCCTTTTTTTAATATAATGGAAAAATTTACATTACCGAAAAAAAATATAATGGAAATTCTAACATTTGTCAAAAGAAATCCAAAAATGGCAATTACATGTGTCGGAAAATTAGAAAGAGAGGTCTTTTAACTAATATTTTTAGACGACCATTTTGTTTTTGTGTTAGGAGAGACTCTTCAGACTCATTCATAAAAATTTGAAGTTTTTTTAGCTTTTTTAATATCCTCTTTCGTCCAATTGTAGGTAAATCGGTTGACTCAGAAACACCGAGTCAGCGACTCGTCCGAACCATAAAAAGCGATTCCAATTCGGCGAATCTCACGAGTTCCGCTTTTGTATATATAAAGTCGCTTTTCGGGAATATAGAGAAGAATTGAACAAATGCTTCTTCTTCTACAGAGATAGATAACGAAAAAGAGAGAGAGAGAGAGAGACTGAGAGTCTAAAAGGGGAGAAAAATAAATATGGGCGAAATCGGTGGAGAAGAACTGGTTTTAGATGTGGATGAGACGATCTTCGTCGCGGTGGCGGAAGATGTGGAGAGGAGCAGAACCACCGTGTTATGGGCGGCGCGTAATTTCTCCGGCAAGAAGATTTGCTTGCTTTACGTTCATCGAACTGCTCGTGCTGCCTCCTGGAGTGAGATCTTCTTTTTCTTCTTCTCTTTCTCGTTTTCTAAATTACTTCTTTGTGGTGAATTATGGATTTTGGTATAGATAGATCTGTCTGTTGAATTATAAAACCTAAGATAGAATCGGAATTTTGAAAATTTTCTGGGAGAAGTGTGCATAAAAACTTTCTATATATTGCTCATGAGTCACAGATTTTAAAACTTACGGAGTTTGAGTTGAGATTATCTGTTTGTGTCTTTGATTGCTAAGAATAGAAGTGAAATGTGTAATTGTTTAACATTTACATGATTAGTCGTTTACGAGTTTGGAACAAGTATATAATGGATGATGACTATAATGTGGTCTTAATGTAAAGATTAGATTAACTATGGTGTTTCTGTACATTGTAGAAAACACTGTAAACCGATGGTAGCTTTAGCTGCTATTTATAGTATTTATTTTTGCCCTTTCTCTGTCCATTCCCAAGGATATTAAGACTTGTATACCTGCAGCTCACAAGAAACTTGGTAGCTTTAAAAAGCATGATGTCAAGGTGATCGAGCGCGTTGAGAAACCCAAAGTGGATGAGTTGATGAATTCTTATCTCCACCTCTTATCTGACACTGAGGTATCTGTCTCTCCTTTTTTTTTTCTGGTGTAATGTTAATTGTAATCTCACGCAAGTCATCTGTTAACTGTTTTGGTGCTCAATTTTAATTGAAATAAGCCAACTCACTTTGGATATGATTGTTCATATGATGATATAACCTACTTGGGAAAACCTTGTGTCGCGTTCTTTGGGTCGTCATAAGTCTAGAGCTTTGGCTCTTCAAATTATTAGGCATTCCTAGTCAGAATTGACATAGTTCTTTTTAGGTTCAAACAGGTAAACTTTGCATTGCGGGGCAAAATATCGAGGAAGGTATCGTAGACCTTATTGCTCGGCACAAAATTAAGTGGTTAGTAATGGGAGCGGCATCAGATAAACATTACTCATGGTAAGATATATGATTCTATATTTATATTATATTTTTCAAAACTTTTGACCTCTAAAATTTAAATAATCAGTTTAACTTTGAAATTCCAGGAAGATGACGGATCTAAAGTCCAAGAAAGCTATGTTTGTTTGCAAAAAAGCTCCTGATGCCTGCCATATCTGGTTTCTGTGTAAAGGTTACCTTATTTTTACAAGGTAAGTTCCTTAACCTTTTCCTTTCAAAAGCTGCAGAAAAAGTGCATGAGATGTCTTCAATCCTCGTCTTTCCCATGCTAACTATTAAGATACTCTATTGAAACTTTAATACACTATATTACGTCATTGGACTTTGGTTCTAGGATTCAGTTGGTCTACTACCTTCAATCAACTGCTTCTACTATCAGTTTTTTGTTTTCTACCTATATTCCTTTAGCTAAACGAAACACTCTCAAACGTAGGGCGTCAAATGAGGATAGTAATAACAGACAAACAATGCCGCCCCTGGTACAGCTGGATTCAGATACTGAGACAAGGAAGTCAGAAAAATTGGAATCGTCTTATATGAGGAGAAGATTAAGATATTGGCGTAGCCTCCTGGAACAAGGTAGCGGTTGCCTTGGATTTTGCAAGGTCCCTCTGCATATCATTTCTTTTGTTATCAGGTTTATCTGTCTCTGCGTGTAACTTTATTACAGAATTGTGCAGATGGTGACAAAGACACAGGTCAATTGGAGAGAGGGAGGGTTGAACCAAGACCACCTCCTCATTTTTCTTCAGGTTCAAGTTCTTCCTTTGGAGACCCGGTTGGTCCAGAGCCGGTTAGCCCAGAATTGGTAGACTCAGATACATTAACTACCTCAAATGTTGAGGTAGGAATTTGCTGCATCGTTGATTTTCTACTGATGATACTGGTTTTGCAGTAACGATAAGGCACTGATATTTTAAAACAAAACCACTTACGAATATATTTTTAAAACGAAATGATTTATGAGAGTAATTTTGTCTTTGCAATATATTGAAAGCTCTACTTAAAGTGAACATGATGATGTATACTTTTTCATATGAGCTAGCATTTAATCCACATAGTAATCGGGTAATCCTGCGGATTTTCAGGAAAAAGAGCGTGAAGGGGATGTAGCACGCAAAGTTCATAGGTATGACAAATCCATGCATGATATTGGCCAATCAGAGAGAACAGTCTATGGGGAAGGTGGGAACAAATGGAAAGAAGATGCCAGTACCACGGAGGCTTTATGCAAGGTTATATTTCCATTCATTTCTCAGTTATTAAAGATATGAAGATAAATCTCAAACCATAGCTGCTACTCATGTGGCTAAATCAGTACATCTTGTTACCACATGAAAAAAAAGCTTTACATGAAGAAATATTTCACTGGGGATTTGTAGATTGCTAACACTGGGTACAAAACTTCTTCAGTTGATAGATCCATGTAGGATTCATAAGGGCATTATGTATTTTACCGTAGAGGGCGTTGTATATGTTTATGTCAAGAGTTATGGTTGAATAGTTGATGCCAGTGCTGCAGATTCTTAAGCTGGCACTTTGTCAAACTTGTTTTACTGGTTTTAAATTTTAATATCATACAATCTCACAGGCTAAAGCCATGGAAGGCTTATGCATTAAGGAGTCGAGCCAAAGAAAGAAATTGGAGGAATTTCTGGAAAGAGAAAAGCATGAAGTGAAAATGGTAATAGAGCAGAACAGAGGATTCATGAAAGAACTTCAAATGGTCCAGGGTCAAAATCTTAAGTTAGAGAGCCAGATAAGGAAACTACAAGACTTGGAAAAAGAACATGGTGAGAAATTTGATACAGCTATGGAGCTCTTGAAAAGTTTTAGGCAGAAAAGGGATGAGATCCGTATTGATCATGAGAACGCAGTAAAGGAAGTGAACGCACTAAGAAGACGTGTTAAAGGAAAGACTGGAGAGTCTTCCGGGTCAGAAATACTCGAGTACTCTTTTCTGGAACTCAATGAGGCTACAAACGAATTTGATCCATCCTGGAAACTTGGAGAAGGCAAATACGGAAGTGTCTACAAAGGGAATCTTCAACATCTTCAAGTTGCTGTAAAGATGTTACCCTCATATGGATCCCTGAATCACTTTGAGTTCGAGCGGCGGGTAAAGGACTTTATGTCTTTATTAAGTTAAATCTCAATATATAGATATATGTATACATCTGACAACTTCTGATTATTTTTTGGATTTCAGGTGGAAATTTTAAGCAGGGTCAGGCATCCGAATCTGGTAACACTGATGGGTGCTTGTCCAGAGTCTCGGTCTCTCATTTATCAATATATTCCTAACGGAAGCCTCGAAGACTGCTTTTCATCTGAGAACAACGGTCCTGCACTTTCATGGGAATCTCGGATCAGGATTGCCTCTGAGATATGCTCTGCCCTCCTGTTTCTTCATTCAAACATTCCTTGCATCATTCATGGAAATTTAAAACCGTCTAAGATTCTCCTGGATTCCAATCTCGTCACCAAAATCAACGACTATGGGGTTTCTCAGCTGGTTCCGATTGATGGATTCGACAAAACTGATCCACACGTAGATCCGCATTACTTTGTTTCCAGGGAAATGACGCTGGAATCAGATATATACGCGTTTGGGATCATTCTCCTTCAACTTCTTACCAGAAGACCTGTTTCTGGCATACTGAGAGATGTCAAATGTGCTCTGGAGAACGATAATATCAGTGCAGTTCTAGATAATTCAGCAGGAGAGTGGCCAGTAGCACGAGGCAAAAAGCTAGCTAATATAGCCATCCGTTGCTGTAAGAAAAACCCGATGAATCGACCAGACTTAGCAGTGGTTCTACGGTTTATAGATCGAATGAAGGCACCAGAAGTACCTTCATCAGAAGCACCATACGGGGACCCAAAAGTTCCACGCAAGCCTCCTTCTCATTACCTCTGCCCCATTTTCCAGGTGAGTATGAAATCCTAAACAGAGTTTGAGCAGGGAAGAAGACAAAATTCTAACTTAATGTTTGTTTGGCATCACAGGAACTGATGAAAGATCCACTGATAGCAGCAGATGGGTTCACTTACGAAGCAGAAGCGATTAGAGAATGGTTAGCGAGCGGGCATGATACGTCACCGATGACCAACCTGAAGATGGAAGATTGCAATCTCATACCTAATCACGCTCTTCATCTAGCAATCCAAGATTGGCAAAACCAATGGTGATTTACTTTTGCCTTCTGGCTCAGACACAACTATTGCTCTGCATATTAACTCCCATTATTTTTTAGATTGTCACTTTGTAAAGTTACCCCCCTAAACGTATGGGAAATATATATAAGCCTTACATATATGTCGCAGTTATAATACAAAACTGAAGTTTACTTACTGTAATCATATTTAAAGTTCTAATTTCAGTCTCTTCCTTTTAAATGTTGTTGATACACATAATACGACGACGTTCCTTATTCCCGCCAAAGAAAGGATAATATCAAAGCGTTGAAGAGATGTTTTAGTCTAGATTGTCTTTTGACTGTTAGGTGAAAGGCAAATCAGAGTCATCGGACATTCTTTGCGTCCTCACTCCTCACCTATGGAGAATTTCACCAATCACCATCATCATCACTAATCTCCCATGGATTTCACAGATACCGGTATCAGCCGCTCAGATTCTCCTTTCTCCAATCAAGACAATGACTTCCGACAATGGAATCACTCTTCGTTTCTCCGTCTCCGAATCCAGATATTTGAAGCGAGTTATCGGAAGACTGATTTGATTAGAGCGAATTATGAGTTGACGGAAGAGAGAGACGCACTTAGGCGAAGAAACCGTGAGCTCGAAGCTGAAAATTATGAGGCTGAGCTGACTAGGGAGGAAATGAAGAGAGATCTGGAAGTTTATAGAGAAAGAGTTAGTGAATTGGAAGGGGAAACGAAGGACAAATCCAAAATTATTTCGGAAATTGCGGAATCCATACTATCTGTGGAAGATCGCTTGTCGAAGTCGACCAGCTGTATAAAGGAAGAGACTATTCCAGCAGAGGAAAGAGGGGAGAAACTGGAAACAGAGGAATATAAGTCCCGATCAACGTTGGAGTTAGTCAAGGAGGTTGAAAAGAAGTTAGAGACGTTCATAGAAACTATAGAGAAGAAGAAGATGGAGCTAAGCAGAACTGTGGAGTTTTTGGAAGAGGAGAATAGAGACATCAATGTCTTGTTAAGGGCTGCTTTCTCTGAGAAACAAACTGCAGAGAAGCAATTGAAAGAGATGAATGAGCAGAAGGGGTCGGCTTTGCTGCAAATCGCAGGACGAGGGTTGCAGAGAATAGGTTTTGGTTTTGGCTTTGGGGAATCAGTACAAGAAAGCTCAGAAACGGTAAGTCTCAGCAAGGACGAAGAAGAAGAAGAGAATGGTGTGGTATGTTTATTACTTTATTCACATTCATGTGATTCTGTCTTTTAGCATCAAGAAAGAATCAAACCAAGGTTTAACTATAATAAAACCTACGGCAAGAACAGGTTATAGCAATAGAGAAGACAATGAAGAATCAACGACAAGAGATCTCTCTACTTAAGATATCCTTAGATGATATAAGGTAACAGATAGATGGTGATGGATTATGGTCAAGCTTCTATTTTGATAAATGCGCGAGAAATGTCTGAGAAAGTGAAGAGAGCTGCAATCTTCTTGCTTTTTTGACAGGTTAGAAGAAGAGCGGTTGAAGAAATTGATAGAGGAACAAACTCAGAAAATAGCAGAGGACACTGTATATGTGGACAAGCTGCAAAACCAAGAGAAGTTTCTTGCTCAAAACGTAATGTATTTGCGATCAATAGCCTGTCTTCCTTTATACATTTTCTTAATTTTGTTCACGAATCTCTTATTAAAGAGAAAATTTTGACTGATCCGAAGGTGGAAGAGCTTGTGAAAGTAGTAGCAGAGACTGATTCAGAAGTAAGTAGATGGAGAGAAGCTTGTGAACTAGAAGTTGAAGCAGGGCAACGTGAAGTCGAAGTACGCGATCATCTAGTAAGTTTCATTCACTATTCCAACTAAAAACCTCATAGTTGAAACCAAAACAATCAAACATATCTAACAAAAGACATTGTTACAATCAGATAGAGGTTTTAAAGGCTGAGGTGGAGAAGCTGAGATCAGCATTGGCGATATCAGAGGGAAAACTAAAACTGAAAGAAGAATTGGCCAAAGCCGCAATGGTAGCAGAAGAGGCAGCTGAGAGGTCTCTGCGATTGTCTGAAAGAAGAATAGCTCAACTTCTCAGCCGCATTGAACATCTCTACTGCCAACTGGAAGAAGCAGAGTCTACAGAACATAGAGGCAGAAAGTTTAGGTATGTTTGGTGTTGGCCGTTATGGCGTTTGCCTACTGCTGCTGCGAGTTCTTCATATACAAGCAACAGATCATTATTACGATATGATGCGTGATCTAGTAGTGAATTTGCACAAGAGTTGTGTAGACTACAAATAACCATAGAAGATCAATATTTTTACTTATATAAGATATAAAAGACAAATGTATGTGATGAAACCAATAGCAAAAACACGTAAAATCAGAAAATAGGTACAAACATAAAGGAACAAAATTAATCTTTATGTTGTTATTGTTGCAGAAACAGATCTGTAGCGTGTTTAAGAAGTAAGAACTGAAGAAGCTTGTGAATACTAAATTGTGAATTTGTGATGTGTCTACCAGAACGATGTCGTTTTAAGTAATTAGATTACTCTCTTCGTCAGATCTCAGATGGGCCTCTCACGCTGTACGAGAAGCCTTTAACATTACACGTTTCACTTAAATAAACGCCGTCGTTTTAGTGGAATCAAAAACTAGTAAATGTATTCCTCTTCGGCGGCCAAAAAAACCAAGTTCTCACGGCGACGAGACGATGATGGGAGAAGAGAAGAAACAAGAAAATGTCACAGTGACGACGAAGAAGATAGCTTCATCGTGCGATGTGGAGGCGCTGAAGAAATGTTTAGAAGAAAACAAAGGAGATCACTCGAAGTGTCAGTCTCAGGTAGAAGCTTTTAGATCTTCTTGTTCTCTTCCTCAACCCAAGAAATAAACCCTAAATTCGATATGGAGGTTTAAGAGATATCTTCTGTAATAAAAAACTCAGACCAATGTGGTCTGTAGTACGTTGATTGTAATGAACTACTGTTTTTACACAATACATATATTATTCACATAGATAGAGAACATGAGTCTTGCTCATTGATGCAAATCTGATTTCTCGAATGTCAAGTTACCAGACTCGTCTCGTTCGGATAGACTTTCGATCAGTTCGTCCCAACTAACTCCACGCTTACGTCTTTTCCTGTACAATGCTCTAAGAGAGGAGGTTGATGATTCACCCACCATTGGTGCAATCGATTCTGTTTCTTCTTCTTCTTCTTCCTCGGTTTCTTCTTCTTCGGTTTCGTCTTCTTGAGCTTTGTCGAATGTTCCATATTCAGAGGATATTGACTCCGCGTGAGGAACATCTAACGTTACTGCTCGTCTTAATGCTGCTCTGTACTCCAAGTTGTGCTCTCTAGCTAATGACTCTTGCCTCTCCATCCTTTGCTTCTCTGGGATCTCCATTTTATTCTCCTTCTCTAACATTAGCTGAAGAAATTTGCAGACGCAAATTTAGCATAGTAACCTGTTAAGAGGATTTCCTATCGAATGAGGTTGATGAACACTTACGTTGAGAGCTCTCTGAGCTTCTCGTTCGATCCAGATGATAGCGTGGTCTGAAGTTGCGTTACAAGAAAGAACAATATGTTCGAATCTTCCGTCTACTGGCACTGCTGTCTTCACAACCGGTGGATATCTTCCTAATCTGTAAGAAACAATTGCCAAAAAGGTCTACTTCAAAGCACATTCACATGAATCATGATGATGGCAGGCAAAACTGTGATGTATCTTCACTATAACCTCACATAAGAGATTTGAAATTGTAAACTAAGTGAGCTCATATTGTTGAGATTGTGGGTTGCTTTTACACCCATGGTCCTTTAAGCCATGTGTAAATCTATAGAATCGTGTGTTATGTACCTGCAAGGCTTTCTTTCAACGATGTGGTACATACGACCAGGAGCATAAAGCCGCCTAGGATCTTTGAGCATCTTTTGCTCTGGAACACATGTATCCTTCATGCACCTTATGCATAGCAGACATGGCAAACTGTTCACAGTAAAAAACAAAACCAATTACAAGTAAGGAGAGGAGAGTAATAGAAGGTGTCTACAGGACAAAGTGAACTACAAAAGCTCTTGGCAAGTAAAAGAGAACTCTCCATCATGAGAACACAGACTACCAAAGAGCCCTAAAGTGTCCCAGACAAACATGCTAAATATAAAGGACAGAATTTTCCGGGTTTTCTACTGTACTTATCGGACTGCAACTTGAGAGAATGTTTCAAACGGAAAAGAACAAACTTTCATTAGAATCTTAGCATTTAGAATGGTATAACTATCCAAAAGCAACTATCCAAGAAAACACAGATGATTATCTGAAACGTGATAAGATGGCTTTACCAGAAAAGAGACTTGAATATGTCTTCTAGAGGCGTGGCTGTCCTGGGCAAGAAGTCATCCTAAGGGAAAACAAATTAAAACACACAAACCTTTAGACTCATACTTTTAGAATGAACTTAGGCCATTTACTGCATAAGCCAAAAACTTGTCTTGGAAATATAGACACACCTGAAGTATGACAGAGTTGATCACATCTGCATATCTGACAGCCAAATTCAGTGACATACACCTCGCAGGAGCAATAGCGAAACACCTGACTCTCTTTCTATCAATGTAACCCAGTCTATCCGGATGCCGAACCACTAACAAAGCCAACATTGTAGCAACACCAGATCCAAGTGAATGTCCAGCAAAAGTCAGAGTATAACTCGGATTCTTTTTAACCAATTCTTTCAAAACTTTGCATTCCTCATCTAACACATAACCAGCAGACTTCAACAGCCCGTTGTGCACATAACCACCATCAAACCTCCTTTCACCAAGCTTATTATCCATAAGCATTGCATAATCACTCTCTTTCGCCAGATTCAACCCCCGGATCGCAACAACTATATCATGATGAACATGATCAAGATACAATATATAAGCTGGAGCACGGCCCTGAGTGTCTTCATAAGTCTTCTTTAGAAGCAACCAATCAGGATTGATCCCATATCCTTCCGGAGGCTCCCATAAAGGGTTTCGGATATCATCCTCGTAAACAGCTAAAATATAACGACAAAATCGAGGAACCGGTTCGAATTCATCAGTTGTTGCAAGCCCCCAATCTTTACTGTCATGGCCAGCCGTGTAAAGACAGCGTTTATAACCCCAACGCGCACAACCAAGACAGTAGACACATTCTAAAAGAGGGCAACAACCACATAGAATCGACATGAACAGATTCGATTCATACAGAGTTATAACACCATCATCATAGACCAAATGAAGCAAAGCCTTAAGGATCAACGATCAAAACATAAACTTTATATGTTTAAACCAAGAAATTTCGAAACTTTAGTACACCCAACTGAAGAATCTTGAACAAGAAGTGAGCAAATACGTGACTGAAGTACAAACCAAAGTAAAAAAAGTCAACTTTTTGAATCGGAAACAATGTAATGAAGATTCAAAGTAAGATGAAATTGAAGATTGAAGTCGTAATTGCTACTCTTATAGAAAAACACACAAGAAGAGGACTTAGATCTCACTACTAACACACTAATCCTCTGTTTCACATATGAATCAAAGATAGAGAGAGACGATGAGCTTAAAAGCAACAATCCAGGTCTATGAATTTGAGGGAAACTGTAGAAGAAAAAGAGGAAAAAGGTAAGTTTCTTCCCGTGGGAGACGGAAGAAGAAATGAAATTCACGCCATTGAAGGGATGATGCAAACTCGCCGAACTCGTGGTGGCGAACTCGCTGGACTCGTGCTCTAGAATTTGCTTTTCTTATTGTGTGACGGTAACTTTCGAGTAAAAATTGCAGACCTTTGGAGCTTTACTTGCTGTTGTGTTGTGTGAAGAAGAGATAATAAGATATATATATACTATTTATTTTTTACAATTTAATTAAGATTTTAAATTACGAGTTTTGATGATAATTAGTGTTCAAATTTAGACAGAAGAGTTAATCACATAATTAAAAATGAGAATTTAATGGTTGTGGTTGTGTAACTTGTGTTAGTCCAAATAGGTAGTTGGTTTTCATATAACTGTTGTAATTGTAAATTTCTGAAATTAAATTAAAGTTTAGATTTTGATCAGTTTAGTTTCAACTAAGTGTTAGTTAGGTGGTAAGCTGTTATCTACTGGCTTATTGTTATCACCACCTAGGGGTCAAAAGAAAAGAGTCATGGAAACTTATAGACACTTGTTTGCGCAAATCCCAAACCGGAAACACAAATTTGATTTGCCTTTGCGACCAATTGCAATTCTTTGTGGTGTGAATCAGAATTACATACAACTTAAAACTTCAGATTTTCAAGCACTGCATTTAACTACGCAATCAATAGTTTCTTTTTTTTTTCAATGAGATTGATTAATAACTAGCAAATGGCCAATCCAGCTTTTGTTAGAAAGAGCTAATACATATTCAATATTGCAATTAATTCATATCACTCTCTTCTAGAAGCTAAGGTAAGTTTAGCTTTTGTTAGAAATTTATAGTCCCTCTTCCTGAAAAATATAACCAAATTTTAGCATCTTAGCTTATTATCGATATGTTAAGTTGAGAATTTTACTTGACGTTAGAATTCCTAATGGCACCATAGTAAAAGTTCAAGACATTACATGGATTCAAAGACAAAGTTACATGAATTTGAAGCCTTGCCCACACTAGCCAACTCGTCGAGCATCTCACGTCTCTTTTCCAATTTGTTAAGAAAGTTGGGTTTTGTGGAGAAAGTTGCTTTTTTCAATCGTCTTGTGTTTCTTAGGATGTATGTGGCAACTTCTTTCTCGTCTCTTCGTTCCCATAGGTATCCTGTCCACACGAATGTCTCAAGATGGAACAACAAACATTCTGGTACACATTTCGGTTCCGGCGGATCCGGTCTCCTTTTTCACAATACCTATATAGCTGAGAACAACGAAATTTACGTAATATCATATCAACAAAGTAGGTAGCTAACTAATGAAATTGCTTACGTTGGTGAGCTTGAGGATTTGTAACTTAGGAGAACCATCAAGCATTAGTGAAAGCAGATTCCACCACTTCCATTTACTTGTACGTAGATTTAAAGATACTAGCTTATGGAAAATGCTACCACTAGGTAGGTAAGTAATCGCAAGTAAACACGAAACTATATAACTTCAAATACAATATATATATACTGGAAACATTATTTCATTAATTTAATTTAATTTATTCAATCAAATAAAATTATGGATGAAATATTCGCACATATGTGTTTGGATAGTGTAAGAATCAACTATCATTGGTTTAAACATTTCAGAAATTGCCAATCTACCAAACATTTAAGAAAAACAATGGGAGATGTTACTAGCTTCTATAAGACTATAACATTTGTGTATGTTGCTCCTTAATGTACAAAGTTAAGCAAAACATTTTTGTTTTTGCAGAGAAATGGGACTAAAATCGTAAACATTGAGTAAGAATGTATGTGGTGGCCACCTCTTTCTTTTCTATAGAGACACAATAACATTTGTTGACCTTTACTGCATTTCCTAGGAGAGATTTGATAATAAAGAACAATTTAATAAAGACTTTAATTCGACACGGATACCAACTTACCATGCCCAACAGGAGAATAAATTACACCTGATGACATATAAGGCCGGAAAAAACAGCGGCGTCTGTATATCTTCTTTTTCACGAGTACGGTTGCTAGTGATCTCGTTGGTCGACGTACCCGCTTTGTTCTGTGGCAGTAGTCTTGATCGCTGTGACTTGTAGATGGACATGGCTCAGTACGAGACTTTACCGGGTAATATGCATGAATGAGGTTAACAATGAGGGCCGTCAATGGTATCGATAAGAAGAACCTAAACCTACCCATTGGCTTCCGTAATATAGAGTCCGCGTGGGTCTTCATATCATCCATCCATGTCATAGCACATGTCCTTAATTGGGAAAACTTGGACAACAATCTACACATAATAATATAAACAACAACAACAATGTAAATATTACAATTGACACGATATATATATGTGGCCGGGGACAAAAGGGATATGATTAATTCATTACCAGGTCAAAATTTTGAGGATCACAAGTGGACACGACCTTCACAGTTGCTACTCCAGATCTCCTTGCCCGAATATCCCCATAGGGTGCACAGACACAATTCTCCTATTTGAAGTAAATTACTCGTGGTTTAATATTAATATTTTGAAATTAAAATATATTTATATTTAGTTTTATTTATTTATAGAATCACCAATAATAAAACCATATATATAATGATAATTTATTATCTTAATAGAAATGTAGTGAAAGAAAATAATGAAGATACATATGAAGTTTATATATAAGTGAACGAATGATTTTGTGAAAATACCAAAACGTTGACAAGAAATATCAAAATATAATGGTGGTTTTTTAAAAATATTATTTTTTAATATTATATTATTTGTCACACTAATAAATGAGTTTTTTTTTATGTCTAGTTTCCGATAAGTTTTGGAAAAAAAATAGCAATTTACTTAGATTTAAAACTCAATTGGTTGTAGAGGACAAAACTAGTACCAATCTTTCTCTGAGGGAGGTGAATAACAAAACTGAACTTTCACCACCAACTAAAACACTCTTGAGGGCAGCTAATACTATGTTGATGATAATAAGAGATGGGATCTGAAAGCCTTTTGCGTTTTCATAAAACAGCATACATGCAGAGGCTAAAAAAGCTCCCGCAAGATCACAATCCTCGTTGAATCTGAAAAAAAACCATCGCTATCACGAGATATAAATAAATACTCGTGCAAAAAGTTATAGCGTAGAACCTGTCTATGCCCTTCAACCAGTTTTCCACTACTACGAAAGCAAAAACGATGAGTTGTCCTCCCATACCTTTCATGATAGAGTACATGTTAGGGTAAACAACATTATCCCTAACCTCATATGTAAGTATAAGTCTGTTCCTTGTATAAATGAAATGAAACAGTATGTAAAGAAAACAATAAGGCATACACAAAGTATATCCTCCACAGAAAACTTGTTTTGATGACATAGAATTACGAGGATTAATCCTAAAATAAACAATGTAATCATTATGGCAACTGCAATTGCATGACCTCCTCTCGCAGATAGCCTAAACTCCTGATTATTATGAGGAGTCCACTGGATTAGAATCAGTTTGGGTATTCTTTTGCTCTCTTTCATGTTCAGTGTGAATCGCACTAGCTCACAAACCTCTTCTGGATTGGAGTGAGCCGATGATTCAGAAAGCAAGGCCAGAGCCAAATACCAAAATGCCAAACGGTACCTCATCATTCCAAACTAGCTGGCTACTGATGATAAGTTACCAACGTTACACATGCAGGTTTTGATTCCTATTATGTATCTCAAAGCTTCTGAGTTGTGATTTGGATGCAAACTCGTACCAATTAATCTTCTTGAGAGCGAGGTGAAGAAGAATTTAAGAATTTAAGAACAACAAAACTGAGAATAATAACGTGGCTTTGACTTTGTTATTGTTTTCCTGATATTGAGAATAATAACGGTTTAGTTTCTCTCCATTTTCCAGAAATCAATATTTAATATTTAGTTTATTTACTTATAGAAATAAATAGTACTGTACCAATAATATATCATAAATGTCAATAATTTCTCATTTTAATAGCAATAATTAATAATGCAAACTATTATAAATAATACAATCTAAGAGCTATATTTAAAAATAATAATAACACGATTAAGTAAATGTTATGGAGGAAGATAATGAAAATGTGAAGTTTATATTATTATATATATGGGGAAAATATTATCACTAGAAATGATTTTATGAAAATACCCAAATGTTGACAGGAAATAACAAACTATAATTGTTGAATATTTTATAATTTCAGTTATTATTTACATATTGTATTATTGTCTTCACGTGAAAACCACTAGTTAATATTTTGTGTTAACCTCGTTGCAACCAAAGGAGATCAAGTATAGCCTCATAAGATTGAGCCAATGAATCTCTTGAAGCACTTTTAGTATTGAGAGAAACTGTTCTATTTGGTGCAAGAAATTCAAAAACTAGATTTTCCAATGGCAACGAATCTACTCCTCAAAATAACACCAAACATTAGCATCCGACATATGGGTAGAGCAGTCGATTATACATTCTCCAATGGCCAAAACAACATAGCAGAAGTTTAACATATTAAGTAGATTCGAACACAAGGTGACATGAATTTGGATCCCAGAGCACACTAGCCAACTCGTTGAGCATCTCACGTCTCTTTTCCAACTTTTCGAGCATTTCCCTCTCGATGCGTTTTGTGGAGATAGTTGCTTTCTTTAACTGTCTTGCGTTTTCTAGGATGTATGTGGCCACTTCTTTCTCATCTCCTCGTTGCCATTCATATCCTATCCACACGAATGTCTCGAGATGGAACAACAAACATTCCGGTGCACATTTTGGTGGATTCCATTTTCGTACGTCCGGATTTTGTTTGTCATTATGCAGATATACCTGGGAACAATGCAGTTTATGTCATCTAGATCAACAAATTACCTGGAAGTGGAGCTGTGGAGAAAAACAAAAAAGGTAGGTGACTAGTGAAATTGCTTACATCTGTGAGCTTGAGGATTTGTAGTTTAGGAGAACTATCGAGCATGATCGAAAGCAGATTCCACCACTCTCTTTCGTATGTACGTAGCTCTAGACAGACTAGCCTGTGGAAGATTTTACCAGTAGGAACTTTAACCTGAGTACATTTACACAAAACAGTGTGACATTGTTACATACATTTAATACACAAAACAGTGTTAGCCCAATTGCAGAGAAAAAACAAACAGGCGAAAATGTTCAATCTTACCTCAAGGGGTGATAAGTGTAAGATAAGACGTTTGGCTGAAGTTAAAGACTCCAGAATGTTCTCATTGGTTATATCAGAAACGTTACTGATTTTTGCCTCCACTAGCTCTAGTGCCTTCTCAATCAGACAAGACTCAATATCATTAAACCCGTCGATATTCAAGTATTTCAAAGCAGGGGCATTTATCACATAGCTTCCATTTCCATAACCTCCTTCAGATCTAAGATCCTCTATGGTCAATCTCTGTAATGATGGCACCGCAATAGTGAAAGTAGCCACATCCACATTGCCATATCTATGCACAAACAAATCTTCAAGACTAGGGCAGCCACAGAAAAGATTGCAAACAGATTCTTCGTCTTTGAAGTGTACTTGGTCAAGGTACAGCTTTCTAAGAGACTTCAAACAAACCCGAGAAGGGAAGTCTAAATCGATAGCATTCTTGAGTTTCAAGATCTCAAGTGTATCATTATAACTAAACAAAACACTTGGAAGCGTGACAATCTGCTCCTCGTGATAGAAACTATCCAATACCAATTTACGCACACCGCGAGCAAATGCGGTTGCAATCCATATGCCAACATCTAAACAATCTGTCCTACCTTCAAATTTCAAATGCAAACTCTCTAGAACCGGAGCTTTATGTAAAGACAAAGACTTGTAAACATTCTCAGAAAACATACAGGGATCTATGTTATCATCATCAAACACAGGATTAAAATCGCTATCAAACTTGAGTTTTGGCAACATCGTCCAAAGAGATCTCCACCGTTTAGACAAAACACTCGTGGCTATGGCGTTATCTGTCGGAAGTGAAGACAATATCTGCAGAAGCAAAGCATCAGGCAACTCACTGATTCTGTCCTCATTCACCGCATCTCGATTACTCGATCCTAAACCATCGGTTCTGCTGTCAAAGAGAAAATTAATTAGGGATTCAATCAACAAAAAAAAAAAAAAAAATGATTTTTAAGGGTTCAAAGAGAAACATAAACAAACCAAATAAAAAAAACTTACAGTTTCTGCTCCATTGAAGTTGACAGAGGTAACAATTCGCTTGAAAACCTTCAGATTTTGCGTAAGCAACAGCTCCAAACAAGAATCCGGCTAAATCTAAGAGAATGATGGAATCACTTGTGTCGTAACCAAAATTGGAATTCAAAACTAATAGCATTAGTAGCAGCAACACTTGGAGAGATCGATCACACTCCAGAGTACATACATCATGATCTGGAGATGACAGAGGACGAAAAGTAAAGTCGCAATGAGTGAGACCGATGGTTAAAAAATCGAATCTAATTCCAACAACACATTCACAAGCAAAACAAGGAGTCTTCATTTAAATGGGCTTTTTTAAATCGGCCCAATATTTCCAATCAACTCCTTGAATTGTCGTTCCATGAATGTCACCAAATATTATTTTGGCCAAAACAGATACATACAATTTCCGTTCCATTCTCTAAAAATCATTCCATGTGCTCTCGCTTTACGAAAAGTACGCCAAACGCAAACGCAAACGCAATCTAACGCAAGAATCGGCTAAAAACTAATGATGACGATTAAGCTTCAAAACGATTCACTTGTGTTGTCATAACCCGGCCCAATTTGGAAACCCTAACAGAGTTTCGAAGCTAATGTATTAGAGATAGATGATCTGGAGAAGAGAGAGGAAGACGAGTAACGTATAAGTTACAACTTATGAGTATGAGACCGATGTGTGTGTGTTTTTTTAGAGTTAAAAATAGAATCCAAATCCAACATATATTCACGAGCAATGAATCAAGTCTTTTCTAATGGGCTTATTTATTATTAACTCGGCTTTTCTAATGCAAGGTCTAAATCCACGAAACTGCTTGGCTTTGGTTTGGTTGGCAAAATAACCTTACCAGAAAAAATGTAATCAAACCAAACCGAAGTGTAAGATGATTTGATTTGGTTTCGTTCAGTAACCATTATTAACAAATATTTTGGATTCAAAGCACTATACATATATTTTCGTAATCTACTGATATCTTTTAAAAGAAGTTATAAAATTAATAAATATGCATGATAGAGATTAAAATAGACGATGATGACACAATTCAAAACACAAATTTATTGTAATCCAAATTTACCAAAATAGAAATCCTAATTATACCAACGGTGCTTAGCAGTTTCGAACACGAGTTGACATGAATGTGAAGCCCTAACCACACTAGCCAACTCGTCGAGCATCTCACGTCTCTTTTCCAACTTCTCGAGCTTCGTAGATTTGATGGGTTTTGTGGAGAGAGTTGCTTTCTTCAAGTGTCTTGCGTTCTTAAGGATGTACGTAGCCACTTCATTCTCATCTTCTCGTTGCCATTGGTACCCTGTCCACACGAACGTCTTAAGATGGAACAACAAACATTCTGGTACACATTTCGGTTTATTCCATTTCCCGTCCACCATATCAGCTTTTATAGTACCCTCCCATAACTGAGATCAAAGCAATTCATTTAATCTTTAGAGATCATCAAAATACCTAAAAGTGGAGCAATAGATGCCAAAAACAAATGTAGTTGACTATAATGAAATGGCTTACATAGATGAGCTTGAGGGTTTGTAATTTGGGAGAACCATCGAGCATGAGCGAAAGTCGATTTTGCAACTCTTTTTCATAATTAGTACACAACTCCAACGATAGAAGCTGATCGAAGATTTTACCAGTAGGATACTTAATCTGTGCATCAGTCAACATTAGTAGTACACGTACAAAACGATGTTAGCCTAATGTACGTAGAGAACAGGTAAGGGGAAATCTTAAACCTAAATATTACCTCCTTTAAAGGTGAGATGTATAAGGAAAGACGTTTGACTGAAGTTAGAGAAAGCAGAATGCTCTCGTTAGTTATATAAGCAATGTCACAAATTTTTGCCTCCACCAGCTTTGGGGAATTCTCAATCACACAAAACTCATGCCCATTGAAATCTTTGAGGTTCAAGTATTTCAAATAAGGAGCATCTATTACATAGTATCCACCACCTCCTTCTCTATAGACATCATCTTCTAACGTTAGTCTCTGTAGTGATGGCACTGCAATCCAGAAAGTGAAAGTCTTGGGACGTTGTGAAAGCATTGGTCGACGCACAACCAAATCTTCAAGACTAGGACAGCCACATAGAAGGTTGCTAATAGATTCTTCATTTTCGAAAGATATATCGGTAAGGTGCAACTCTCTTAGGGACTTGAAACAAACCGGATAGTAAAAGTCCAAAAGAATTGAACCCCCGAGTTCCAATATCTCGAGACTATCATTACATAAACACAAACGATCGGGAAAATTTGTTGGGTAATCTAGCTCCTCAAAGGATAACCACAGTGCCAGTTTACGCACATGGCGTGCAAAAGCAATTCCAATCCATATCCCAATATCCTTAGCATGATACTGTTCTCTAACGCTAAAACCCAGACTATATAGAACTGGAGCTTTATTTGAAATCAAAGATGTGAAAACATACTCTAGAAATGTTCCGTGATAGTCATCAAACTCAAGATGAAAATTTAGAATATATAATAGCAATCATGAAAAGAAACTAATAATAGAATATACTGTTCTTAAAAAATGAAAATTTAATATATAATTAAGATATCTTAGTTATATAACATAGTAATAAAAACAAAATAAATATGTATAGATAATATTTAATACCAGTTTTTATTTTCTTGTAGTTGTTGAAAATAAATTGAAAGCAATTATTTTATCAAAGAGAAATTGTAGATATAAAAAAAAAAATATATATTATTTCAATGTCGATGGGCGTTTGGTCATCGTAAAAACTATGTCACGATATCCTTACACATAGCAATCATGGCAAATTTAAGATAAATGATACATAAGGACAAAACTATATACATATTAGTAATTAAGACATCTATTTTTTTTCTTTATACATATTAGTATTTTTCTTATAGAAATCCTAATTGAAAAGAAACTATACTACCAATTGGCAGTTTCAAGAGTACGTATCAGCTTCACACACGAGGTTACATGAATCTGAAGCCCTAGCCACATTAGCCAACTCGTTGAGCATCTCACGTCTCTTTCGCAACTCCTCGAGCTCTCTAGATTCAATAGGGTTTGTGGAGAGAGTTGCTTTCTTCAAGCGTCTTGCGTTCTTTAGAATGTACGTAGCCACTTCTCTCTCATCTCCTAGTTCCCATCTGTATCCTGTCCACAAAAATGTTTCAAGATGGAACAACAAACATTCTGGTACATATTTCGGTTGATTCAATTTCCAACCGAACGAACTAGCTTTGTCACAAAAGTTATATGTCTGCAACCAAAGCAATCAATGAAATATTAGATTGCATGTCAAAGTACTAAATGAAAGTAGAGCTTGGAATATCGTAATTAATGAATGAAGTGGCTTACGTCGATGAGCTCTAGGATTTGTAATTTAGGAGAACTATCGAGAATGAGCGAAAGTAGATTCCACCACTCTTTTGCGTATGTACTCAGCTCCAAACATAGAAGCTGATTGAATTTTATACCAGTAGGATACTTAATCTGTGCATCAGTCACCATTATTTAATTAGTAGTACACAAAAGAAATGTTAGCCTAATTTGAAGTGAACAACCAAGGGGAAATCTTAAACCTAAAAATCATAAATTTACCATGAGGGGTGATAAGTCTAAGGAAAGACGTATGACTGAAGTTAGGGTTTCCAGAATGTTCTCATTGGTTATTTCAGAAACCACATTGATCATAGCCTCCACCAGCTCTGGCGCATTCTCAATCAGGAAAAACTCACTCGTACAAATCCCTTCAAGGTTCAAGTATTTCAAAGAAGGAGCATTTATTACATAGCCTCTCTTATCTCCTTCTGTGTACATATCATCTATGGTTAGTCTTTGCAGCGATGGCACCGCAACAGTTAAGGTCTCCACATTTCCACATCTATGCATGATCAGATCTTCAAGACTAGGGCAGCCACATAAAAGGTTGCAAACAGATTTGTCGTTTTCGAAGTCTATACCGTAAAGGTACAGCTTCCTCAAGAACTTGAAACAAGCCGGAGAAGGAAGGTCCAAAACCATTGAGCCTGAGGGTTCCAATGTCTCTAGTCTATTATTAAAACTACACAAAACACTCGGAAATATCTCTAAGCCTTGCTTCTGAAATTCATAATCGAGTACCAATTTACGCAGATGGCGTTCAAAAGCAATTCCAACACACATCGCAACATCAGATTCCGAAGCGTGATGCCAATATTTAAATATCAAATGCAAACTCTCAAGAACCAGAGCCTCAGGTAAGTTCAAAGATCTGCAAACATGCTCTGAAAAATTAGATTTATGATACTCAGAATCAAACTCGAGTTTTGGCACCAACTTCCAAAGAGATCTCCAACGTTTAGACAAAACACTAGTGGCTATGACATCTTCTGTTGGAAGTGAGGACAATATATGCAGAAGCAAATCTTCAGGCAACTCACTGATCCTGTCCTCAATTACAGCATCTACATTTATCAAACCTTCACCACCAATCTTGCTGTACGTATAAAAACAATCAAAATGACAAAATATAAAGATCCTTAGTGTTCATGTACAGAAATTATAATTGGAGCTTACTACTAAGAAAACCATGATATAGGAACGGATTCTGAGCAAAACATAAATGAAACATACTGATGTTGTTCCATTTTCGTTGAATAGAGACTATGATTTGCTTCAGATTAATTAGGAACGCTCCAAACGCAAATGTAAATACTGTCTAAGGTGATTATAGATTCAGCTATGTATTTGTGTTTATATAGTATCTAAGGATAAAGCAAATATGCATAAAGAGTCTGTGATTTTTTAGTTTTTAATTTCAAACCTAATCCATAACATATAATGTACTTTATAATATATCATTAAGACATGTCTTTCCTAGATTTTATTGTAGATATTTTAAATTAGTTAAGGGTTTTTTATAACAAAAAAAAAATCTAATATTTACTTAACAAATTATAATAAATGAGGTTGACAGAAAAAAATTATAATAAATGATATTCAATTTTTCAAGAAATGGATTATTCTAATATAATTAAAGCATAGATATTTTGAATTAATTAAGGCTTCATGTCAAAAATAATAATAATAATTAAAGATTTTTAATAACATGTAAATCTATTACTCCTTAAGAAACTGTAATAAACGAAAAATTACAGATGGGAAGGTCCAATTCGGATTAAATTCGTTAAACTCGGATGAAATCAAACCATATTAAATGGTTATCGGTTTATTGATTGGTTCAATTGTAAATGTAGTTATTTAGATTAGAAAAATAAGTATGTGTAGTTTTGGAAAACAAACTTTACTTTGATGTTTTCTTTCATAGCCGAAAAGTAGATAATCTGAGAGTGCAACTATTGTAGGGAGAATATTGCGGCTAACACTTCAAAACATTCGAGAAAACCAAGATGTAGTAGCTCTTAATTATTTGCACTTCATGATTTCTGAGAAAATTATTGATGACTAAATTTGTAAATATTAACTATAGAGAACTGAAATTGGCATCTCTATTCATCATCTCTTTAAACCAGTTTTATAAATCCACAAAATAGAAAAATCCTAATTGAAAAGAGAAATACCCTACCAATTAGTATATACAGTAAAACCTCTATAAATTAATAATGTTGGGACCATGAAAATCTATTAATTTATAGAAGTATAAATTTATCGATAAATTAATAATTATTATGTATTAAAAGATAATGCTAACTATTTTTCATATAGTAAAATATTATAAATAAAATCTAACAAAAACTAATGTGTCTTTATATACATATATTTTGAAAATTTTATTTAATTATTAATTTATAATATTGATGGGACCACATATTTACAAATGATTTTCAAAAAACTTATTATCTTATTATTTTATCGAAATATGTATAAAATTACACTGGTCCCAACTTGGGACCGGAGAAATTTATTAATTTATAGAGATTATTAATTTATCGAGTATTAATTTATAGATGTTTTACTGTATTGTGCTTTCGCAATTGGCAAAACAAATCAAAATTAGTATAGTACGTATCATCAGTTTCACACACGAGGTGACATGAATGTGAAGCCCTAACCACATTAGCCAAGTCGTTGAGCATCTCACGTCTCCTTTCCAGCTTCTTGAGCGCTGTAGGTCTGATGGGTTTTGTGGAGAGAGTTGCTTTCTTCAAGTGTCTTGCGTTCTTTAGAATGTACGTAGCCACTTCTCTCTCGTCTTCTCGATGCCATTCGTATCCTGTCCACATGAATGTCTCCAAATGGAACAACAAACATTCTGGTACACATTTCGGTTTATTCCATTCCCAGCCGCTCGGACTATCTTTGCGAAGATAATAGTGATATAGCTGCCGCCAAAGCAATCAATGTAATTTATTAGATCATCAAAAAATATATACATGAAAGTACAGAGCTTGGAATGTCATAATAAATGAATTGGTTTTTACGTCGAAGAGCTTGAGGATTTGTAATTTAGGAGAACTATCGAGCATGAGCGAAAGAAGATTCCACCGCTCTTTTGGTTCATTAGTACACATCTCCAAATATAGAAGCTGATAGAAGTTTTTACCAGTAGGATACTTAATCTGTTCATCAGTCAAAACTCAAAATTAATTAGTAGTACACACAAAAAAATGTTAGCCCAACTGAAGAGAACAGCCAAGGGGAAATCTTAAACCTAAAAAAAAAAACTTAAATTTATCATGAGGGGTGATAAGTCTAAGGAAAGACGTCTGACTGAAGTTAGGGTTTCCAGAATGTTCTCATTGGTTGTTTCAGAATACACACCGATCTTAGCCTCCACCAGCTCTGGCGCATTCTCAATCAGGAAAAACTCACGCGTACAAATCCCTTCAAGGTTCAAGTATTTCAAAGAAGGAGCATTTATTACATAGCCTCTCCCATCTCTTCCTGTGTACCTATCATTTATGGTTAGTCTTTGCAGCGATGGCACCGCAACAGTGAAGGTCTTCACATTGCCACATCTATGCATGATCAGATCTTCAAGACTAGGGCAGCCACATAAAAGGTTGCGAACAGATTTGTCGTTTTCGAAGTGTATATAGTAAAGGTACAGCTCTCTCAAGGACTTGAAACAAGCCGGAGAAGGAAGGTCTAAAATCATTGAACCTGAGAGTTCCAATATCTCTAGTCTATTATTCAAAGTACACAAAACACTACTCGGAAATATATCTAAGCCTTGCTTCCGAAAGTCATAATCGAGTACCAATTTACGCAGATGGTGTTCAAAAGCAATTCCAATACACATCGCTATATCCGATTCCGAAGCCTCGCGCCAATATCTAATCATCAAATGCAAACTCTCTAGAAACAGAGCCCCATGTAAGTTCAAAGATCTGCAAACATTCTCTGAGAAATCACGATGATACTCAGAATCAAACTCGAGATTTGGCACCAACTTCCATAGAGATCTCCAACGCTTAGACAAAACACTAGTGGCTATGGCATCTTCTGTTGGAAGTGAAGACAATATATGGAGAAGCAAATCTTCAGGCAACTCACTGATCCTGTCCTCATTTACAACATCTACATTTCTCATATCCTCACCACCAATTTTGCTGTATTAAAAACAACCAAAATGACAAAAAGATAAAGATCCTTAGTGTTCACAGAAAATATAATTGGAGCTTACAACTAACAAAACCTTATATATATATAGGAACGGATTCCGGGAGAAACATAAACGAAACAAAGTTTCATACCCTTTTTGTTCCATTTTCGTCAACAAATGAATATGATACTATGGTGATGTGATTACAGCTTCAAAGTTATTAGCATGTGTTTGATTAGTATAAGAATCAAATGCATAGAGTCTTTATATAGTATAAGGATTAGCTTCTATATATCAAACCAAATCCAAACTCTATTAATGTAATTTATATATTTTTATTGACATATCTCTCCTAGCTAGATCTCACTCTAGATATTATTTTAAACTAATTAAGGCTTTCATATCACATGAAAATCTAATACATTCAAATTATAGTTAAATCATTTTAAAAATTGATAATTCAATATTTTTCTCCTAAGAAACGAAAATTTTAATATATAATTAAACTATACCAAATAAAATAGAAAAAATAATGACACTTTATAAGAAAAAGAAAATATATACTTTATATTTAATACCAGAGTTAGTGTTTTTTTTTGTATTTGTTGTAGATAAATTTTTTTTAAAAACATCCTTGATTAGTTGTTGCATGTGGGTTTTCTGAAAGGTGTTTTTTGTTTCCCCTGAAAGTGGGTTTGTTTAGGCTTTCTACAAGTGTTTAAACAATCCATATGAGGTATATAATATTTGCTGATTCAAATGTTTTAGTTACATTTATATTTGATACCTTATTTTGGTTTTCATAAAGCCTGTAAACCAAATCATGTCCATAACCATAAACAAAAGGAAAGAAATTGACCCGACTCTTCTTTTTTTAAAGCAAAGATACATAGTTGTGAAATGTCTTGTTGTTCTTTGTTTATCAACTTGTAATTACAATTAAAAAAAATTATAATGTTCGGACACATGAATACGTTATATATTTTTTTTTTTGCACACGTTATTTAATAGTTTAACTCATAAAAATTAGTCAAGATTCATACTTCAGACAAAAAAAAAAAGTCAAGATTGACACTTTAATTCATTTTTGTTTTAGACATGGATGATAAGGAATTAAAAATATTTGTTTTGTGTAATTATATATAAAAATGCTCTCATATCTTCTAAAACATATGAGGAACCCAATCAGATATGTTGTTATTGCTATAAGACATTTAATTTGTTGTAGTAGCTAGCTTTTGTTAGTCCAAACTCCAAATAATTAATCGATTTCTTTTTGTTTCTGGTATCACACTATCAGTCACACTATTTTATTGATAAATAGCTACTTACATTTAAGTGTTGAGTAGCAAATTTTGAAAATTAATATGGAATAATGTATTATTTTTCTTTGTATTTCAAGTAATTTTACCAGGTTGTACTAAAACATGCTTATCAGTTATCAATCACCAAAGCTGCTTTAGTAAACGTGGTAAACCAGAGTTTGTCTTTGGGTCCTTGGGACCAGAGTAGTGCTGGTATTTAAGCTTGTTTCAACCACTTCGTAATCATTCAAACAATTAGGTTTTAGCTTGTTTGATTAAAGTAATATATAAAATGGCGCCGTTAGACCATCATTGTCAATGGGCTCTTAAGATGTTCTTAAACTAAGAAAAGTTAACAAAAGTAATGAAATATCTCTTATATAAGAGACTTTTCTTAGCTTTGAGCCCATCAATAATGATGCTCTTCAGATTCAAAAACCTAAATACATAGTAGAAGATCATCTTTTTAGGTGTTAAAAACCTATTGTCACATTACGGAAGATGTTACGAATACATCCTAATTATAAAAAAAAAGTATCACATTTGAACTCGAGGTGACATGTCATTGAAGCCCTGACCTCAGTAGCCAACTGGTTAAGCATCTCACGTCTCTTTTCCAACTTCTTGACTTCTTTAGATTTGATGGGTTTTGTAGAGATGAATGCTTTCTTCAAGCGTCTTGCGTTCTTTAGGATGTATATGGCCACTTCTTCTTCATCTTCTTGTTCCCAGTCGTATACTGTCCACATAAATGTCTCAAGATGGAACAACAGACAGTCAGGTACACATTTTCGTTGACTCCAATCCCAACCCACCAGACAATCTTTTTCAGCATACCGGCATAGCTGAGAAACAGATGTATTTAAATACGATATTAGATCATCAAAAAATACTTGAAAGTGGTAATCTGTAAGAAACCTAATGAAATTCCTTACGTCGATGAGCTTGAGGGTTTGCAATTTTGGACAACTATCGAGCATGAGCGAGAGTAGATTCCACTGTTTTAGTGTACTTAGCTCCAAATGTACCAGCTGATGGAAGATAATACCAGTAGGATACTCGTTCTGTGCACAAGGCAAGCATTAGTACCAAAAACAATGTTAGATCCTGATTGTAGAGAAAGAAAATCTTAAGAATCTGAAATTTACCTTGAAGGATGATAAGTCTAAAGTAAGACGCTTGGCTGAAGTTAGAATTGATAAAATGTTCTGGTTGAATATATAAGAAATGTCAACGACTTTTGCCTCTTCCAGCTTTGGCGTGTCGTAAAACAGGCAAAACGCAAGCAACTCAAACCCGCTGATGTTCAAGTATTTCAAAGAAGGGGTAAATATCACATAGCCTTCACCACCTTCTCCAGCGAAAGAATCTTTGATGGTAAGTCTCTGTAATGATGGCACCTCAATAAAGAAATAAAACACATCAGTATTGCGTTTCCGATTCACGGACAAATCTTCCAAACCGGGGCAGCCATCAAAAAGATTCAAGAGACATTGCAGCTTCCTAAGGGACTTCAAACAAACGGAAGAAGGGATATCTAAAAGAATCAAATTCTTGAGTTCCAAGGTCTCGAGTGTGCTATTAAAGCTCCACAAAACACTCGGAAGTCTGGCTGATGACACACTTTCTTGATTATGAAGATCCAATACCAATTTACGCACATGGCGTGCAAATGCAGCCCCAATCCATATTCCAACATCTGAAGCTTCAGATTCATCTCTAGCTACCAAATGCAAACTCTCTAGAACAGGATGTTTATGTGAAAGCAAAGACCTGAAAACAATCTCTGAGAAACTATGGTGTTCACTTTTGTCGAATTCAGAATCAAACTTGAGATTTGGCACCAACTCCCAAAGAGATCTCCAGCTTTTAGACAAAGCACTGGTGGCTCTGACAGTTTTTGTTGGAACTGAAGACAATATCTGTAGAAGCAAAGGTTCAGGCAACTCACTGATCCTGTCCTCGTTCACAACTTCTGGCTTTCTCAAACTTTGACCACCGATTTTGCTTTCAAGATTCAAAAAAAAAAACATGATGATGAATTATGACGAATTTTAGTATTCAACGAATTAGGGTTTGGATCATCATACAGTTAAAACGAAAGGGATGCAAAGAGTAAAACAGAAGAACAAAACTAAGAAACATACCATTTCTGTTCCATTATCTTTAACAGAGACAACAATTTTGGTAAGGATCCTTCAGCTCCCAGTGCTATCGCTATAAGAATGCTCCAAACTCAAAACTCAACTGGAGCACAAGATTTAAAGAAGAGGAAGAGTCACATACTCACATGAGTGAGTGCGACTGTGTGTTTTCCTCTGAAATCTTTAATGGGCTTCATTACACGGCCCTTTTTGAGGTTTTAAATATCAAAACCAAATAATCCAAAATATTCAAAATGCCCAAACAAAAATAAAAATTAATATGTTTGTTTGTTACAGGCCCAGGCCCAATTATACGAACAGTTAACTTCTTTTTAGGGCTTTATACTATAAAAACTCGTAAACCTAGAGTTGCAGATACCTCTCAGTCCAGCCGCGCAAGAAGAAGCTTCTCTCTTTTGTGAGTTTATCGTTCCTCTTCTCTACTTATCGTCTCTGTGATTCTCACTCGCCGCTATCTTTGTTTGAACTGTTTAGTTTACTAGGGTTTCTGTTCTGTTTCCTCTTTCTTGGTGTGTGCTCCTGGTATTTTCTAAGTCCTTTGTTCTGTCCATTTCTAGTTTTTATTGAATCTGTTGATATGTTGTTTGTTCTGCTTTAGAGATTTTTCAAAGTGTCTCCCTTAGAATGAGTAAGATTAGGATTTCGTTGATGTAGTTATTCGTTTGTTTGATTAATTTGCCCAAACCATTCCTTATGTGTTGCTGTAAATGTAGATTTGATCGTAAATGGCATTCGAACCCTTTAAATTTTGGATTCTTGGAGAGTTTAAGATTCTTAGGTTATAAGTATTCATCTGTAGTATGGTCTTAATACGAGTATTACAAACATTGTCATTCAGTTTTGCTGTTTTGTGTTATTTATAGCATTGAGTTGTTCTCTTGTTTTGCGCTTTGAAGTTTTCTGATTTGATTTCTCTTGAGATGCGTTTATTTTTTTTGAATGCATGATTCACTACTAATGGAGATGATTGTTGTCTCTTTTGCAGCTTGAGGTGACAAAATGAAGCACAACAATGTTATCCCCAATGGACACTTTAAAAAGCACTGGCAAAACTATGTGAAGACATGGTTCAACCAGCCCGCCAGGAAAACCAGAAGAAGAGTTGGTTAGTTATCTCACCACATTGCTATGTTTTGTTTCAAGCTTACTCCATAGTTTTCTCTGAATCTAATTGTGTTATGTGTCATGTCTGCTCAGCGAGGCAAAAGAAGGCTGTGAAGATCTTCCCTCGTCCAACTTCTGGACCTATCCGCCCTGTTGTGCATGGTCAGACTCTTAAGTACAACATGAAGGTCAGAACCGGTAAAGGATTCACTCTTGAAGAGCTCAAGGTTTGTAATATTGATTCGTCTCTCATTTATTCATATAGCTATCAATCTTCATTTCTTGCTCGATATTGATGGGACTGTTGTTTAGAGTAGGTTGGATATATATTTATTTACTAGTGTAGAGTTTCATTTTTTGCTGGGTATTGTTTGGTTTGCTGATTTCTGATTGTTTGATTAAATTAGGCTGCTGGTATCCCCAAGAAGTTAGCTCCTACCATCGGTATCTCTGTTGATCATCGTCGTAAGAACAGATCCTTGGAGGGTCTTCAAACCAATGTCCAGAGGTTGAAAACCTACAAGGCGAAGTTGGTCATCTTCCCACGCCGTGCCCGCAAGGTTAAGGTATTATTTCAAAGAAACTTGTCTTTAGTTTAGTTGTCTTAATCAAAGGTTTGATTTGGTACTGATTTCTTACTTGGTTCTTGTGTCAGGCTGGTGATTCTACACCAGAGGAGTTGGCCAATGCTACCCAAGTCCAAGGAGACTACATGCCTATTGTTCGTGAGCAGCCAACTATGGAGCTTGTGAAGCTGACCTCAGAGATGAAATCGTTCAAGGCCTACGACAAGATTCGTTTGGAGAGAACAAACAAGAGACATGCTGGTGCTAGAGCCAAGAGGGCTGCAGAAGCTGAGAAGGAAGAGAAGAAGTGAGGATCCTTCTTAGGTAGAAGAAACTTTTTATCTTTATCATCTTTTGGATCTGAATTCTGGTGTATCAGACTCTGTTTTTGGTTTCTTCAAGTATTGTATCCTTAAATCTTCGGTTTTGCTGATACTTGCTTCTCTGGATTTTATGGAAAAGTTTCATATCACACATTTTGCCGTCATTACTCATTTCGATAAATTGTTGCGTTCTAGCAAATATTGTTTGTGCAAGATGGTTTTTACAGAAGTAATTGCATTTTTCAAATATTATGATCAAGTGGATGAGATCCAAATTTTAACGATCTTCTCATCTGAAGACAAAACAACTTGTTACTTATAATTATACTAGGTACGGATCAAATAATTATTTATATATAATTTTTAACGGATTGCAATATATTATATTTTAATTTTATTGTAATACAGTCGATTACGGTAAATCATATATTTGTGTAATAAGTTTAAATTAAATAATAAACGAAAAAGTGAGTAAATAATAATACATTGAGGTTTAATACAATTTAAATTAACAGTGAAAATCTAACAGCACGAAAGAATATTAATCGACAAACTATTCAATTTGACCATTTTTCTGGTAGAAGTAGGAAAATATGTAAAAATTACATACTTACAATATATATTTTGAAGGACCAACCCGTAACAGAATTCATTTTGTAAAAACATTATTCATAACTCACTTTATCATTATAATTGTGATTTTAACAAACTACCCGCGAACTATCTAAATTTTACATAGTTTGATATATAATGGTTAAGGTTATGGTAAGGAAAATTATAACCGTTAACCAGTGGTTAATTAACCATAACCGCATTAACCGTACTCGTGGTCATGCCTACTAAGAGATAGATATAATTCATAGCTATCGATAGAGTTAATATTTTTAATTTAAAATTTCCAAATTAGATATTCAAATTTGTCAAACACAATTGGTTTTAAATATTTTATTATTGGGAAAATATCTATTTTCAAATAATGTTGTATTTTAATTGGTTTTATATGAATTTGATCTAATTATATATGAAGACTATGTGTAAGGGATCCTAAGGTACATTTTTTTGTTTATTTGGGGCTGAAGTTCAAACATGTTATGAAATTAATAGTTATATTAAGGATATAATTTGATTGATCTTCGGGTATGGAATAATTGTAATTGCGTTTTGAAAATATACAGAAAGAGATCATAATCTTAGATTTTGATTGTAATATTCTAATTTGTTTAGATTCCAAATATACTCATCTAACTTTAATGCGAAGGTTAGACAATATTCCTCTTTTCTAAAAAATATGAATCGATTAATGCATTATTGGACAAAATCCAAACCCATGACTAACCCGTTTAAAGTAGATCCAATTAGGAGATTTCGGGTCAATATTTTTTAAAACCCGACCCGGAAGTGCATTATGTACTCCTCTTTTACTAATATAGAGATTCTCTAAAGGTTGGACAGAAGAACTGAGATTTCCATGTAAAACTGTTCTGTTACTTCATATTCTGTAGTTGTTACTTGAAATTTTCTCTCATATTCCCAATGTGTTATTTCAGTGTATCAAAATCTAAAAAAACTCTTGAATGGAGTAATATCATACCAAGTGTTACTAATGAATATATATATATATATATGTCACAGAAACGAAAAACTGTTCACTGATAGGATCAAGTAATATCAATAAGTTTTCAGTGTAACAAATCTTAAAACACTCTTGAATAAATATCATTACCAAGTGTTACTAATGATTATGTCACAGAAAAGAAAAGAAAAATTGTCCACTTATAGTATAGGTAGGACAAACAAAACTAAAATCGACCATGAAAGAATGAAGAAAAAACGAGAAATGGGTTTTGAAATTGGAGATTAGAAGTTAGCAAAAAGCATCAGTGCATCATCGAGTCTAAACCTAGTGGAAGAGAGCAACAATCTCTTGGCTTTAATCTTAATTAGTCTCTCCTCGTATGCTCCTTCCAGCACTACGTCCTTCTTATTTGACAACAACAACAACTGCCACAAACGCAACAACAGTTTCACTTAGTAATAGGAACATCTTAAAATCCATCAAATCTACATTTTTGGTCATTTCAAAGTATGACTAACCTCTTTCTCGGATTCTAGCTCATGGGTCAACCTGAGACTCAAGTTTAAAGAAGCATGATACATCTCATCTAACATTTGCCTCGTCACAATCAACTTGTTTACCTTCCACAATAAGAACGGCGGTGTATATCCAGTACCACCCGTAACCGCAAATTTCTAAAACAACAGAAGATGAATTTATAAGAAAATCTCTTTAATTTAAAAGACTTGGTTTCAATTCGGATAAAAGATATTTGTACCTGCATATGTAAGTAACCATCTTGCCACATCTTCAAAAGGATTTGAGGCGTGTCTTTCTTTTCAGTCAGCGCGGCATCAGCAATCTTAAATTAAAAGTTGATGTAAAGTTAGTAAACTGGTTATTACCAAAAAAAATGTTTTCAATATTAACTAGAAGAAAGAGTCTCAAACCCTATCGGTCTCAACAAAACGCCCTTCCATTGTCAAGTATCTGAACATTCTGAAAGCTTCTTTCCCATATCTTCTCATAACTACTGCTTCAATCTGAAACCATCTCAAAGATCTTATTTACAAATTCAGAAATATAGAAAAGAAAAATAGAAAAGATGAAACACACCTCGTCTTTCTGTGCTATGCTGATAATTGCTTTAAAGTCTGCAAAACCAATTAACAAAATAAGATAAATGGTAAAGTTTGAATACAAGAATCAGTTGACTAGATTTAGGATGGAGTTACTGTACCAACTATGTATGAACCATCCACTTCTATCACAAACGCAGGTAGATATGAAGATGTTGCACTCAATTGGTCAAGGCATGCTTCAACTCGCTCTTGTAACATAGTGCGACCTGGTATTGTCGTTATAACCTCTTCATAAATGGAACCAACTGACATTGGAACTGTTTCAAAGATGAAAGCAAGTTCAGTCACAAGACAGTAACAGGTGACTTTTGGTGGAAACTGTGAAATGATCAAGCAATCGCACCAAAAACAATAGAAACTTCAAATTCGTTTTGTTTATGTTAAGACTTAAGATATCTAATGAAAATGAGTAAGCATCTGGGATATTACCCGACTTGTCTGTTTTCACCTTCTTCTCCTGCGATCTTCCTACTTCTAACATTGCCCTCAAGACAATGGCACATCCTTCATCCCTGCGCTCTTTCACTATCTCCACACACGCCTTAAACAAGAAACAGTTGATCAAGTCCCTAAAGATAACTAAGAAAATAAAATTTCGAATGCCAATGAGCAAGAGGTTAAATGCCTCATCAAACAAACCTCAAAAGAGAGACATGAGTAACTAACCTTATGTCTAAGGCGGCGAATGAACTCCTCAAAATTAGGACGCCAAATTACTTCATTGCTCGGATCTGACAAGTCCACATCACGTTCTTTACGCTGAAATATTCAGTTCAGAGAAAAAAATCAAAACAAAGGTATTCAGTGCTACGTCATTAAGTAATGTAAGCCTATAGATCCAAAACTGGTTATGGTAAGAATGTTGATACCTTCCCCTCAGTGATGTTGCTATCGTTATCTGCGTTGCTATCGTTATCTGCGTTGCTATCGTTATCTGCTATAGATGAATTTGAATCTTGTACAAATACATGTGGAAACCTTATTGCTTCAACTGGAATTGCTGCTTCAAGAACACGTTCCTCTAAGGTTTCAGGTTCTTTAAGAATCTGCACAGTTCAAGAAATTTTGTTATTAATATCGAAAAGAAAAAACAATCAAAGTGAGAGTCATGTTGCTGCAATTGGTAGGTTTTTTTTTTTTTTAAAAAACAGATATATCCAACAGTATATAGAGCTGTTATTCTTCCTACTGACATACTACAACAGATGGAACTTGTCAATTACCTTGGCAGCCTTGGAGCCTTTTTTCTTTGCTGGCTCTTGTTCTTTGTTTCCAAGAACAGGTTCGGGAGAAGGAATGCGCTCAACAAAATGGGCAGCAACCAGTTTCTGAAGAGAACCTCTGATCACAATTTCACCTATCTTTTCTGAATCTAATCATGTATGAAGGAAACATGTATAACAGATTAGAATTCATTTGGTTACACATTATTGTAATCAAATGACATACACAGAGGCAAAAGGCCAAGGCATAGAATGCAAGTACTGTGGCAAGATAACAAAGAGGTTAATAAGATATTTGGACTCACCTCGGTCTCTTTCTATCAGCTGTCCTAAGGTAAGCCTACCGTTACTTAGTAAACCATCAAGAACTATACCGCACTGTACATATAGATAAAACGTATAAGATTGGCATGTCTTGAAGCATAAACCAAGTAAGCCAGACACTGAACAGCGGGAAAAAGAAGCAGGATTAAACCTCACGCCCAAGTTCTTCGTTTACAACCCTCGAAAACTTGTTATACCTCACACGGTGAAGAATGTTGTTAAACAGGACAAGGTACTGTACTACTGCTTTGCTCTCGGAACCATCTACATATCAAAAACATACAAGAAAACTTTCAAGATTACTCTCTTTCTGTATTTTCACAACAAAAAAACCTCAAAAATACTAATCACAAAACCTACTTGAAACTCCTAGTTATATGAACAGAACAGAACCTCAAAGATACCAATGAACTTAAAGAAAGATACAATGTGAAAAAAAAAAACTTTAACAAACAAAGTTATCAATTATTTACTATTCTAACAATCTCCTTCCTTGTTTAATAAAACTAAAGACACTGTTCCTGATCCACAAAATCCAAGACATTTCCATTACCAAGTAACAAAAAGTTCAAAATCATATCCCACAACCACAATGCAGAAATCTAAATTGCCATGAAACTCAGTGAAATTAGAAACTGAGAAAGCAAACGGTACTGACCAGGCGGCTCAATAGAGAACGCTTGAACGCAATTGTGCTGAATCAAGAGGTACAAAATATCCTTGACTTGGTTATGACTGATTTCAGATTCTGCTAGACGAGAGATGTCTCTCGAGGAAAGAGGTCCTCTACGGAGAAGACATTCACAAACTTTCTGCAAAAACAAAAACAAAAAGACCAAAACCCATTGCATCAAACTCATCAACACAGGAATGATTTAGATTCATAACCTTGAAAGGGTTTAAAGTGTTTCAATTTACCGATACGACGGATCCGAATTGGACAGTGATAATGTGGACGGCGTAGACGATGCCATACTCAGTGTTATCCATCAATACTGACTTTGTTGTCTTCTGTCTCCAGCAAACACACAATCAAACGCGATATCAGCAAAATCGTTTTATCTGATTAAGGATTTTTTGAAGAAAAAAAAAAGTATCAAAAACCCTTGAAGGGTGTCACTGACGTAGTTAGCTTTCGCCGGTGAGAGGTGGCCGGAGGCAGGTTTGATCGTAAAATTCTCAAACCTTTTTTTTTTTCCTTTTTTTTTTTGCAGTTGTTTGTTTTAAAACCTAAGCCCAATTAGATGGCGGAAAGGCCCATTTTAAGAAACAAACGAAACAACTAAAGAAAGAGGTTGACATGTCTTCTCTATTGTATGTCGGTCAAGGAAAACAAACAAAAATCAAATTCTTCTATTGTACGTACAGTACATGTGACGGCTTACATTTACATGTTTTTTAAGTTAGGAGAAAGGAAAAATGTAATTTTCAGCTACATAAATATGACTTTTGTTTTTTTCAAAAAACCATAGTAAACCAAAGATTTGAGTTTGTAAATTATGTATTCTACTGTGGTTCTAACTCTTAAGTTACTTGTCATTTTAGTTTAACTACACTAACTATTTTTGATGAATCATGATAACATATGTATGCCCAAATACAACACTGTAGTTTCAATTCAAATTAGTTCTAACTGTAGCTATGTCACCACTACCAAAAAAAGGTTTTTAAGAAAAAGTTTAATTGTTAGGTTAGGTGTTGTAAGCTTGGAAGTTGTAAATAATTGTCTGTTGAGTTCATAGTTGTACCTATTATCTTCTTGACAATTACATGTTTTTATTCATTCTGAATATTAATTAAATATTCATGTATACCTAATTTTTATTTGACTTAATATATACATAATTTAAGTTTAGAAAGCCAAATTAAAGTTAGGTGTATATTAGTCTCATAGTTGAGTTATTATCCAAATTCATGCCTTTTCATTTTGGTTTTAAAAATAAAATAAAATTGGTTTTAAAATTCATGCATTTATATTTAACTGGTATTGCATCTATCAGACAAAATGACTAATCCTACTAATACTATATATATATATATATATGGACAAACCAAAATTGATAACTTCAAAAAGATCAATGTATGTCCCCATTTATTCTTATCCTTCTAAGATTTTTTTTAAGATTTTTTTTCCCTTGGTCATTTTCATTTAGCAACTTTTTTATATATACCTACAATTTTTGTTTTTTTTTGGTAACAATGTGACTATACCTACAAACTTTGGGACAATATAAAATTTTTGTTCGAATCTGGGACTCGAGTAAGTTCATATAAAACTCAACCTCGTGATCTCGAATTTTTTTAAAGTCTCTTAATAAAAACTGCTTACTATATTAATTAGTTTATTAGTACCATCCACCATCATTTGATCATTTTCTAAGGTTATCTTCTTTGTATTGTACAGTAGTGCTATGTAGTAGGAAGCATCTTTGAATATGTGATAATCCGAGTCAAAAAGAGCACATGGGCAATGGACTCTTTACTCATTAGCATTTTTTAAAAATAAAACTATAATTTTCATATCCTATCTAAATATAAGAAAGTTTGAAGTATAGTTAAAAATAAGATATTTACTAAACTGAAGTACTGAACCCTACTATTTTTCATAGTTCATCATCGTAAATTAGAACGCTGAGCTAACCACTCGGTTTTAGCCGTTCGGTTCAGGGTTTGTACCGGAAATAGAAACCCACCTCTTCAAAACCCCAAACGTCCGTCTAATGTTAATGACACGTGGCATAATCTTCTAGGCCATTCGGATTTTAACATTTTACATACACTGTTTATTAAATATTTATAAATATCGCCTTTTGCTTTCTTCTCTTGCTTTCACATTCTTCTCTCCTTCTTCCTCGTGTTTGTATTCTCGACGTAACCATGGATGCCGATACACTCACCGGATTATTGACAATCGTCGCCAGAAAATTCCCCGATCGACGAGCTCTCTCTGTTTCTGGTAAATTCGATCTCACTCACGCGCGTCTTCACGACCTAATCGAACGCGCCGCCTCACGTCTTGTTTCCGCTGCTGGCATCAAACCTGGCGATGTCGTCGCTCTCACCTTCCCTAACACTGTTGAGGTAGTTTCTTTTTTTAGCTTCCTTCACACGTTTTAGATTTAAAGCTTCGTTTCACGTTTTATTTTTGCGTGCTGGGGAATCTCATGAGAAAGAAGTAGAAATGGTAGTGAAAATTTATTAATCGCTTTCTTAGTTTGAGAAATTTTGATTTCTAGATTCAGATTTTGATTTATTTTATTTTTTTTAGTTTGTTATAATGTTTTTAGCGGTGATAAGAGCTAGAGCCACGGCGGCGCCGTTAAACGCGGCGTACACGGCGGAGGAATTTGAGTTTTATCTCTCCGATTCCGATTCTAAGCTGTTGTTGACCTCTAAAGAAGGAAACGCACCAGCTCAAGAAGCAGCTTCGAAGCTGAACATCTCTCACGTAACCGCTACGCTGCTAGACGCCGGCTCGGATTTGACTCTGTCCGTGTCGGATTCTGACTCTGTCGTTGACTCAGCGACGGAACTCGTTAATAGCCCGGACGACGCCGCACTCTTCCTCCACACTTCCGGCACCACTAGCCGTCCAAAGGGTGTACCGCTTACGCAGCTCAATCTAGTTTCATCTGTCAAGAACATTAAATCGGTGTACAAGCTTACTGAGTCTGATTCTACGGTGATTGTTCTCCCTCTGTTCCACGTTCATGGATTATTAGCTGGTCTGCTCAGCTCGCTTGGAGCTGGTGCGGCCGTGACTCTCCCAGCTGCTGGTCGGTTCTCAGCAACTACGTTTTGGCCAGACATGATTAAGTATAACGCTACATGGTATACTGCTGTTCCGACTATTCATCAGATCATATTGGACCGCCACGCTAACCATCCTGAGCCTGAATACCCTAAACTCCGGTTCATCAGGAGTTGTAGTGCTTCTTTGGCTCCGGTAATGCTCTTGTTTCCAGCCAATTGTTATTTATGGAGAACATAATAAAGCAAAATGTTGGATTGCTTTGTCTGTCTTTCAACATATTTTATAGTTTTGTATTTGTATGTCTATGGTTTTGGTCAGGTGATATTGTCCAGGCTAGAGGAAGCTTTTGGAGCACCAGTTCTCGAGGCCTATGCAATGACAGAGGCAACCCACTTGATGTGCTCAAACCCCTTACCAGAGGAAGGTCCACACAAGCCTGGGTCTGTTGGGAAACCGGTAGGTCAAGAATTGGCAATCCTCAATGAGAAAGGCGAGATACAAGAGCCAAATAACAAAGGAGAGGTTTGTATAAGAGGGCCAAATGTGACAAAGGGTTACAAGAACAACCCAGAGGCCAACAAGGCAGGTTTCGAGTTTGGGTGGTTCCACACTGGTGATATCGGTTACCTTGATTCGGACGGGTATTTGCATCTGGTGGGTCGGATTAAAGAGCTTATTAACCGTGGAGGTTAGTCTCATTTACTCTACGTGATGGCTTTACTGTTCAAAAGTATAGTAGTCTATGGCAAGCAGATTATATGGATCAAATTCTGTATTTGCATAGTCATAATGGAGTGGCTAGACTTGTCAAATAAAATCCCCAATAAGTTAGGAATGAGACAAGTCAAAGAAAGAGGCTACTTTGCAGTATTATGTCATTTTGTATCAATGAGTTAGATTTTCTATATGTATACTTACTTACAATCTCTATATCAGGTGAGAAGATATCCCCGATTGAAGTGGATTCAGTACTCTTAACCCATCCCGACGTTTCCCAGGGTGTTGCATTTGGTGTTCCTGATGAAAAATATGGCGAAGAGGTAAACAAAACCTTTGCTTAAGTTGCTCTAATTTGAGTTCACCAATTGGTCTCCCTAATCTACCATAATACCCTGCATAATTATCACAACTTTATGTGAACTTACTTCAGTAATGCTCTTAAGAAACGTAATTAGCTGGTTTAGATCGGTTAATAACAGAGTTTGTTCCTTGGTTTATCAGATTAATTGTGCAGTGATTCCGAGAGAAGGAACAACTGTGACAGAAGAAGACATTAAGACATTTTGTAAGAAGAATTTGGCAGCTTTCAAGGTGCCAAAGAGAGTATTCATAACTGATAACCTCCCCAAAACTGCTTCCGGTAAGATTCAGCGCCGTATTGTCGCTCAGCATTTCCTCGAAAAACCCTAAAGCACACCCTCTTGCTCGAATCCGTGATGATGTGTCTTGGATTTTAGGCAAGTGGAATTGCTATCTCTCTATTGAGCTCTTGGTATAGTTAAATTACAAAAAAGTTGGAAATAAAGTTGATAAGAAATTATTGAAGTATAATAAAAGAGAGTTTCTTTTTTTTTGGCGTTGTCTTTGCGTTACAAAAAGTTGGAAATAAAGTTGATTAGAGATTATTGAAGTACAATAAAAGAGAGTTTCTTTTTCTTGGACTTGTCTTTGCGTCGTTTGTTATACTCTATTTCATCTATTGCTTCGTGGCCTAATAGACGACAACTAAAAGCGTGCTGCCAGAACGGATAAAGCCGAATGACAATACATTTAAAGTTTCTTAACATAGAAAAGGTGCATTTATATTACATCGTCATTCCTTTTTATCAGAGAACAAACCAACCGTCTAGAGTGGTACAGGTAGGCTTGCACCGTGCAGTCATCAATATTTTAGTCATCCGATATTGGCTTCAATTATAATCATCGGAATCAAAATCTGTATTGCTTAAGCCACCATTTTGCAATGTAATAGCTGATATTCATTTGATTAATTCAACATTTCTTAGAATCGAAAATTATAGACATAATACATTAGGTAAGATTGTAATACAATGAAATGAATTTCTACCCAAAAGGAAAAATGGAAAATAAAATAAAGATCGCACGTTATACTACTCAGATACAATTCTGACAAGCGTTTTTTACTCTACAGACCAAAACTTTTATACGCCTATCTAATTTTACGAACCGGTCTTGTTCTGCTTCCTCCAGTACTTACTCTCCCACTGTTCGATTCTACTAGTTGTACTCTGTCTTCTTTTTAGAACCGAGTAAAACGAAGCTGGATCATACGGAGGCGGCATGGCACAGGGACCAGTCTCAGCTGGGCGTTTCACGAGTGATTCCATCATAAACTTCCGCTCATTTCCATCCCTTGGGCACGCCATTGTCTCTGAGCAGACCTCGGTGGAGTTCTGAGGGATCTCGGGTTTAAACCGGAGGAGTTTAGAGTATTGGGTTAAGAGATGGAACATGTAATCGTACACATAGTCCATTTTAAGTTCTTGTTGTACAAACTCACTTGCCTTCTTCCCGATGTCTTGTGCCTGGTAGCACAAAAGAACGTTGAGAGTATAAGTTACATTAAAAGTACTTAGACCCTATTCTCAATCAAACATTCATGAAATGCATATAAAGGTGAGTCTGATTCCTCATATGCAGCTAATAGAGAATGAATGTAGTAAACTAAGCCAAGAGGGGATTCACTACCTAATGTGCGTTGATTGAAACAAATGAACATGTGTCTGTGTGTCTCGGTGTAGATATTATATATTATACTGAGATTGAGAACCAATTAACAAAGCCCCTGTTTAATCTAATACTGTTTAAGTAATGTCATACCTTTCGCATATGTAAGTTGCCCCAATCAACGGCAAATTTGATGGAGCGGCATTTGTCATCTTCCTTGACGGGCCAGTAATGGTGCCCTGGGAACATACCTCGTGTGAAGAAATCATAGTAATGAGGTTTCACCATTAATGTCACTGAGTCACAAGCCAGAATGTACTTCTCGCTCACCGACCATGCAGACCCTTCTATGTAAATCTTGTACCTATAACAATTTTTGCTTAAGCCATTTCTTAGAAGCCCAAAAGTAATTGCAGAGGTTCCTCTAAAAATTTAGGTGCCACTACTACCTGTGATGGCATTGGCTAGCCAAGTCTGATTGCTTGTAACCTTCCTTTGATTCCTTGAGCCAGTCCTACAAAAACACACCAAAATTAAGCACATAGAAAAGTACTATGACTCAAAAACTCATCAATCCTACAAAATACACAAATTCACCGACAGCACAACTTCAGAACTCTCAACTTTTGCACCATAGTACATAAGAACAAAACCAACAATATAAACTATATATCCACCTCTTGTGTTGATTAGTTCAGACATCACTGCTAATGTTCTCCAATAAAAAGCATTTAGATACAAATACTTGGACAGCCATAACAATGCCAACAAGTTCCCAAGACAGGTGACGCTCAAGTTACTGAACCTTTTAAGATAGCACACCACTAGATATCGATTAACTAAACATTTCTCCTACGATTTAGATGATTTTATCCAATGGGAAGCGAATCCAAGACTCTATTTAACTAATTGAATCATAGAACAAGAACAATGTAATATCGACATAGAGTCAGTTACCTGCTTGTACAAACGTGCTTTCCAGTCATACTCCTCAGAGAGATTACATTTCATGAGATCAAGTCTCGTCTCAGCAACCGTCGGATTACCTTTCCAGTAAGCATAAGGTTCTCTGTCTATCCATTTAGTCCTCTGGTTCCCTTCACTAAGGTCTTTCAATAGACTCTCCCATGGCTTTATATTCACCTCAGCCCTACAAAAACCAATGCAACAACTCTCATATCTCTGACCTATGCATTTAACATTCTCTAAACAACTCTCACAGCTATTTCATCAGCTACCAAGCAAATTCACTATATGGTTCCATTTCTGTCAAATCAAAAGCTACAGTGGTGAAGCAATTACCATCCCCAATAGGACCAATCGGGAAACACAATGTCGAGTGTCTCGTCGTTGGCACAGTAACGGAACAAGGGCGGTGGCGAAGGTTTATCAACTCCGGAATATTCTTCCGCCTTCACCACAGGCCAATCAACACAGTCAAACATGAGCTCGAGATCCGGAATCTTCCCAGGATATCTCCGTAATAGCTGCACGAATCCCCAGATCGTGAACACATCTCTCGTCTGAAAAGCCTCACGGAAATTCTCGACGTAGATCCTCCCGTCGATGATGGCTAACCGGAAAATCGCCGTCGCATTGGCTCGCTCCAAGGCTTCCCTCGTGATCCCGGTTTTCTCCCATGGCCGTAGATCCTCGTGAATCCATCGGAAATAGTCGGGACACGTGGCTGGTTCGGCGTTGGATCGGAAACTCGTCGGATAACTGTTCCTTGGGCAAGTAACAGTGTCGTTGCCGGAGAACGCGGCGCAGTTTAGCGTGAACTCTTTACTTGGTTTTGCCGTAGTTAACTTAGTCGACTGAGGGTAGTTTGGGGATTGAGTAGCTTCTCTCTGAGTCACGGTCACCGTTTCTTTATCTATCAAAACCTGTAGTTGTATCAAAACGAAGTCGTTTCAGAAAATAGCGGTGGTTAGTTATTAACTAAAAACAATCACGTGATTAGTAAAAGCTCCCGTGTAGACACGTGTCCAACGTTCGGTGACTTGTTTGACGAAAAGTGTTGGTGAGGCGACAAATCAGGCGCCAAAGGAGGTTTAGAACCATCAAACCATTAATGTCAATATCCGACATGGCAAAAAAATATCGTAAACGAAGAAAACGACAAAGAGGGTGTCGTTTTGATGTAATAGAATAGAGTAGAAGAGAGGAACTAATTATAGTAAGTAAAATATAAAAAAGGTGCGTACGGAGGGGTCGAGGAGGAGGCGCGTGGAGAGGAACGCGCCGAGGAGGAGGAAGAGGAAGAGGGAGAAGAAGGCGTAGGATCGGTTGGAAGCACCAGCGCCGGTTTTAACGAGTGGAGACCAAATGGTGTCGAAATTACGAGAATGAGGTGCTCCAGAGCCATACGAGGGTGAGTTCCTCATCATAGCTCCTTGGTGTTGCATGCCAGATTTGATTAATCAATGAAACGATAGATGAAGAAGAGAGAGAGAGATTTGAAGGGTGAGAGAGAGAAAAGGAGAGCTTTTTTTGTGTGAGTGAGAAAAGGAAAGGACAGAGAGAATCATGTGAAGCAGAACAAGAAAAAAAAAGGTTTGGTTTAATTATTTACTAAACTCGATCTTTTAATGTTTTGCAAGACTTTTGAATTAAAATGTTTAAAGTTTCTAGGTGAAATTGGGAGACATGGAAGTACAAAAGACGAATTGTGTCTTTTTTTCCAAAGAAATAGTATTCGTCTAAATATGTGGCACTTAGAATTAGAATCATTAGGAAAAGTTAACTGTAAAACTCATCTAAATTTAACTGTAAGGTTTTAAAATATGATTCAAAATATAAACAAACAAAAATTACAAATGTTATAATAAATAGATAGAGTCGTAAAGGTCAATTTTCAGTTCAAATAATAATAAAATTAGGTGAATTTTACAGTGTAAACGACAATAAGGCCTATATAGGTCGACGCCAATCTCGGGGATCAAGCCCAAGTCCAAAAGAAACGTTTTTATGATTTGCCTAAGGGGCTATAAGATCAGAAGATGGACATCATCTCGTAATTATTTCAAACCGATCAAATAATAATAGACGACGACGACGACGACGTAGGAGGACATAGGGTCATATATATCTTTCCCGGTTTGGTTCATATTCAAACATGAAAAAAAATTATTAAAAAAAGGTGGCAACAACTAACAAAATCGAGCATTATTTTGGACCACATTAAAGCATAGATTGGAGTACAACACACATGTGGGTGATTTCGAGAAAATGGACCAATGTTGTTGTTTATCTCTTCTTTTTTTAAGTGGTTTTGTTCTAAATATCATATGCTACTGACTTCGATCTGGTTACGACATGACATTTACATTGTAGAGCTGTCTTGGTCGGAGAGTTCACTGTTCAATAAAGGGTTTACGCTTTCGTGGAACATGTAGCCTGTATTATCATGAATAACCAAATATTGTGAATTGTGATGTTTGAATATTCAGAAACTTAATGGATCATTATTAGGTCTCCTATATATTTAGGAATATGTTGTACTCTTCACTTGAAAATATCACATCATGTTCTTCTTGGTTCTTCTTAATTAGATGGAAACAGAATGATTGAAGAAAAAAAGCAAATAAACCGAAATTATAGGATTAACAAAATCTTTTTAGGAGTGCCATCTTTTGACATTTTTTTTTGAATTAAAGCTCATGCTTAATAACGATCAATGTCCCTACCTTAATCACAACTTTATATCAACAAAATGGAGACTATATATACGCTCTTGCATCCTTTTTACATTATTTTTCTTTCACAAAACAAAAGTTGAATAGTTTGATGAGGTTAAATTAAAACACTATCAATCAAAGTCAAGTGTGTATCTACATTTTTAACCGAACCCTTATCGTTAAGTTGAGTTCAATCGAAACCCTCTGAATTGATACGTAAATTTATTTATCGAATTATTTCATCATGCATGATTATTCATGGATGCCTCCAAGAAATTGCATTAAACTAAAAAGAGATAATATAGTTTATACGTTTCTCGATTTTTGTTATTTTCCTAAAATGAGATTTCTCAATTATTTCAACGACATTAGTTGATTTATAAAGTATATATATATTAAAACATGATAAGATATTTGAACTATAAAAAAGTGAAGGGTTCATACAAAAGCTTTGCATCAATCCGTATTTTCATTTTATTGCTTTTATAGTAGGGACTGCTTCTATTTTATATCAATATCACACCTAAACAATTTTTAAAAATAATTATGTTGCGATGCCTGAAGAAAGTAATACTAATAATATTTACAAGTAATTAAAAGAGAGTGAGAGCGATATGATTTTGGGGCAGAGATGAAAACCTAAAAGCTCCCACACTCACACCTTTTTTCTTACTATTTCACGCGTGCTGTGTTCTTCCTTTGTCTCCCTATTTCACAACCCAAGAACCCTTTCCATTATCGCATATACTATATAATTATTTAGTATAAAAATACTAATCTAAATTATAGTACTACTCTCTCTATTCACAGTGCATATACATAATCCACCTATATATATAGGCATACACATTTAGGAGCCTTTGTGCACTGCTTCATTCTCTAGATCCTAATTAAAAGCTCGGAGGGATCGTTTCTTTTTAAAAAGAGGTTAAGCTTGGATTGAGTTTTTAAGATCATGTCTGTGAGTATCTATCTTACACCTTTCTTCTTACTTATTGGTTTTCGTTTAGAATTCATATATATAGCTGAAATGTGAATTTGTAGATGTCAGTGGAGATAAGAGTTCCAAACTTGGATTGTGAAGGATGTGCTTCTAAGCTTAGGAAGACTCTGCTCAAGGTTAAAGGTATTGAAAGTGTTTTGAGTTTTAATATGTGTCTGTTGGTTCAGTCCAAGTATTAAGTAGCGTTAACAAATTTTGGTTTGGCTTTAATTGGATTTCAAAATGTTAATTAGTAACCAAAGTAAAAATATATGAATCGTTATAACGTTGGTACTCATTGTATATGTGATTTTAATCAAAATATACCTTTTTACATTTTCAATCCAATTTAAGTTTTGTTATTTTTCAGTTTGGTATTTTTTTTTTTTCATTTTCTTAGATATTAAAAACAAACTAATGCGCATTTTAACAAAATTAAGATTAGGCTTGAAACCTGGATTTTAACCATAATGAACCGATTAAAATCGAACATCAGACTTTCCCGGTTATTTCACATGATCAGATGTTTTACTTGATTTATCCGGTTAATGTTGGTTTACATGCAGGAGTGGAAGAAGTAGAAGTGGAGATGGAAAACCAAAAAGTGACGGCTCGAGGATACCGGTTAGAGGAGAAGAAGGTATTGAAAGCGGTACGACGTGCCGGTAAAGCGGCTGAACCGTGGCCATACCGGTTAGGTAACAGCCATTTTGCCTCATTCTACAAATACCCTTCGTATGTGACGAACCACTATTACTCTGATGCACACCGAACCGATCCCACCGGTGGTGTCCACACTTTCTTCCACACTCCTGCTGTTTACTCCGTTGCGGTGGCCGGAGATGAGATCGCGGCTTCGATGTTTAGTGATGATAATCCCCATGCTTGTACTATTATGTAATCTTTTTTTTTTTCCAAGTATACAAAAATATGTTTTCAGTGCAGCTTCCTAGCTTGTCAAATTCGGTTTGATGTAATATTTTTTTTCTTTTTTATTTTGTATAACTAAAATGTTGGAATGGGAAAGTAAAGTATGTTGTTTTGACTTTTAAATAAGAGTGTTTATTCTGAATAACATGAACTAACAAATATCATCCAAATCAACTCTGTTTTTTGTACGATCATATCAGACGAACCGAAATTATAAGAAAGTGTATGATTAATAACAAAATTAGGGAAAAGACTTGGTCTAGTTAGTATTTTAAAAAAATAAAATTTGAAAAGACTTGGTCTAGTTAGAGTTTCAACGTTAATCAAACTTATTAACTTAACGTTGAGTATGATTTGTCTATTATATAATTCACTAGCAGTTGATCCGCGCTCCGCGCGGGAGGTTTATAATTTTGTTTCGTTGATTTTTCATTCATATTGTGATATTTTACTATTTTTTTAATTTATTTTCAAAAATATTATAATTATTTTCTCTTTAATTATTATCTTTCAATACTCAAATTTGGATTAAAAGCATTTGATTCAATTTATGAAATATCATTTTTTTTCTTTTTGATCATGTTATAAACTAATATTTCACTTTCATTTTATTTTTCCTCTTTATAATTTTATATATACAATTACATAAATGTTGTTTTAGTCTAACATAAATTTAAATTTGAGAATTTTTGAGAAATACCCCTTTTGGTGTACCCCTTTATATAAATACCCCCTTTATCTATCCATTTTCAAAATACCTCTTTTTAAATATAAAAAATTATAAAGTTTTATATAGTTTATAAGCCACTTCTATATAAGAACTACTACTGGTAGATTCGATACAAATATTTTAAAATGTTTTAAATAGTTTTAAATCGTTTTTATATGTTTTATAAGGTTTTTAAAAGGTTTTTAAAAGGGTTTCTACGGTTTTTATAAGGTTTTTATAAGATTTTTATAATTTATTTTTACGCTATTTATGAAAGGTATATAAAGTTTTATACACATATAAAGATAATTTGTGTATATATTTATAAGCTTACACACATATTTGGATAAATTTCAACATTTTAAGTGGGATTTTTGATAAAGTTTGAAAAACGAGTATTTTTAAAAAGAGGTATATGAAAAGGAGTATTTTTGAAATTCCCCCTTTAAATTTTACTTCCATTCTAAAACTCAGTAACATATTTAAAATATTAAATTATGATCAATTTAAAATGAAAGTTGAATTATATTATTACCACTAATAAAAAAAATAAAGTATTGTTTTTCTTATTTTATCATTTCATTTTTTTTACATAATTTATTTTTATTTATATAAACTTTCTTTTAATTAAATAAGTAACATAAATATGCACTAAATGAATGTTTTCAATTTATTTTAATTTTTAAACAAAAATGTACCTTATGTGGATGTTTAGGTGACATCATGAGAAGAGAGAAAAAGCTAACTTTATATATATAGATAGTCACTGTCACTAACCAAATACGATATTCTTTTGGTAACCAGATCGGTTTATGAAAATTACGTGAGAAGCTCTTATTTGAGACTCATCTTTCGAAACGTAACATGCATATGGTCAGTGAGAAGCCAACAATATTAGCTTGTGAAGCTGACCTCTGACATGAAATCGTTCAATGCGTATGACAAGATCCGTCTAGAGAGCACGAACAAGAGCTATGCTGCCTGGTGCAAGAGCCAAGAGAGCTGCTGACGTTGAAAAAGAAGAGAAGAAGTGAGGATCTTCCTCTCTTTTTTTTTTTTTTTAATATATATATCTTTGTCATATTTTGGATTTGAATCTTTTTTTCTTCTGTATTAGCAAAGAGCTGTTTTTGATTTATCCTTAAATCTTCGATTTTGTTGCTACCTTGATTCTTTGGATTTATGGAAAAGGTCATAGCTTTGATCTTAGATAGGCTCTCCTTTAACGCTCCTTCCAGGTTCATCATTGGTAGCAACTGCTAAAATAAATATCCATTGAAATGTGTTTAAATATATCCGGTTTTTTATAGGGACTTCAGAAAATAAATTACAATATTATCTTAATCTTTGAGACTGTGACTCTATACTCAAACAAAACACTTCTTCAAGACAACACTCTCAATCGGAATCAAATCAGACGGAAACACACAGTCCTCATCATTCTTCATCGGAGCTTTCTTCTCCGGCAACAAACTGCATGGCTCCGGCTTAACTCTGCTCGTAACTCCAGCCACATTTGTACAATTCCACTGCACCTTTTTAGCGTTATCCGCCAAAGCTATAGTCACATTCGAAATACAAATACCTTTAAACGGATCTTTATCAATCCCGTCTAGACTCCCAGACATCGTCACGTTCTCAGCCTTCATATCTCTGTAATTGATGTTAGTAACTTCCGGAAACGCCTTAGGATCGTATCCTTCATCAGGGTGCTGGTTGTAGTCTCCACTCATCCAGAAAACGTATTTCATCGTCTTCATTGTGATCCTCCTAGCGAAAATGTTCTTGACGTAACCACCACGCCCCGCTGCGGTTTTGATTCTGATGGCTGATTCTGTGTTGGTTAGTGTCACTTCTTCGATTCTAACGTCTTTGATTCCTCCGGACATTTCACTTCCCAATGCTACTCCTGCGCTTTTTGGGGAGATGCATGTGAGCCGTCGTATCGAGAGCTGCTTCGTCGGCATTCCGAACTTGATTCCGTATTGGTCCCAACCGCTTTTGACGGCGATGCAGTCGTCTCCGGAGACTATGTAACAGTCTTCGATCAATGTGTTTGCGCAAGAATCTGAATTACCAGAAACAGAGTCGTTTAGTACACACAAAAACAGAGGATGACAACCATGTCACGTCAGATTCTAAGAATGCCACGTAGGATAACGATATTGCCACGTAGGATAATAATACTGCCGTAAGATATAATACTGCCACGTAGGATAAACATTACCTGGATTGATTCCGTCGGTGTTAGGAACAGTGACGGGAGCAAGAACGGTGACGGATTTGATAATGACGTTCTTACAGTAGACGGGATGAATGTTCCAGGAAGGCGAATCGATCAACGTGATGTTGGAGATTTGAATGTTTTTGGAGAACAAGAGCTCGATCAAGTACGGTCTTGTCAACTTAAACTGCTTCTTTTTGAATTTATCCCACCAATATTGTCCTTGTCCGTTGATCGTCCCGTTGTTGCCTTTATTATCAAGAAAACAATCAAAATCTGAATTGGCAAAGATTTTGATTATAGATACTTAGCAACATGGTGTGGAGTGATTTGTGTTGAAAAATTACCGGTGATAACCACGTCGGTTAAGTTTGAACCGGAGATGAGACTGTTGAATCTCCCGGCTCCGGTTCCGTCTCTTCCTTTCCCGTACGATGGCAATGGAGCGATCACTGGCCATTCAGATTCATCCTGTGTTTGTCAAAAGTCAAAACCCTCTATTAGGTATCATTTGATTCATTAGAAATAGTTTGATTCAGTCATATCAGTATTGCTTGTTATGGTATATGAAATGTATAGAGATGTTTCATTCGGATCTAACACAACCTAAACCAAAAACTGATAAACAAAAAAAATGAATGAAACGGTTTTAAGCACACTTACCTGAGATGCAAGGATGGTAGCACCTTGTTGGATGAACAAAGTAAAGTGGCTGGTAAGGTTAAAACTTCCGGTAAGCCATTTTCCGGGAGGGACTACAAGTTGAGCTCCGCCGCCATCGGTGGCCATCTGGCTGAGCTTGCTTATGGCCTTTTTAAAGGCTTTTGTATTAGAAGTTTTGCCATCCCCAACCGCACCAAAATCAGTCAGTATTGCGCTATGTTTCCGGCAACGCAAGGCTGAGAATTCTATCTTGGAAGTCACTAAATTTCGTTGACTTTGGGATTCGATTGCCGGAAAATGGAATATAGCCAAAAAGACTAGTATACCAAACACCGGCCTAATCATCTCTACACAATGTATAAACAACACAACATATATGAATATAAAAACTAAAGAAGATAGTACTGAACATTAAAATTAATCAAACTCGTCTTCCAGATACTTCTACAGTTATTTTTTATAATATAACAAAAGGGTCTTGTATTGATAAGTTAATCAATATCAACACCTAATCAACTATAATCTTGTAATTTTGTCACAAAGAACGAACAAAAATACAAATTATTAGCGGATATATTTAGAATGCAAACTTCGACAAATAAATAAAACTATGACAGTAGTATCTTGGACGAAATAAGAACAATGTGTTGTTTACCTTACGATATTTTAACCTTTGAGAACCACAGAACAGAACATAAATATAGGTCTTCCTTTTGGTCTAGTTGTTTCTACTCTCTGTAGGAGATAACAGAAGAGAGTAACATATACATATGGGATCCCCTAAATATATTTATAGATTTGTTTCCCAAACAATTATGAAATATGTTCTTCTTCTTTTCTTTAATGATTGAAATCACTTAAAATTTTTAAAAATTCAATTGTAGTATTTTAATTAACAAATGTCCTAAGAAAATAACCAACAAGTATATAATAAGAAAGTAATATATAATAATACAAGATTACATATATATATATATATATATATATATCTCATATAATCCATTTAAAAGTCTATAATCAATTTGTTTCCATCTTTACAAGTATATAATTCTAAAACTGAAATTCTATAGTTAACCTCTTAGGATTAGTACGTAGAACTCTCATTGCTGACCTGATTCTTACCAACTTTATTTTTGGATCACTACACACTGTACATTTATAGAGATATGTTGTTAAATGTATGGATTTTTTCTCATTGAGAAAATTGATAAAATATTTAATTTTGATATATATTTTAATTTATTATTGAATCATGGCTATTTAGAATCAATCCTACTATAATAATAATAAATATTATCACTTTTATTCAACAAAATTATTAGGCTATTAGCTATGATATAACACTTAGCAACACATTATACACTTTTCATTAACTTTGGAATCATTCATCTTTATCATAATTTTATTTATTTATTTAAGTAATTGATATAGTATGAAAAGTCGTAGCAATAAAAAAAAATTGGCCCTATATTAGAAAGATTAACGTACCGCATCTGCGTTTTATCAAAAAAGAAAAAGATGATCGTATGCCTTTCTTGAAAATTATGTATAAATGTTACATTTTAATTCTTAAACATATACATTGCGAATTATAAATTTCCCAAACCTGCCCATGATGATGTAGGATCCTAATCTAGAAAATATGACCACTACATCTTTTCAATTCCTTCTTTTATCCTATTCTTTTATCGTTCGTCAATCCATCTTTTTTTTTTATGTAAGTTGGGGACTACATAAACAAAATCCTTAGTAGAGTACTTAATTTCATTGGGAGTAAGAACATGTATAAAACATAGTTAAAATATTTTGTTGAAGCGTGTTTCAAACTTGACAATAAATGAGTCAAAGTAACGTATAAAACATAATAAGTCCATGGAGTAACTAAACATGATTGGATTCAGCTGTTCTTCTCCCAATCGAGAGATTAGTTGGGTTGGTGTTAAGAGAGAGTGGTTGTACTTGTACCGTGACCGGTGAGCTTTTTTCTGTTTCTTATTGGTTGGTTCATCATATTATTCTGCCAACGTGATCACAACGTGATCACAATTTTTAGTGTGTGTTTTTTTTTTTTTTAATTTTATTTTGAGTGTGTTTATTTATTGCCAAAAACGAAAATTTATATATATATATGCTTGAGAGAAACTGAAAAATAAATTAGTCACATTTCATCATCATCAATGATTATATAAATTAATAATTATTATACTATACCAAAAACAAACATGGCTGAATTCTGAAATATCATTCTTAGTTGGGTGCATTTTAATTAGTAGGAATTCACGTAAACAACAGTGAATAGTGATCGTGCACAACGATAAACTGGAAAGAATAACATTTTTTTTTTCTTTTCTTTTTGTCACGAATAATTGCTTTTATAAGGAAAAAAGGAAAAACAAAATTAAAATTTAGAAAGTCATTAGTATATGCCAACGAGAGACAGGACATTGCTTAATCCAGCTCAGTTTTTCGTATCTACAGTTATGCTTACAATCTCTATTAAGTAATCAAACTTCTTACCATGTTATGAAATTAATCAGAATTAAGTTCTCAGATATTGTTCTGTCGGAATATTGTAACTTATACCACAAGACAACATGACGACTCAAGAGGAGCAGAAGAAGGTCATCGAGCCTAAACCTGCCGCGTCCGACCCATCACCACCGTCTACGGAGGAGAAGTCCGACGATTCTAAAGCTATTGTTCTCGTCGTCGCAAGTAACCAATCAATTTTTTTTAATTGTTTTTATTTTAATACGGCACAAATCAAATCATTTGTTTCAAAGAACAAGAATTACATATTTCCAAGAACGATTTTTGTTCTATTTTTTTCATGCTATTCGTTATTCGGCACAAAATAGTCTAACATGGCCATGTGTTAGCTAAATTCTTTTTGCCAACAAATTGTTATTTTTGGCAAAGAACATTAACATTTTCAATTGTTATTCTTGTTGTCATTAAAGAAGAACCTGAGGAGGAGAAGAAAGAAGGTTCAATTTACCGAGGTAATCAATCAAGAAATTACTTAAATCATATGATTGATTGATACATAAAACTAGGAAAACATATATCTCTTGTTTTTGTATGTTTTCTGATAAAGTTGTGGTATATGTGTATGAAGATGCTGTTTTGGCTAGACTGGAGCAAGATAAGAGGATATCTCTCATCAAAGCTTGGGAAGAAGCTGAGAAATCTAAAGTAGAGAACAAGTAAGTTCTTCTGTTCTTAAAGAAGTTTAAGCCTTTTGTTGGTTAAAAAAAAAAACAAAAAAAAAACAAATTCCATGATTTTTTTATCAACTTATTGTGTGTGTACAACCAAATTTATTAACTTAATGAAACAGAGCTCAGAAGAAGCTATCTTCAGTTGGTGCTTGGGAAAACAGCAAGAAAGCTTCCATTGAAGCTGAGCTAAAAAAGATCGAGGTACACAAAAAGAAGGATATATTCATTATTGTTCTTTCATATTTATTACTATTTTTTACATGAAATGGTTCCACTTTTGACATTCTTATAATTTGGAATGGTAATAGGAGCAACTAATAAAGAAGAAAGCAGAGTACGCAGAGAAAATGAAGAACAAAATAGCTCAAATCCACAAGGAAGCTGAAGAGAAGAGAGCCATGGCCGAAGCTAAACGTGGTGAAGATGTTCTCAAAGCCGAAGAAATGGCTGCAAAGTACCGTGCCACCGGAACCGCTCCAACCAAGCTATTTGGATGCTTCTGATCATTATATATTATGGCCAAACGGATTTTGAATGTTACTTTGTTACTAAAGGATGATTTGTTGCTTAGGTGGTTTGGTGACTTGGTGTGTGGTTTAATTTGGCTTCATAGCAAGTTACAAGGTCATAATGTAACGTCTTAATTGTGTATTTTTGTTACTCATTTTGTAAGTTGTACATCTTTTTCTTGAAATAAAGCTTCTTTTGAAATTTATAAACTCCCAATTGTTTCGCTTTTAGTTTTCTTACTAACTGTCATGGCAGTGAAGTGACCATAACATAACCAAAAGGCTCATTGGAATTTTTGAGAAAAAAACTGCTGTGATGGTTTAAGTGGTTCGGACTTTCGACATGGTAGAAAAAAGTGTTGTCAAAATTTTGAATTAAAGGAAAAAATAATTTTAAGAAAATGAATTCGATTTTTTTTTAGAGTAACCAAATTCTATTTTATGTTAATACTGTTAATTTATCCCAAAACCAAAAAAAGAAAGAACAGGTCTCGTTATAGGGTTTTAACTCCATAGGCTTTTAGAATACGAAGGCCCAGTTAAAAGGCCCAATTGTATAAATCGCGTAGAAATTTCTTATATATATAAGCAGGTCAGTGTAAATTAGGGTTTTCATTTCAGTCGTAGCTGCCGCTTTATCTCGTCTCCTCCTACATCACTGCCTCAAGCTTTCACGCGGGAGCTAGCTTTCAACCATGGCCGAACAAACTGAGAAAGCTTTTCTTAAGCAACCTAAGGTCTTCCTTAGGTAAAATTTCGCGATTCGATTTCTCAATCTGTTTCACTTTGATTTTAATGGTATTTGATTTCCCAAGTTGTTTATATTGTTAATTTTTGTGTGTGTGTTTATGAAAGCTCGAAGAAATCTGGAAAAGGGAAGCGACCTGGGAAAGGTGGAAACCGTTTCTGGAAGAACATTGGTTTGGGATTCAAGACCCCTCGCGAAGCCATTGATGGTATGAGTTATGCTTAACTCTTTATCATAGATAAGGAACCCTAAGAATTAGTGTTTTCGTATAGCTGATAGATTCATAGCTTCAAAATTCATTCATTTGCTATTAATCTGGTAGAATCTTCAGCTTTGATTTAGTTTTTGGATCTGCATTTATGTTTTTGGGATTCCAATGTTATCAGTAGATTATGAATTAGTAAATGGGCACTGATTCGAATATGAGATCAAGCTACTGATATTGAGAACCATAGTTTAAGTATGCATCAGTATCCATGTATCTTTGAGATTGATTCTCAGGCGATTGTGTTTTGTTTTCTTTCTTTGGTACAGGAGCTTACGTTGACAAGAAATGCCCCTTCACTGGAACTGTTTCCATTAGAGGTCGTATCTTAGCTGGTACATGCCACAGTGCTAAAATGCAGAGGACCATTATTGTGCGAAGGAATTACCTCCACTTTGTGAAGAAGTACCAGAGGTAACACATGCATTCATACTTATTCAATACATTTGCTTAGTCTTTTACATTGATGTTAAGAAAGTATTATCCTTTTGGTCTCAGGTATGAGAAGAGGCATTCAAACATCCCTGCTCATGTCTCACCATGCTTCCGTGTTAAGGAAGGAGACCATGTCATCATTGGCCAATGCAGGTATGATCCGATTCAGATCAATAACCATGTCTTTATTAATTCTGGTTTTGTTACAGTTGAGTTGATCTTTCTTTGTTCTTGGTAAATGTCAGGCCATTGTCGAAGACAGTGAGGTTCAATGTGTTGAAGGTGATCCCAGCTGGGTCTTCTTCATCTTTTGGAAAGAAGGCTTTCACTGGAATGTAAGGTTGCTATTGATGTTAGTTTATGTTCTCTGGATAGAGCTGAATTATGATGTTTTTATGGTGATTTTCATATTGAATCTTTCCGACATTAAATTTTGTTTACTTTGCTGAATCTTTTTCATCCCAATATGTGATCTCTGTTTAAGACCTTAGTTTTGCTACTCTTTCTTACAAAGTTTCATAATCTGGTCTAGAATGACCGAGCAGTCCAATCCAATATAACTTATGTTTCACTGTCAAATCGTCAATGGAACGAACATGTCAACTAGTAAATGAAAACGTAAAAGGATGTGGAAATTTGGTTTAGTGTAATCGAATTATTATTTATTTATTTTCTCTTTTTATACTCTTCTACACGTTACTAGGGCATCTCTCTTAGCACATTTACATTGGTCGTAGCTCGTTGATGAGACCATCGAACAAGAAATTGTCTGAAAATGAAGGACAGAACTCGATCTCAGATATCTCATCCTCCAACAAAAATTCTGAAGTAGGTACGAAATCAGGCAAAGAGCTGTCTTCCAAATAAAGAGTGCCACATGGTCCAGTGAATCGTCTCTCTTCATGTACAACACTATTTTGAACATAACTAGTCTTTTGAGGTGACTGATCCGTAAACAAACTGTAATCTAACCATTCGGAGAACACGAGACTTGGCAAAAAACTTGGGGTCTGAGCATTGAATGTTTCTCCGACACTGATAGATGAAGATGATCTTTCAGTTGTGCTCTGCAGGGCCTCAAGTGAGCTTTTGACTGAAGATGTTTGAGGGGTTCTTGTGGTTACATGTTTTGTCAAACTTACACCCTTCTTTAGATTAGAATGCCAGTAATTTTTGATCTCGTTGTCGGTCCTTCCTGGTAAAAATTTCGATATCTGAGACCATCTAGTACCAAACAAAAAAAAGGGATGATTATGAAAATATGCCTAAATGTATCAGTTTTTAAGTCTACATTAAAAAGTCCAAGAAAATAAACCATAAACATGAAGAAGTCTTAAACTCCCTATGTAATTAAAATTCTTAATTGTAAAGTCTTAAACCAAAAAATAATATCTTTCTAAATGCTGTAATCTATTTGAAAGCACAAAAATTGAAAGGCTTACTTGTTACCCAACATGGAATGGAGTGAGACAAGAGTGGTTTCCTCTTCTTTAGTGAATGTAGACTTCTTAAGTCCAGGTCTTAGATAATTAACCCACCTTAATCTACAACTCTTCCCATTCCTCTGCAATCCTATATATGTATTATGTAAACCCATTATTAATATATTTAAACTCCTAATCATATTCCAAAATCAAAAATAACATTTGAAAACCATAATGTTGCTTTCTTTGACAAAATAAAACGATCTCAAGATGTTTATTTATAATCAAAGAGTTACCAGTGAGAATAGGAATGGTACTCCAACATCCATGGCCATATTTGAGAACATGACTCCTAAGCTTCTCATCTTCTTCCGGTGACCATAATCCTTTCCTTTGCTTCTCCTTTGATTTCATTTTCCGGTTTGGTTTTTCTGATTTATACACCATCTTCTTTTTATTTTCTTAAGTTAATTTTGAATATAGATATACGTATAATGATACTGAAAAGGAAGTATATACAATAAAAAAATATATGTATATTGGTGATGACAATCTTTTTGACACAGATACGTAATTCGAAAGGGGGAAATATATATATAGACAGTTTTGATGGTCAAGTTCTTTTTATTATTTTAAATAAAATGAAACTAATATTAGTAATATGTAATTCATACTTGTGTATATATTAATATATATATATATATATAAGTAGAACTATTTATATGAAAGAGGACTTGTTCCACACGAAACACTTCATCAAATCTTTAGTTATTAAATTTTATAGGTGGAGCCGAACACTTTGAATTTTCATGTCATGATTTCAATACGACAATGCTATTAATTAATATTTTGTCGACACAAAATAAATACTTTTTTTTTATATATATTTCAGGACAATCAGACTCTTTGATGTGCTTGCCTTTTCAAATTATGTTAGAGGTTAACTTAATTAAACTACCACAATTATATTTGGCTTGCAATTGTGATTAGTCCACCAAATTATGCATTAGTGGACATTCTTTTTACAGTAATCCACCAATATATACTATCAAAACTTAAATTACATTATTAGCATGTGATGTTGTGAATTATTCTTATTGGTTGTGAATAGAAATAATCTAACTTAACTATACAAGTTAGTTAAATTTTCCAAGGATAGACTTTTTTTTTTGAAATTTTAAACTAATTCCTACTTGCCTTCCTCAAGATAAACTCTTATTATAAAATATAAACATATAGTAAGTCATTGGTTAATTGGCTTTTGTTTTTGTCCTACATATTTGTTTATTTTTATTATAAGAAATACTTGTTTATGACATTATTAAAATAATTACATTATTGGTTTGACAAGTGCAAACAACTTAAATGATTTATATTAGTGACGTCTTCGTGTGATTTGATGATATATAATATTATAAACAAAAAATTCATTAGTATAACAACATTCACTTAAACAACTTAATTTTCTATTAGTAATAGCATATACACATTACATTTATTTATCGCCTTAGTGTATATTACTTCTACAGCATGAAAAAAGGGAAAAAAGTAAAATACAAACAATGAAAAGAATAACACTATTACAAAACATTTAACAAGCTTTGTGACAATTTAGGAAACGATTCTTAATATAGACCTTGGAACTTTGGGAGAGGTTAGGAATATTTTTAGGTAGCCGACACTGTGATGACGTTAGCTGCGGATTAGTGTTATCTTGACATTCACTGTTGTGTTTAACTGAAGATTCCAAATATTGCTTTCTGTGCCACACGACTTATTTAGCATGGTTTTGTTAGGGTCTAATCATACAATGACACAATTACCTATCAAAACTCGATATTGACATATACTTTGCTTTAGATGTTAATTAGAGAAAACAAAAATGATGAACTTATATGGGTTTTATGGTGTGTGGCGTTGAGCTATTTCACTGATGAAGAATTAGGTTAGTAAAGTGAATAAGAATAACTAGGTTACACATTTTTACTACGTAAACTTAAAACATTTTAGCTAAAGAGTAAATACATTATTGTTTTTGTAAAGCCGTCAAGTTTGATAGAACAAAATTTTGAAGAATGAATTTATGCAATAATATACAAAATATCATAATTAAATTCAATTGAAGTGGCTTACCTAATATATTCAGCTGAACCTAAAATATATAACTGATAACAATTAAGAACTATTATTACTAGTTAATTTATGAACTATATAAATTATCATTCCTGTTACTATGTTTAAATATATTACCATTTAAAGAGATAATAGAAATGAATTCGTTATTCACTGAATAAAAAATTATCACTAGAGTCAACTCTCTACCTCTTTTTGCGGAGAGAGGTTGACCAAATATCAAATTGTGACAACAAGAAGAGGTGTCGACAGAAGAAAGTTTAATTAAAATTTAAAAAAAACAGAGAAGTGGTTTATATATAAACAGTTACAAAATATGTATAGTTTGGTTTAATATACAACATTACAACTTATGGATTTGCTTACAAACTTAAGTCAACAATGTATTAAAAAGTCGTGGACCAATCATGTCTTTACTCATTTCTTTTCATTTTTGTTGTTGTCTACCAAACATGTTTTTCTTTTCTAACATTTTTTATAGATTTTTTTCCTGATAATGTTAGACAATATTTTGTTTTTTGTTATTGTCAAGTTTTTTTTATAGGAAAAAAGAAAACACCATGTACATAAAATTTCGTTTTTTTATTAAGTTTTCTTTCCAACTTTGGTTTTTTTAGAGTTAAAAAATAGACATTTTATACTATGATTTTTTTTTTATCGTTAGACAAAGCTTTTTTATTAAAGAAATAAGCAGATATATATACTACTTAATTAGTGAATATACACACCTCTTCACAAAACTTTTTATTGACCTTTAACAAAAATAAACAATCTTGAAAATAAAAGATTTAAGTGTCTTTCTTGGAAAGAGTCACTCGTGAATTCGTTTTCTATTGGTACCATTTTGGTTTGTCGTCATCATGCATGCATATAAAAAGTTTTGTTTACCGGTGATGAATCTATCCAATTTGAAACATCCCCCTGTCATTGTTTTTTATTACACTGCAAAAAAAAAAGTGATATATTCAAACTCTAAACCTTCTTAAATATATTTGTGCTATCTTAACAAAACCACAAAATAATTTCCAAAGTATTAAACTACAATATGGTACAGTACTTAAAACTCTTTCAGTAAGAAAATCTTCCGCGAGGTAGACGCTATAGTTAAATTGAATCAAACAAGGCAATATTGTAGAAATACGTATGATCAACAAAAGAGAAGAAAACTAGCTGAAAATGAAAGTACAGAACTCGATCTCAGAGTCATGGGCCAGGCCCAATAATGGAGTGAGAATAAAGTAATGGGCCAGGCCCAGTAATGGATTCGCTAAGAACATCCGTTTCCAACATTGCCTAATGAACAACGTACAAAACCTAATCGTCATCGACCAAAACCAGGTTCAACAACTACTGTACATGTATTCTTCAAATTATAACATTACATTTAGCAATTAAATATAAACAACATTCCTTAATGTTAAAACCGTTATCATGGAGAATTATAATTGACAATTTTTAATGTGTATATCTTTATGTAAATGTTTCATCTAATTAATCCCTAAACTATGAATCGAAGACCCCCGATATATATATATACATCATCCTCTGTGCGAAGACATCCACCGGTAGCCTCAATTTCATATGACTGGTAAATCCATGCAAGACAGTTGAATCACTCTGAGCTCTCTTCATCTTTCAGGCACTTTTAAGGAAGACGTTGGTTGTCTCTGTTTGTATGGATACCAAAAAGCTGTCTACTGGCTCCAGAGATGCGATCAGCTGCCTCCCTCATGAGGTTCTGGGCGTCATCTTGTCCTCAGTTCCGACCAAACTTGCTGCTTCAACATCTCTTCTCTCGAAAAAGTGGAGGAACGTGTTTGCATTGGTGCATAATCTTGATTTTGATGATTCTGACTTGCTGCAACCGGAAGAGGGTGAAGAAGAGATGGGTGTGATGCGGGAGAGCTTCAGGAATTTTGTTGATACAACTCTCGCTTTGCAATGCGGTTCGCCTATCAAGAGATTCTCTCTCAAATGCCACATTCATGACTATTACAGTGAGTCCGCTCATCTGGTCCGCTGGGTATGTAATGCCTTAGATCGTGGTGTTTTGGACCTAAGTCTAGAGACCAGTGTTCAGGCCTTGATACCTTCTGAGCTCTTCACGAGCAAGACGCTAGTTAAACTTAGACTTGGAACGCAAGTTACTGTTGAAGTATTTCCTCCAGAAGCGTCTCTCCCAGCGCTTAAGATTCTCATCTTCGAATCAGTCTTGATTCGACCTGATGATATGTGTAATGTACTTCTCCCTGGCTGTCCAGTGCTCGAGGAGTTATATCTTTATTACGACGGGTTTGAAGGATGGCCATACCGCATAACGAGTCAGACCATCAAGAGACTAGTGGTTCAGTACGATGAGTTTGAAATTGAGTCTATGAGTTTTATGTCCATTGACGCCCCAAATCTACTCTTCCTGGACTACTCCCATTATGCCTTGTATGATTATCCACTAGTTAACTTGGCTTCTCTAGTCGAAGCTAGGTTGGATATTCAGTATAGTAAAAGAGTCGTGAGGCCGGATATAACGGGTCTCATTAATGGGATAAGCAATGTCGAGACCTTGCATCTTTCTCCCGATTCTGTTGATGTAAGTTTCCCGATTTCTTTCTTTACAACATTTAATGGGAGCTTGTATATATATATTTACGTCAAGTGTGCGTGTATGTGTGTTTAAGGTGATTTCTCTATGTGTTGGACGTGGATTACTTCTACCGGTGTTCAATAATCTTGTAAGCTTGACTTTTGGGAGTAAGAATGAAAAAGGTTGGAAACTGTTGCCGTATCTGATTGAGCAGTCTCCAAAGCTTGAAACTCTAATCATCCAGGTAATATATCATTAGTAAAACCCATGAGAGAGAGAGAGAGAGAGAGAGAGGGGGGACTTAGTGGTTGATCCTTAACATGTATCTTCTTGATGCTTCTCCAGGGGCTGGCCATAGTTACACAGGCGATGTGACCATGCGTACGTTCCAAGTGAAGGTGTTGCGTGTTCTCGGTTATGAAGGAACTGCAAAAGAGTTGGAACACTTTAAATTTTTTATAGGAGAGTCGGAATGCCTTGAAGTAGTGATAGTGGAGGCTGCGGAAGCTGTGGTGTAGGATGCCATGTATTGCAAACCAAAAGGCTCCTGTTGGTGACGCTTCTTGGATTTTCCGTTTCATCCAAGTGCAAGATCTCATGTAGTTTATCTATTACAATTTGCAGAACGTCTGTTAAGTCGTCATATTTCTCACTAAATGGATAGAACATTAAAACATTGTACCTAGCTGCAGTTTCAGCTGAAAATTAACATCCATGGACAACAACAGTATGAGATTTTACACTAATATACAAGTAGATGGTGATTCTGAATGCAGTTTTACCTAGCTCCACACCACAGGGCAAACAAGCTCGACCCTTATATTTTATTTGATGACACAAAACAAAGAGAGGTGCACTATTAAAAGAGTAGAAAACCGACCAATGCAGAGGTTAAGGAGACGGTGAGATTGTCGTCAATGTCAGTGCTTATGGGGAGTGATTCCACAAGAGCTGATGCTATAGAGATGACGGCAAACCGAAGAATCATTCCCCCGCTAGCCTCGATGTAACCAAATGAAGCAAAGTAGTACATATACCCAACAGAAGCTAAGAACCCGGCGGTGGCCATTCCAATGCTACCAGCAAATGATTTGTTTCTGTTGTAAGGAAGCCTCTCTGTTCCAAGACGCCTCCTGCGCAAAGGTTACATATTACCGCAATCGAGATTGGGGATGTTTTCCAACAGACGATACAGACCACTGTGATTGACAGTACATAATAAAGAGGTCCTTTAAGTAGTTCCCTGATGCAGAGAGCAACTATAGACACTTTGTGAAATGACACAAAGCAATAATAAAGAGTAGAACTGAATCTTGACCATAAAAACCAAAATTACTAAGAGATAGTTAAAAAATTGAGTTCATCCAAGTTAAGTCAAATACTAAGAGGCATGTGGTAGGGTACTTTTGTGTGATTAAGCTACCTGCGATCTCCATGTCTGGTCATTGACTTTATGGTTCCTTCGTCGTGGTACACTCCCAGGCCAAGCAATAGCATCCGTATTATATTGAGTCCAGTGACAAGAGATGCAAAAAGCGCTCCTTGGATTCCAGAACTGAAATAATTGGGTATTGGGATTAACTGATGAAAGCTGAAATGCAAAGCTGGTCCATCACTTTCCTTCCGTATTACCTGAACAGCGGCCAGCAAAGCAGAAACACTAGCCCTATATTTATATGCACAAGCTTTCGGATGAGTTTCTGTACAACAACAACAACAACAACAACAAAAAAAAAGACACCAATGTCAACGGCAGATGCTAAACCAATGCCTCACTTAAAAAAAAACAACATCCAAGGAATCGACGGCGTATGTGAATTGGAGAAATGGACCTGGTCGAGGATGCCGCGTTTGCCAATCTCTCCCCAGAAACTGAGGCACGAGAAGGTAATGACGCCGAAGATTCCACACGCGCTTGAATCCGTTACAACCGAATTCTTAGGAAACATCACGGCTGGCGACCGAACAAGACCTGCCTACGAGAATCTGTCGTCTTAAACCTTAGAAGTGATTGATCTAAGACTAGTCACGATTCCAACAGTGAGAAGAAGACAGCTAGGTAGACAAGGAGATGAAATCAAAGAGCAGAGCTTAATAGTTTACTACTACTAGTAGGCCAGTAGCCATATAAATTTGGTTTTACTTTGAAAATAACTAATTAATCAGATTAAAGAACTCGTAACATTTATTATTCTTACAATGCATAGATATATGTAGTTATCTTAAATGATCATCGTCCAGTTTTGTTTCATCAGAGTATAATGTCCTTCCTCATGTTTTGAAGAAACATCCTAAGCTCTCTTGCTTTTTTGCAATGTTCTTCATCATCTGTCTCTGAATCACTCAGCTCAATCACACTCTCAAGTTGCTGATCATGGCTCTTCTTTTCTTGATAACTTCTTGACACTCTGGGTGGACGAGTTTCTGGACAAGGGCTTATCAGATCAATGACTTCTGTTTCCGGATACAATGAACAAGAACTTGGACCAACACTGAATCTATCCATTTCCGACCAAGCGTTATTGCTATTTTCTCTCTCGGGTGAATCAATAAGACACAAGTAGTCATGTTTCTTGGAATTTTCTTGTTTTTCTTTTTCTTGCCCAGCTTTTTCTAGGGTGCTTGTAGTTACTACAGAGGTTGTGTTGAGAGTAAGGTGTTGGAGTTCGAGGCTGAGTTCGGTAAGAGAAGAAGATTTGGTCGGTGAACTAGTATTCTTCTGTTTTTGTTTCGGCTTCGGTTTCTTCTTCTTTGCTGCCATTTTCTCCTTGAACTCTATGATCTTCTCAGGACAAGCCCTGAAAAGAAACGAGATATAAATATGAAAAACCAGAACGAGAACAGTAATTCAGTGAACAGCAATCAAAAACTGAACCATGTTTGGTGTTATGTGATATATAACCAGAAGCTTTGGCTAAGTAGATTTATTAAGTTTTGTTTTGACGTTCCATATTTAGCCAAACAATTACTCTTCTATGAATTTTTTATAGCCAAACCAAACTAAATAACTGGACAGGAGCGTTTCTAGCATCTAGTTTAGTCCACAGCTGATACTTTTACATGAAGATCTGCTTACTCTAGACACTATTTCAGTTATTGGTTCATACTGCTTTAAGCTTTTGGATTTAAAGGCCAAAGAACACAAGTTTAATCAATGTCAATCACTTGAGCCAAATGTTTAGATTTCTAGTAAACTTTATTCCCAGTCTTGAGTAAATGGGTGAAGGTCAAACTATGATAATTATCATTACCTTTCTACAAGATCAGCAGGAACAATGGACGTCTCTAACCCTTCTAGATCATTCCATGAGACTTCAAAACATTCTCTTCCCTGTACTTTGCGAGTCTTTATGATTTCAGACACCGGACACTTCTCTCGCATCTGTGGCTGCAAGGATTTTTTTGGCAAGGGTTAAGACAAGTTATAGTTTAACATCCAACTGATTGATGTAAGGGAAAACCAGTTAAATTTAAGCTGCTGGTTTCTTTAAACTCAAAACAAAACCAAAAGTTTCATATTAACATGTGTACCGTCTGAATTTGATGAATTCATGTTTGAGTAAATTCTAACGTTAAACCTGCCTGAGAGAGAGAGAGGTAACCTTATCGAGATGAAGGTTAACTTCAACCTCAGTTGATCTTGATTGCAAAATAGCGAACCTTCTCAGATTTCTTTCAGCAACTTTAGGAAGTATGTATTCATCTAAAATGAAAGATAGTGAAAAAGGAGAAACGTTAGTTTCACAATTGGTTCTGTACAATGTCTGCAAATGCAACCTAGAAGGAATAAGAAATTTGTAAATCCAAAGTAATACCTGTTTTCTCAGGGGGCCACTCAAAGTACTGATGACATATCTCCTGAAGCTTGGTGCGCTGGAAAGAGAATTCAGCTAGGGCCCTGAAAAAGCAGTATTAATATTATATCACTTCCTTCATCCGAAATATGAATGAATGCTTTCCAGGTTCACTAATCTCCAGGCTTAACAGACTTATAAGCTTGTTGCTACAAAAAATGGGGATATGTACGTGGTAGCTCTAAGAGTAGGTATGTATAGTCTGAAGCAGAATTATCATCCCAGATTCCCAGGACTGACACCAAAGAAATGGAAATAAGTATTAACCTGGAAACTGTAGTAGAGCCTGCTTGGTGGCACTTGGGGTTCATGAACGCATCGATCACCTGCTTGATCTGTTCCAGTCCTTCTGGATCACGATTTTTTCCTACAACAAGTTGAAATTACGGAAAGAGCTTTTGATAAGAAAACACTCTGTTTGGGTTACCACCAAAATCAATTAAGTGGATAAGTCAAGCATGTCAATTAACAAAACACAAATAAGTTGTTGCTTTCAGTACCATTTATAACCACCAAAGGTAAGGTCCCCTTTTTGTTGCACACAGAAGGCTTAACTTGCTTCTTAGGCTTTCTAGGTTTTTCCGCAAAGGCAAGTCCTTCTGAGACAACCTTTTCAAGAATAATATTTTCTCCAATCGACCTAACAATCTCACAAGCTTTCACCTGTACAAACAAGATTTTTATTTTATTTTTATCGTGAGCCATTTGTATTCCAACTATTGATAAAACATACAAACTAGAATAATACACAACCCTGATAGATGGAGGTATATAAAAGCCTGAGTCATGAACATACCTGACGAAGCCCACGAACTCCCTGAGAGTAATCACTGCCAAGCAAAAGCGCTAGAGCTATCTGGAACACCACCCAATAAAACACTGTATAAATAACCTTACCATTTGATGAAGCATATCTAAGATCACAAAGTTGTTTGACGAATGGAATAATAGATAACAATGTGCAGCTGGTTTTCTTGTCTACTGATGCAACTAGTGGAATTTAGCCCTCACAGCTACAACATTGTAGTGGAACCATTCATACTCACAGTCATATCTCCCCTGAGTTTATTGAGAAAATAATATAAGCTAAAATATCACATGCCACCTTTTGCAAGTATGCATTCATGCTTCTACCAATCAAATCGTTTTATAATAACATGGTGAAGCTTTGTAAAAACGAAAGATCAGGGTTAAGTATATAAAGCCGATCACTTAAAGAGACGCAGTTAAGTTACCAATGAGTTCCGTCCAAGACCAAGCTTTTTCTTGATGTCATCCATCTCATAGCAAACAACATAACCTCCTTCACCTAGTTCATTGGCAAATTTATTAGGCCATATAATACCATTAACAAATATCAGACGGCAAAAGAAACCAACAGGGCTAAAGAGTCTCTCTCCACTCACCAAGGCATATTTCTCTATATACAGTCTTTGCACCAAAAAGGAAGATATCTGAATCAGAGCTAAAACAGGCGTCCTACGGATAATCATGAAAACCATAAGTTATTATTGATAATTGTGTTAACTGAATGACGAACAAGAAACTGATTAATGCTGAAAAATGTGTCTTACACATAAGGATTCTGAATTTAGCAGTGCGCATTGCGCCTCAGCCTCCTCAATCCTACATTTGAAGGAAAAACACATATGAGAATCTAGTTATCAATATTACTAGGCCTCTCAAACAAGAAACTAGACCATATATGTTTGATAGTCCATGTGTTACAGTGGAAAACCCTTTCATAATTACAGCAAAACACTCAGAACCATAGTCACATTGTCAATTCTAAGTGAACAGTCGTGGAGAATTACCCGTCTAAACAAAGTATCCCCAGCGTTGATGCAATAACTTTCGCCTCTTTGATGATGCACGAGAACTCGGACCCCATATTTCTTTTGAGTGAAGTCTCTTTACCAGGTTCAACGCCATCGTCAGCGACCTGGCTGAACCAATAAAGCATTAAAAACCGATAACTATTCCGAAAACTAGCAATCATATGCAACGATAAAACCACTAATCCCTCATTTGACATCATTGTACCTCGAATCTTGCTTTCAACCGACGCCTGTAAGTTGGTACTTTGATTCCGGGAATTGCACCATCTACAATTACAAGGCACATTGCAACAAGTCAAGTATGATCAAATACCATAAGAAAAAACCAATTCTTTATCACAAAACATCAATAACTCAGAACTGATTTGATCACTCATGCTTCTTCTGCTACAACTATTCGCAATGATAACAACGATACAAACGCTGCATAAACAACAAACCCACCAGCGAAATGACAGAAATTGAGCTACAAAAAAACCCCAAAATTGGTTAATCTGAAGGCAATTGCACAACAGAAGGGTAGAATTACATTACCTGAGACTAAAATGATGGAGCAGTTTAGGGCAATTAGGGCTCGGAGTCGATGAAAGAATCCCCGAAGATAAACTTTTTCTTTGGTGGCGCAATAAGATTTGTTCACTTTATGCAACTCAACCATCCAACACGAGAGATCCACGCATACCCTTTTGTTTCTACAGCGATTAGATCTCGTTAAAGACTTGGTCTTTTTAAAAAAACCCAGTAAGGTTAAAAGAGAAATAGAGAAGAAGCAATAATAAACTCACTGAAGATGATCGAGTGGGAAAGTCTTCTTACAAGGCTCCAAAACATCCCACAGATACTTCACCCCCATTGGTTTCTTCACCTTCGAGAGGGAGAGAGAGGGATACAGAGAGAGACAGAGACTAAGAGGGAAGAAAATAATATGATATTTGAATTTGAAAATTTTGGATCAATAATTTGAAGCCGAGAAGTCATACTTAGTTTGACCAATGTAATATTTTCCATTCATTATTTTTTTTTTTTTTTTTCCTCCTATTTGTTTTTTTTTCCTTAGGAAATATTCCTCAAATAATCAAATGGTGTAACATATTGTTTAAAAAATTGCTTGGTAAATAAATGAAACATTTTTATGTTTTTAAAAATGCAAAAACGGTAGGTGTTTATTTATCTTGAAACCTCAAATTGCTATAATAAAAATAAACATCGATGTAGAAATAATGAAATTTGAAGCTTCCATAACCAGAATTAGAGCTGTCATTATATAAGATCCAAAAAGTACACACCAAGCCACCATTTTTTATTCAGCTTGCTTCTTCCACCTTGAGCTATATATACGACTCATACTTAAACCATGGAAAAATCCCACTACTTTCTCAAGATTACATTGGCTTTACTCCTTTGCAGCATCATCATCATCATCATTTGCAACATCCTTCTTCTCCGTGATTTTCTCGTCTATGCCTTTCGAAGTTTCATCATTGGTAACTGCGGAAGCTTCTTGTTCACTGTTTGTAGAAAGACCTTCTGCAGAGGTAGCCTTTGTTTCCGAAGCTTCTGAACTTTGGTTGCCTTCTTCATCCTTCTTTTTAATGGTTCCCACTTTGACATACTTGCTCATGAACTTGTACTCCCAGTCTTGTAACGCCTCTAGCTCAAATGCACCGAGGCCTGAGATATCTCCAGTCAAGTCTTGGTCCTCAAATGACATCTTTGCCAGAGCTCGGCTTGCATCTTTCCCTGCAAACAGAGCATATGGCCCGCCTGGTCCATAGAACATTCTGTACAAAAAGAACATATGCCAAGAGAGTTTGTGACCCAGTAGTAAGACTCAAGTTGAGTTTGACGATTGAAAAACTATGTTAATGGGAAATGAGAGTATGATTCATATAGATATGTAGTACATCTCATGAACAATGCACAAAAGAAACAACGATATGCATACATACAACTAAGGGATATGACCGCAACTGGGTTGACTACCAACAATGTTAGCTAGAACTTCACTCAAAACATGATGGGATCAAATGATAATTCTGAACCAAAGGCAGAGAACTGATGGAAGATAAAGTGTAGTCGAATAAAAATCAAGTGAACTGATGGAAGATTTGGGCTTTAAGTATGATGCAAAAGCAAAAACAAACGAACATTATGAACAAAAGGCAGAGAATATTCATCAAATTCCCAGAAAAGGTCAGACCAAGTTAGATAACCAAAAGCTCTCAGCTTTATTTAAAGGAATTAACTTAAACGAGCATCCGAGATTGTAATCAAACAAACAACAAAACCCCAAATTCTTATCTACATGATTAACTAACATAAACCCTAAAATCTAGAAACTACCTGGATTGAAATCGTATCCTAGTTGTGATAGTTAGGATTCAAATAATAATTTCCATGAAGTAGTAAAGATCGTCAAGTAACTATTACCTGCTCTGAGTAACATCATAGATCTGACCCTTGATGGCCATAAGAAGGGGCTTTGTAGAATCGGCGCCGTCATATAGCTTAAGATCCTCCTCAGTGATTTCTCCGAGCTGAACAGGCGGCGGAAGAGGCTCAGATTCCGGCTGAACCTCCAAAGAACGAGGCCGGTGAACTTCGGGGGAGACGAAGAAACCGGAGACGACTTGATAAACGGCGAAAGCGAGAGCAAGTACGGTGAAAAACGCAGCTGGAGAAAGCCCGGTGTAAGCTGTGATCGTTTCCTTCAACGTCTCCCATACTTGCAGAACCATGATTAAGCTAAATCGAGAAGAGAGAGAGAGAGAGAGAGAGAAAGATAGAATCGGTGGTTCACTGTTCAGAGGAGCTTAAAGAATCTTCAGTAAAGTTTATGTGTTTTAATTTTTTCAGATTTTATAATTAATTTTGGAATCGAGAATTAAACATAAAATATTATTATTTATACAGTATTTGGTTGAAAATACAAACAATTGGTCAATTACGCAACCAGATTTTTAAACGTTTTTGATAGTCTTCGTCGTCAAAGACGAATAATTTATAAAATATAGTATTTTTAGAGGTACTTGTTTAATTTGAAAAATATATTTGTTTTTGGTAGTATACATAGAATATTCAAAACGTTTTATTAAAGAAAAGATCGAGTTACACCTAACTAGTGTTTATGGGTGAGTTTAATAAAATAGTGTTCGGACTGTTCGGTGAGGCCGTTCGAGACGAGTGGTAGGTAAGAGATATATAGGTAGAGATGATTGCAAACTAAATGTGACTAATCTTATATGTATTTTAGATTAATTATTTTGGTTAGAGAGACCAGACATACCAGTTTAGTTTAAATTATTTAAGCAAAACGTTTGGTCTATAATATTGATTATGCTAGAGTTAAGAATGGTTTTGCACTTTCGACTATTCACAGATTATAGTTGAGATTTGTAAACTCAAACGACAATGAGTAAACTCACTACGTACGTAAACATGTTTTAAGTGGCCAAAGACTGCGGATTTCTATGGTTTTTGGTTTCGGATGGTTCGATTATAACTCATGTAATCTATGTTTGGAGTAGGTTATACTAATTATTCTATATCGCATTAACTCATTTTTGTAAATCTTCGATAAATAGTGATTAAAAAAAAATGAGTTTGAGATAGCATAACTACTGCGACAAAACGCAGTTTTAGTGCCATTTTTTTTGTGATGAAAAAATGAATTGAGCATGTAACATGCATGTTTTTTTTTTTTTTTTTTTTTTTTATGAAGTTGTTGTATATATAATCGGAAAAGGTTTATGAGCTAATCGTTTATACCTTTTTTTAAAAATTAGTTCACATTTTGACTAGTTATTGTAAAGTTTTATAAAATCATATTAACCTTGCTTTTCAACATTTATTTTCTTCTCTATGTCTGTTTCAGAAAGTTTAATAAACAAAAGCTATAGACACAAAACACTGTAACATTTGAAAAGTTTAATGTTTTATTTTCCTACTTGTGTCAAAGTTGGTGATCCAAAGTTGATCACTACAAGTTTTACAAACAAACATTCGCATTTGCCTACATATATATACACATAATACGTTTATATCAAAACAACCCACAAATCAACTCAAATGAACAAAGAAGAAAGTTAAAAGTTTTCACAAAGAGAAAAAATCACAAAGACATCATCAAAGATGAAGAGAAGTCACTTCATCAACCTTCCACTCTCCTTCCTCGTATTTATACCATCTCACTATCCCTTCATCGTTCTCTGTCCTCTGACACATCACACACGTCTTGTGCTCCATACAAGTCAAGAACCTCTTCAACCTCCCCGTTTTCTCCGTTATCGTCTTATCCAGCTCTCTAATAATCACCTTCTGCTGCGGTTGCCAACCGCTGTACTCCACGAGGTGAGAGTGTGATATGTTGAGCACTTCAAGGCTCGGTAATCCGTCAAGGATTTTCAAGAGCGCTTCCTGCTTTATCGCTGAGCATCTAAGGCTGAGGATTTTGAGATTTGGGAGGCAGCTGATAAGTGTGTTTGCAAAGAAGACCTCAAATGGACCCATGATCTTGAGCTCTTTAAAATTCTTGCAGTTCTTGGCGATTTCTGTTAAGAGATAAGGCGGGTTTGCGATGCTCGGCATTGTTAGTGACTCAAGATCTTTCCAGATTCTTATCGCTTTGCATATACCAGTCTTCTTTATTCTGTTCCAAGCCGGCAGGACAACCCGTCTCAACCCTGGACACCTGCATATATTGAGTACAGCCAATTTTTGAACTTTTAGCATTTAGAAGATTCAACTCAATTGCAATTCACCAATTTTGACTAAGACAGGGCATATAACTTAAACCAAACCAAAAACTGAACCAAACTTTTTCTGAAAACTGATGAGAGTGATTTTTTAATAACCAAACTAAACCAAAATTCTGTTCTACCAACAGATTTAACAGAAAACAGAACTCTGGCCATACTTTGATGGAACAATTTGGAAGAAAACTAAGGGGAAGTAAGAAAAGGAACATACCTTTCTGCGGTGTAAGTAAGCTGATCATCACTCAGAAACAAGTTGAAATGGAAGATCAAGGTCCTGGTGTTTCCTCCGCTAAGGCTCATGGAGAGTCTCAGGATGCGGGTCAAGGCCTCATCAGATCGGCGTTCAACATAGACATAAGGCTCTAATGGGATCTTGATGAAACTAGATCTCATGTGTGACAAATCAAGAGTCTTCCACAGAATCGGATCGCAACAAGCAGCTCTCCATCCTCTACAAACATGAGCTAATCCAGAAGTCAGCTCGAAGACGCTAAACTTCTGGAAAATTCTTACTAAGATGTCAGTGTCCAACTCTTCCCATCTCCTCACTCGACGACTCTCATACTCTTCTTCCATTCTTGCTGTGCCCTAAACAAGATAAAGAACGTCAATCAAAAGTCCTTATTCCTGAAGAGCTTATAGAATATGAGATATGAAAACACACATCAATTCTCTTATTCTCTCCATAAATATGAGATTCTAATCAATCAACCCTCTCTTGAACCCCTCAATTCCCAAGATTCCATCACAAGATTGATGCTATCAGTCAATGAGTTACCAAACACACTGAATCACACAAACAGAGTATTCAAACCCAACTATGATAATTTGGGAGATAATAGAAACATAGTAAAAAGTCACAAATAGAAAGAAAAAAAACTTATCTCCCCTTAGGTAAACCTATAAACCACCAAAGCTTTCTCTGTTCTAAACTTATCTCCCCTTAGGTAAACCTATAAACCACCAAAGCTTTCTATGTTCTAAACCAACAAAATCGATCTTCATCCTTGTTTATAAGAAAAAGGTAACAGCAAACATAAAAAAGGAAAACTTCCCTATCAGAAAGTGAATTGAAATCAAAACCCAAAACCAATTCACAGTAGAACTATGCAACACATAAAACCAAAAGATCCCATTTGCAAAAGACAAGTCAAAATCTCAAACTCAAAACGATTGTGGCCAAGAAACTGAAAGATCACAGAATAACACAGAAGATCGTAAAACTCAGAAGGACATAGAATTAGGCAAATCTGATGTAAAGGAATCGAATTTCGAGAATCTAGAGGAATAAGATCGTAAACCCCCAAAACTCTGTCAACGAATCGATCTGATCTTGTGACATTCTCAAATTAGTCGAACTGAAATTAAAAAAAAACCGTATACGTATAGATCTCGAATCGCCATTTCCTCAATTCACAATCGAACAAGAAACAAAGAGAGACTCACAATGGAATCAGATCGTAAACAAGAAGGAAGCTGAAACACGCAAAAAAGGAGCACTGAGAAATCAATCAAAGAACCTTTTGGAAGAGGCAAATCGTTTGGCGACGACGACACCGTTACAATCTCTCGCTAGCCAATGAAACTAGATGATATGAAAAATATACTTATTGATAAATCGGTTTGATTTGGTTTGTTTACATGTTATTTGATTTTTTTCCGGTTTGATTTTTTTCCGGTTTGACGGAGTTTTCGGACGAAACCGGTCTTTAACTCAATTCACAAACCCTTATCTTTGGGACCAAGATTCCCACTGAGGTTGACTCGTGAAAAAGTAGTTAAATCTGACGGTGTAAAAGGCTCTGTATCATCTAACGGTTGATATGCAGCTTTGGTAGGTGAGTGTAGTTTAATCTATGAAGGGCGGCGATGCGAGAAAGAGAGAGAGATAAAAAGCTCTTCGTATCATCTTCTTCGCTTTCCTATCTCTTTCCCCAGACGGGCCGACCTTTTAAAACGAGTCTCTCGCTTTCTCCCACTTCTCTATCCAAAAGGCGTCGACGGTACGAACACTCTGTTCTTTCCTACACTCACTCTCTTTACTCAGTCTGTTTCTTCATTTGTTGTTGTGGGTTCTTGTGGTTCATTGACAAAGCATTTTAGGTTTCTCTTTCTCTGTTGTGTGAGATTTTAAAAGGTTGAGTCTTTTTATCTTCTTCTGTTTTTCATGGCGTTTTGTTTCATTTGTTTCGGCTGTTTCATTTTGTGTTTCAGGAATCTGGGTACTCTTGCATTTGGTTGTATTGAATTGCAAAAATGCTTACTTTGAGATTAGGGTTGTGTTGTGTATTCGCGTATCGATTTGTTTACAGATGAATGCTTGATTGCTTAATTTTGAAAGAGACTTATCGTTTTGTTTCTTTTGCTTCGTAACACTCTTCTACTCTCAGCTGGTGAATTGAAATGGTGTATTTATGTACCTGCCTGAGCTCTTTCGGTAATTGTGTTTAAGAGATATATTTGTTTGTATACCCAAAGTTATAGCACTTTGACTGGCTGATGTTCTCACTAATGCATATCCTTATCTGTCTTCTAGTGTGACGCTAACACTTCCCAAAGTCAAAGTTGGTGTCTTTGCTCATTCTCTGTTTTGGTTAAATAGGAACTGAGTAGCAGTGTTTGGCATTTGTTATACTCAGCATCGCCTGTATGCACAGATTTTTGATTGCGTGTTGGTGTAGCTTTGTCATTATATGATGTTTGTGTTTTTAATTCATCTTTGTACTCAGTGAAAGCACAAAACTTATCTGTGTTTTTTGGTATTTTTGCTTAAGCCAATATAGTGCTAGAACTTATGTTTTACCATTACCCAATGCAGACTCCAACTCCGCATTATGGGTAGGTTGGTAGCTCAATTTGCAGTTCCTTTTTTGGGTTCCGGAAGGCATGTGCAGTCCAAAGAATACAGAAAACCGAGAGGGTGCGTGAAGATGATGTACAGTTGTCAGGCACCTGTTTTGAAATTACATAGCTTCGCAGGGTTAAGGGCTACCAATCCATTGGATATTATGGGAAGGCCTCGTCAAGATTGGTTTTCTATGTCTAAACTTTCTATCCCAAAACGGAAAGATAAAGGTAAACGATGTGTAACAAAAGCCATGTTTGAGCGGTTTACCGAGAAAGCAATTAAGGTCATAATGCTTGCTCAAGAGGAAGCTCGGAGACTTGGCCATAACTTTGTTGGAACTGAGCAAATATTGTTGGGACTAATTGGAGAAGGGACTGGGATTGCTGCAAAGGTTCTTAAATCCATGGGGATCAATCTTAAAGATTCTCGTGTAGAGGTAGAAAAGATCATTGGAAGAGGCAGTGGATTTGTGGCAGTGGAGATCCCGTTTACACCTCGTGCAAAGCGTGTCCTGGAGTTGTCACTAGAAGAAGCTCGACAACTTGGTAAGGATCTGTTGCTATTTAATAATATTTAGGTTTGGAGCGTGTTATGTGTTGTGCAATTCATAAGCCTATTTTTTACTGATGTAACTAACCATTTCTTATCAATTTGGGAATTTTTATTCTAGGGCATAACTACATTGGTTCAGAGCACCTTTTGCTTGGTCTTCTTCGTGAAGGGGAGGGTGTGGCAGCTCGTGTCTTGGAGAATTTGGGTGCAGATCCTAGTAATATCCGGACGCAGGTAAATGCACCAGTTCTGGATTCTAATAATAATGTCCTATCTTAGTAAACCATTTCGCAATAACATTTTGGGTATTCATATAACAATTTTCAGGTTATACGTATGGTTGGGGAAAACAATGAAGTCACAGCAAGCGTTGGTGGAGGAAGCAGCAGTAACAGTAAAATGCCAACACTAGAAGAGTATGGGACTAACTTAACTAAATTAGCAGAGGAGGTAATGAAAAAATTTACTCATTTTGAAGAGAATGCCATGTTAATGCATGAAGGTTTCTGCTGATTATTATTTTTTCACTTCCTGTTGCAGGGTAAGCTGGATCCGGTTGTTGGAAGGCAGCCACAGATCGAACGAGTGGTCCAAATCTTGGCTCGAAGAACCAAGAACAACCCGTGTCTTATTGGAGAACCTGGAGTTGGTAAGACAGCAATAGCTGAAGGACTTGCACAGCGAATTGCTAGTGGTGATGTTCCTGAAACAATTGAGGGGAAGACGGTAAATATTCTCCCGCTAGATAATTAATAATGAATTTAAGATATTTAGTTAGAGACTTAGAGTGCATAAATATGTGTGTTTTATGCTTCACGTAATTTACTTTTACATTTTTGTCAGGTTATAACCCTTGATATGGGTCTTCTAGTGGCTGGAACGAAATACCGTGGAGAATTCGAGGAAAGATTGAAGAAGCTTATGGAGGAAATCAGGCAGAGTGATGACATAATTCTGTTTATTGATGAAGTGCACACGTTGATTGGTGCAGGAGCCGCTGAAGGTGCGATCGATGCTGCTAACATCTTAAAGCCAGCTCTTGCAAGAGGTGAATTGCAGGTAAATTTTTTATTTTTTATTTATTTGTGTAGTTATGTCAAAATATAAATTAATAGAACCAAAAACTTTAGTTTTTCTAAAATATTTTTTTTATTGGTAGTGTATTGGTGCAACAACATTGGATGAGTACAGGAAGCACATTGAGAAAGATCCGGCATTGGAGAGACGGTTTCAGCCTGTCAAGGTACCTGAACCAACTGTAGATGAAGCTATACAGATCTTGCACGGTCTGCGTGAGCGATATGAGATCCACCACAAACTTCGGTATACTGATGAGGCCTTGGTTGCTGCTGCACAACTGTCACATCAGTACATCAGGTTTTTGTCTTTTATTTATCTCAGTCTTTAAGCATTACAGAACATTGCGATTATCTTACTCACATTGCAGCATAATCTCAACCCAGCTTCTTCTTTTGAATGGACAGTGATCGGTTTCTTCCCGACAAAGCAATTGATTTGATTGATGAAGCTGGGTCTCGGGTTCGGCTACGCCATGCTCAGGTTCATACATATGGCATGTTTTACTCATTACCAAAAATTCTGTGTATAATAGCTACTTGTGCTGATTCAGAGAAAGTATTATTTGTTTAGGTTCCTGAGGAAGCTAGAGAGCTTGAAAAGCAACTCAGGCAAATCACTAAGGAGAAGAATGAAGCTGTGCGAGGCCAAGACTTTGAGAAGGTATCGACACTGAGTTTTTCTTACTCTCCATATAACCAAGATTAATATTTACAGTTTCTGAGTTCTTTTTGCAATAGGCTGGTTCTCATCGAGACCGTGAAATAGAGCTTAGGGCTGAGATAGCTGCTGTTTTAGCTAAAGGCAAAGAAGTGAGCAAAGCCGAGAATGAAGCTGAGGAAGGAGGTCCAACTGTCACGGAATCCGACATCCAACACATTGTCGCGACCTGGACAGGAATCCCAGTAGAAAAAGTCTCATCTGATGAATCTAGCCGTCTTCTCCAAATGGAGCAGACTCTTCACACCAGAGTCATCGGCCAAGATGAAGCCGTCAAAGCCATCAGTCGGGCTATCCGCCGTGCCCGTGTTGGACTCAAGAACCCTAACCGTCCTATCGCCAGTTTCATCTTCTCTGGTCCAACTGGTGTAGGGAAATCAGAGCTTGCCAAGGCCTTGGCTGCTTACTACTTCGGTTCAGAAGAAGCAATGATCCGTCTTGACATGAGTGAGTTCATGGAACGACACACAGTTTCAAAACTCATTGGTTCACCTCCTGGATACGTAGGATACACAGAAGGAGGTCAGTTAACCGAGGCGGTTCGACGCAGGCCCTACACACTTGTTCTCTTTGACGAAATCGAGAAAGCCCATCCTGATGTTTTCAACATGATGCTTCAGATCCTGGAAGATGGTAGACTAACTGATAGCAAAGGAAGAACTGTCGATTTCAAGAACACGCTTCTCATCATGACTTCAAATGTAGGAAGCAGTGTGATTGAAAAAGGTGGTAGAAGAATTGGGTTTGATCTTGACCACGACGAGAAAGACAGCAGCTACAACAGAATCAAGAGCTTAGTGACTGAGGAACTAAAACAGTATTTCAGACCGGAGTTCTTGAACAGGTTAGATGAGATGATTGTTTTCAGACAGTTGACTAAGCTGGAAGTCAAGGAGATTGCTGATATTATGCTTAAAGAAGTGATAACGAGACTTGAGGTCAAAGAGATTGAGCTTCAGGTGACTGAGAGGTTTAAAGAGAGAGTGGTGGATGAAGGATTCGACCCGAGTTATGGAGCAAGGCCGCTTAGACGAGCGATTATGAGGCTTTTGGAGGATAGCATGGCCGAGAAGATGCTTTCAAGGGACATTAAAGAAGGAGATTCTGTGATTGTTGATGTGGATGCCGAAGGAAGTGTGGTTGTATTAAATGGTACCAATGGACGTGCTGGTGGGTATGTTGCTGAAGAAGCCATGGAAGATCCCATTCCAATATTGTAGAAGGAAAGAAGTTTTCTTTTAGTGATTTATTTTTCTTTCTCTCGTTTAAGTGTTATTGAATTTGAGTCCAATTTAGTTCGTATTTGTACTCTAATCTCTTTGTTTTTGGGATATTGATTGTTCGGGAACCATGGAGAATTTGCCACACACAAAAAATGCAGGATTTGGTAGAGTTGAATAAAGTTTCAAGTGTCTGATTTGGTAGATGTTCGTACTTGTTCACTTTTTCTATTCCATCTTCGAAGCATGGTTTTCTTCTGCCATAAGACTTGGACCAGGTTATTTTATTACACAGCGAGGACAAGACTGATTTTTTATTGTGATGAGTGTTTTCGATATCTTACAGTAACTCACACTTTTTTTCTTTCTTTTCCCAAAATTGTTGGACTTAATCGTGAAAATAAGAATACCAAAGCTTACAAACTCGAGTGTACACAAAGGGAACAAAGAAAAACAATGGCACACATAGATTCTTCGTGAAACTTACATGAAGAGAAATATACAAAACGAATCTTTCTTTTACCAAAAGAGAGGAAGAGACTTTACTATGAATCAGCATCAACATCGTGATTCGAAGAAGTAGGAGAAGGAAGCTGATCGATTTCTCTTCGAGAAGCTTCCCACAACTGTTGCTCTATTCCCAGTTTCCTTAGCTCTATCAACCCTCTTTCCACTGAAGACGAGCAATATGAAAAACTTAATTTATCATTCTGAACCGAACTGGAGTAAAAAAATCAGATAATGAAAACGAAATAGCTAAGTCTGATTTTACCATCCAAGGCATCATGAGAGGTTGTCTGAGATTTCCCGCTGCTACGGCTGATCCACAACTGGACACGTTCCTCTGCAATGTCTTCTTCCACACCGTGTAACTTAGCTCTGCCCCAGAAGTACATCAGCCATGCCTGCATTATGTTTTTGTAGGAATCAAGACGATATCTTTATTTAAAGTGATAAGCAAAGATCTACATTGCTTGGACTCATAAACTAACAATATCCAGATGTGTTCCAATTGATGTATCCATGTGATTACTTTTTCTCGGATATGACCTATCTATGTTATAATGATGTACACCATGAATAAAGTGTAGTCGAATAAAAATCAAGTGAACTGATGAAAGATTTAGGCTTTAAGTATAATGCGTGTATGTGTTAAAGTACCTGCTTAAAGGCAACATCTTCTTGTTCCGCCTCACCCAGTTCTGTATTAAACAGTATAACAACATTGTAAGAAAATTTCATAATATGGTTGATTACGTCTACATACAAAAAATTTATGTGTAGGGCAAAGGTAAAATTTGAAACCACAATCCTATCAGGTACCATTGATGGTTATATCTCTAACCCAGTCAAGAGTTTTCAGGTTCTTTATTTTCAACTATTTTCTCTACTAAATCAACTCATGCACTAGGTCAAGGACCGGCGGTTTTCGCTATACTATTGTTATTTTTGTTAAAGATGTGGCTATACTTAGTGCAGCCCTTACACAACTAACAAGGTGCTGAGGGGGTCGACAACAAAGAGAAGAGAAGAAAAAGAACAAAAGACCTCTATCTCAGGGTTAGATAGACTTTTTCCTTACCATATGCATCGATAAATCTGGATTCTCCATGACCTTTGGAATCTGTAAGATAAAGAGAAAACAAAAGCTTAAATTTGTTTGCTTTTAGTTACACCTTCTTATAACGAGCTTACAAGTGTTAAGTATCTAAAAAGACAACAGGTTGATCATCCTTCATTTAAGCACTCTAAGAATAGAAGCGACAAAAAGCAAAAGGCATATATTTCTCATTGTGCAATAGCAGCAATTATAGCTCGCAAAAATACATACATACCAGAAACAGTTTGACGAACCAAACTCAGTTTTCTCTGCTGGGCGAATGCAAGCACAACAGCATCCTCGACCTGAATTTCATAAAAGAGAGGAAATTTTAAAACATTTTCCTTGGAGATCTTTGCTAGGTGACAACGCTTATAGATAACTCAGAAACAATTGGACCTTTAATGATGCTAGCTCTCTCAATCCCATCTCAACTGAAAGCATACTTTCAATATTTCCTTCTCCAGTTAAATCACTCAAATCTCTAGCAACCTTACTCCGATCATTCCTACCTGCATTATTTCATATGCTGGTAAACAAAATTTTTGCAAGCAACAGTACAATAATAACATTTTAAACCATAGCAGATATTAAACGAGCCTTTATCCCAGGATAATTCCTTGGCTTTCTGTGCGGCAGAGGTGACGAGCTCAAATGGAAGAGGAGCCAATGCTGACCAGTGCTCATGCCTAGATGGTGCTATATCCGCACAGATACCTACAGAAGCACACCATAGAAAAAGCAAATATGTGTCAACGTGATGTATACCTACCACACCACAAGTATGTGACCAGGTGTCTTAAATTACTATTGGAGCATGATAATATTTTCTTTACTTTAGTTCAGAAAATGGATGAATCACCTACCATGTTGTACAGCCAAATCCCAATACCGGGCAAGCCAGCATCTCTTCAGGACTACTTCTTCCTAGAAGATTCAATAGTTCATGAAGTCAGAAACTTATAAATAAAAGATTAGTAGATAGATAATAAGACCCAAGCTTTATCAACAAACCATTTCGTCTTGTGTTAAAATCATCCTTTGAGTCATTGTGCGAAGAGACTTCGCTTCAGATTCTGCTTCCTGAAGCCGTTCAGCAGCAGTTGTAGCCTCGTCTTTCAAATTCTGAACATAGGACGGAAAAATAAGACATGGTTTCTTCATGCAAAAATAAAAGTGGTACACTCATGGTAACCAGTACATCAGTGTACCTTACCTCAAATTCTGCACGTAGGGAAACAATTTCCTCATCTTTCCCACTCTTTTTCTGTTTTGCAGCATTTAGAGCAGCCTGAAACAGGTACAAATTTTCTGCACACCTTAAATTGTATGCTTTACATAAAGTGTCTATCTAAGACTTTGATATGGGATTAGAATGGTGGAGAAAGAAACTCGACTAAGAGAAGACTACATCTGAGCTTTAAGACACTTCTGTTCACACTAACCTCTCTTTGACGCAATGCTGCTTCCTTCCTATAGAAAGACACACAAGTCAACGTGAGCAATCAAAACTACCACCATATATTGTAAGAAAAAGGAACAACAAAGAGAAGCTAAAGAAGGCACAAGCTCCCACCTGCTTAATAATTTCGCCTCCAGAGACACTCCTTCTCCAAGAGAGGCAACCTTTTGGAACCAAAAATAAAAACAAATGAAACCTTGTACAGATGCCAATACTTAGATACGTGTTTCAAAGTAAAATTTAAACACACAAAATTAATATCTGCATGTGCTAAACCGAATGGTTCATATTTATATTTTCTCCTTATAACAAATCTAAGGATGCACCAGAAACAACAAGGTGGGAGTCTGCTTCAACAAGATATACATAGAGACTTACACAAGTGGAGTACGTTTTTTTCCCCTTAGATTTTTAAGACACAGCATCAGTAACAAAATTGACTACTCAAGACAACTAGTTCAAAATACAACTAGTACAAAAGACAGCTAATTCAAAAACCTGTTTCTCAAGCTCCTTAGCCCTAGCTTCTGCTTCCACCCTTTTTTCTTCCGCACGACGAAGCTGTAATCAAGTATGAATGTTATACCCAACGAAAGTGAACAGCTTTATTTATGTAAATAAAATTCAGTAACAGAGATCAAACCTTGTCCAATACAACCTCATTCTCCTCTTGTAGCATATCCAGCTGCATTTAAAAATGAATCAGCCTCAAGTCAACTCTTCTGACTGGTACACAAATTCTGATTTAGCTATAATTTCCAATATGTAATTAAATTGACCAGATACCCCAAAGGGTTAAAAGTAACAATCACATACTTCATCACGAAGAGCTGAAGCTTCACGCTGATCACCCTTTTCTTTTGAATTTACTGATGGTACATCAGCAAAAAACCTAAAACATTAAATATCCAAAATCAGAGGCAAGCAGTACAGCCAAAACCAGTGGGGATCACTATATCTTTGATCAAGGAACCCATTGACTTCCCATTTCTCATGGAACTTTATAATAAGCCCTATTATAAGGCTTTTGAGGATAAATATTTAGTCAATTGAAAATCATATTATACACAACTCCAAAGACTAACCAAACTGTGTTTGACATTTTCCACCAAGCCACATGTTCAATTGACTTTTGAGAACTATAATAGGAAGCACAATTGTTAGAAACTTCAAAGTGAAAAACAAAAATGTTTTCACCTTTTATCTCTGCTCCTAGTTGGAGGATCAAGTGGTGGAATAGAAACCGGAGTTTTCACGGACACCCTGCTAGGCGGCATTAGATTAGGAGTCGGGGTCGTGGATCTAGCAGACATTGACGGCCTTCCGGCCGAAGCAGAACGCACTGAAGGCACTTGTTCAGCGAAGTTCCTGCCTAACTATTCAAAGCATAAAAAAAGAGAGACCAATTAGCCCTAAAGAACCAAAAATTCACCACAAGCTAAAACCAAGCCCAGAAAAAAGAGTTCATAACACAATCAAATCAAGCTGATCTGAACTAATTGTGTAAGCTAGCAGACGGAATTCACCGCAGGCGACGGCGATCTAGTTCGGGGAGCGAAGGAAACCGCCGGCAAATTACTGTTTCCGTTGCTGCTATTGCTTCCAGTGGAGGAAAGAGAAGAAGGAGCATGACGAGCAGGTTTAAGAGAAGGAGATGCGAATCTGAGACTTAGATCTTCGTCTTCATCATCATCATCTTCGTCTCCGTTGTCTTTGTTCTGCAAGGCCATAACCTTAGCCAATCGTTGAGCAGCCGCTTTGGCAGCTACGTTCTGAGTCCGCTTGACGGTGGAGAAACCTCCAATACCTCCGAGTTGCTTCCGGTGAGCAGGAGACATCGCCGGCGATGTCGCTTCCGTACTGTTCGATGATTCGCTCCACTGGCGACCATACACTGGGCTGCCCGCCCTCCTCCGATCCATCAGTCTGTTCGTGAAGAAGCTGCTAATGAGCCGGATGTAATCGCTGGATTTAAGCGGGTAAAAAGAAGGTGAACTACAGAAAATGGATTTTCTCAGGAAAAAGCAATATTTTCTCGAGAAAACAGAAGGAAAGAAAATAAAAAACGTTCGGTGAGATTTCGAGAAAAAGTGTTGAAATAATTTAGTGGCGTCAAAACGACAGCGTTTGATACGGAGGGAGAAGAGACACATGCGAGCCTCGAGGAGAAGACAAAAACAAATGTATTATTATTAATTCTTTTGTTAAAATAAGGTATTTGATATTTTATTTTATGTATTAATTTGAATTGAAAGGCAAGTAATAAGAAATGAAATGAAATGAAGTTTTTAGCCATGCTTGGAACTGTTACATACATTACAAATACAATATACGTATTGCTGCTAGAAGAAATGGTGTTGCTCTCATTTACAACTTTACATCGATGTATTAGCTTTAATCAAAGGAATGTTTAAACAGTTGTACTCACTAACTATAAAGATAAGCCTATCAACTACTACGTAATGCATCATTTGAACAACTATGTATCATGTTTGACACCATCAAGAAAGCTTCGTTAGAGAGAACGGTATTAATCCTAGTTAAGGAGATCAAAAAGTGCTAGATGACGTAACTCCTCTATTTATATATGTTCTATTTTGTAACACTGCCCTGGATCTAATATATATACTGTTGGTTGACAAGTAAAATGACTGATTCGGTATGCAAAACCTCGTTGACAAGTAAAAGAGCCGTGACAAAGCAGTATTTGATTATATAATGTTTGACGTCAGTCAATGGTAAAAGACTAAAAGATGCGAATGTTTGAGGGGGTTGGTTAAATATGACATTTTCATAACCAAAACTCATACAGCATCTACTATAAAAACTTCAAATTCGATTCCACCAAAACTCAACCTCAGATTTTTATTCACTCCCGAAGAGAATAGTCAAAAACCAACAGAATCATATTTTTTTTTCCTCTCATCTCGTGGAAAAAATATGTCTGAGTCGTCCAGCGACTCAAGCAGATCTTTGATCCCGAGCTTCCTCTACTCGTCCGATCATCATCGTCTGTTTCAGTCGCGGGAGGAGCCAGCTACGACCATGATGGCTCGTCTCAAATCACGACCCTCGGTTTTTCAGACTTCTTCATCGGTCTCATCTAACGGTCCCGCAAGTTTCGCCATCGCGACGCCTAACGAGAAAGTGGAAATGTACTCGCCGACGTATTTCGCGGCGTGTACAGTCGCTGGGTTGTTATGCTGCGGTATCACGCACACGGCGATCACACCACTCGATGTCGTCAAATGCAACATGCAGGTGAAGTTCCAAACCAATTACTCTATAGTCTCTATTTGTAGTTCAACATTTTTAAGGCTTCTTCAAAAGCTACGTGTGTGCTATATATATGGCTAAATAAATATCTAAAGACAAAAAAATTGAATTTATAATTTATTTTGAGAAAAAAAAGCTGCTAATAACAATTTAAATATTTGTTTAGTTGTGTGTTTAAATGGTACGGATAGAAGAATTAGTGGGGAATAAAGATGAGTGATGAGTAAAGATCCATTCTTCTTTTTTTGCCGGATTAGATTATGGAATTTTTTTGCAATGTTTTTGGATAATTAAGAAATTGGAGTATGGATTTTATATGAATGATTCTTTAATTTTCCTTTGGGTCTATTGAATTATTCAGTTTAGTAAAGTTTTGGCAACTCCACCTTTTTTGGTTATACTTTCAACCTGCTTTTTGAGTTTCTTGTCTTACACGGCATCGACTCTTCAACACCGTCAGAGACTTTTCAATCTCATGCTTGATATAGATGTGAACTCAAAAGAGGGAATCTGAGCTCAATTTACAGAACGAACCCTTAATAATATTGTTATTTTCAGATTGATCCATTGAAGTACAAGACCATTACTTCTGCTTTCAAGACAACAATCAAAGAGCAAGGGCTCAAGGGTTTCACCAGAGGCTGGTCACCGACGCTTCTCGGTTACAGTGCCCAGGGAGCTTTTAAATACGGTCTCTATGAGTACTCCAAGAAATACTACTCAGACATCGTTGGACCAGAATACGCAGCCAAATACAAGACCTTGATTTACCTAGCTGGCTCTGCCTCTGCGGAAATCGTAGCTGATGTGGCTCTCTGTCCAATGGAAGCTGTCAAAGTCAGGGTCCAGACTCAGCCTGGTTTCGCCCGTGGTTTATCTGATGGTTTACCAAAGATCATCAGATCAGAAGGCCTACGAGGGTTACACAAAGGACTTGTTCCTCTCTGGGGTCGCCAGATTCCATGTATGTCTCTATACTCAAGAAAATACAGAGTCATTAAGATGATGATAATAACAGTTAAAACAACTAAAACTGAGGTTTTGCAGACACGATGATGAAATTTGCTACTTTTGAAAACACTGTGGAGCTTATTTACAAGAAAGTGATGCCTACCCCAAAAGAGGAGTGCTCGAAGCCAGTTCAGCTTGGGGTTAGCTTCGCAGGTGGATACATTGCGGGTATTTTCTGCGCCGTCATATCGCATCCTGCAGATAACTTAGTCTCATTCCTCAATAACTCTAAAGGAGCAACCGTTGCTGATGTAAGTAAAACAGCTCAGAGTCGTCGTCCATTGACATATATAGCCAGCTTCAGAACATATCTGCTGCTACTGACTTGTTTTTTTTTTGTTCTTTCACATGTTACAGGCAGTGAAAAAGCTAGGATTATGGGGTATGTTTACACGTGGCCTTCCTCTTCGCATCTTCATGATAGGAACACTCACTGGAGCGCAGTGGGTTATCTATGATGCTGTCAAAGTTTTAGCTGGATTGTAAGTTTTTTCATCACTTAAAAAGATATTTTCATCAATACTCATAAACCATTTTAGAACCAGCATATGAAAGAAGACACTTCATCAGTTACCTCTAATTTTTCTCATTTTCTTAGGCCAACCACTGGTGGTGCTTCTCCAGCTACTGCACTTGCTCCATCTGTAAGTGCATAAAATTACAAGGACACATTCCTCGTATCGCCACCGTTACATTAGAGCAATAAAAGGGAAACACAACTCCATATTATTATTCTTATATTTTGTTTTCTAGCTATATATTGTGTAGTATAGTACAAAAATGGTCGGACGTGCTAAACAAGCTTTTCTTGTTGTTTATACTCAGTATGAATTGTGTCATTGTCTGTTAGGTTTGAACTATTTGATAGTTCTTTCGTTACTTCGTATCTGGAGATAGTGAAATCAGATTCTTATAATTAACTCAGCTCTGCCATACATTTGGGATTTCGTACACCGTTATGAATCTGACGACGGTTTCTCACCCGAAATATAATAGTTGCATTGTATCATAAGTTAAAAACACCAAAAGAGATTCATCTTACTTCATCTTCTTCTATCACTTGTCGTCAGATAAGGTAATCTTCTTACCGCAAGATACGCCGAAGATTGACTTCTTATAAACACCGTAGAGCTTCATTTTCCTATTGGGTTTGGTCTTCAAATCTTCTTCTTCTAGCAGAAGGCTTTCTTGTTGATGATAATCTTCGTACCTGGGATAACAAAAACCCTTGTGATCTCCCCATGTATACCAAAAACTTCAACCAATGTGCTTTTGATAACAAAACTCAAAAGCCAAATATTTAAATCCCTTACCAAAGCTTCTCTGCAAGGCTGTACCTAATAAACAAAAACAATAGCATTAAACTTTGACAATGACATCAAAACTTTAGCAATAAGTTAGACAAACAAATCTCCATAACATGGAAAATGAATTTACTTGGGTCGGAGAGGGTATGGAGCTGTCTCAGCCACGTCAAGAAAAATAAAACGAAAGCGCAACATTCCTAGTTCCTTCTTTTGCCGCGCCTAAAGAATGAAAGATTAAGTCAGCAATGGTACTTTTCAAATAACTACTTGTAAATTTGACGTCATAAGTATACACTTCTTTTTCAGATGACTAGTTAAATACTCATCATTTTACTACTCTCACCTTCTTTGCTTCGTTAGCAGAAGCAAACTCAACAAAGCCACAGCCCACTTGCTCTCCCCTGTGGTTTACAATAAGCTGAACACTAACAACTTCTCCAACATCTTTGAACAAATTGATGCTGTAAAAATGGAGGATATAATATCAGCCATGAAAAACTTGCTCCAAGAACGAAAGATGGAAAGTATAGGTGCTACTTACATATCTGGTATTTTAGTTTTGACATGGAGATTGCTGATATAGAGCGTCTTTTTTCTTACGGCAACTTCCTGAATTTAACAACCAAGTGTGTTAGCACGACTCTAAAGAGAAAAGGACTTTAATTGCATATTAACAAAATGTAGATTCATCGCTAGATTAAGTCATATTTCGACTTTGTGGCAATAGTTATGTTATTACAGAATAAAGCGTTTCTCTGAGAGCATGACATATTTCAAGATAATAAGAGCAGGTACCTCAACATAATTGGGAGTTTCATCAAGTCCTGCTACTGCCTCATCTTCTTCTATCAGAAGGCTTTCTTGTCGAAGGTAGTCTTCATACCTGGAATATCAAAAACCCTTTTTATCTCTCCATGTATACCAAAAACTTTACCCAGTGTGCTCTTGATAACAAATTTATGAGGCAAATAGTTAAATCCCTTACCAAACCTTGTGATCAAAGCAATACCTAAGTAACAAAAAAATAATAGAGTTAGTCTTCAGTAATGCCATCAAAACTCTAGCAATAAGTTACAACCAGTGTTACAGAGACAAATCTCGCTAAGATGGAAAATCGATTTACTTGGGTCGTAGAGAGTGTGGAGGATCTGCCTTAACCACATCAAGCTGAACCTTGCGATTGTGCAAATATTCTCCATCCTTCTCCAGCGCCTACAGTATAAAAGATTTAATCAGCAACAATACTTCAAATAACAACTTGAATATATTCTTTGTCGTAAGTGTACACTACTTTTCAATGAAAACTAAAATACATTTCATCGTTACTATAAACTACTCGCACCTTCTTTGCTTCATTAGCAGAAGCAAACTCAACAAAGCCATAGTCAAATTTCTTGCCCTTGTAGTTTACAGCAAGTCGAACATGAACAACTGTTGCTACATCTTTGAAGAAGTTGATGCTGTAAAAAATGGAGGATAAAGTATTAGTCATGAAAAACTTGCTCCAAGAACGGAAGAGGAAACTAAAGGTGCTACTTACATATCTGATATTTTAGCTTGGTAGATATGGGAAACACGGAGTGTCTTTTTTCTTACCGCAACTGCCTGAATTTAGCAGCCAAGTTTGTTAGCACGACTCTAAGGAGAAATGGACACTTTAACAGCATAACAACAAAAAGTAGCCTCATCTAAAGATTCATCCCCACAGTAAGCCATCTTTCAACTTTGTGGCAACAGTTCTTTTATTAAACACTAAGCGTTGCTTCTGAGTCTGACGTATTTTGAAGATAATAAGTACAGGGATACCTGAACAAAATTGTGATTTTCATCAAGTCCTTCCAGTGTCTCATCTTCTACTACCAGACGACTTTCTCGTAGAAGGTAGTCTTCGTGCCTGGAATATCAAGAACCCTTGTGATCTCTCCATATGTATACCAAAAACTTCACCCAATGTGCTTTTGATAACAAACTAAAGAGGCAAATAGGTTAAATCCCTTACCAAAGCTTCTCTGCGAGATTGTACCTAATTAACAATAACTATACCGTTAGTCTTCCGTAACATTGCCTCTATAACATAAGCAAATTTCCATAACACCGAATATCAATTTACTTGAGTTGTGGAGAGAATGGAGCTGTCTTAGCCACATCAAGAAAAATCTTATGATCGTGAAAATATTCACCGTTCTTCTCTTTCAGCGCCTACAGTATGTAAGATCTAATCAGCAATCATACTTTCAAATAGCTATTTGTATATTCTTCATCATAGCTATACACTATTCAAAACTACTTTAATATTTTATTGCATCATTACTAGAGAACTAGTCTCACCTTCTTTGCTACGCAAGGAGAAGCAAACTCAACAAAACCATAGCCCACATGCTTACCTTCGGGGCTCACAGTAAGTCGAACACTAACAACTTCTCCAACATCTTCGAAAAAATTGATGCTGAAGAAACAGAGGATAAAATATCAGTCATGAAGAACTTCCTCTAAGAACGAAAGTGGAAATTTAAGGTGCTAACTTACATATGTAATATTTTAGTTTGGGGAGAGAGATTGGCAACAAAGAGCGTCTTTCCTATTATTGCAATTGTCTGAATTTAGCAGCCAAAAGTGTATTAGCATGAATTGAACTGTATTGGAGAAAAGGAAACAACAAAAAGTAGACTCATCTAAAGATTCATCCTCAGAATAAGTCATCATTCGACTTTGTGTGACAACAGTTCTGTTACTAAAAGCTAAGCATATCTTCTGAGACTGGAAAAATTTGAAGTAATAAGAACAGGTACGGTACCTCAACAAAATAGGGAGGTGTCTCTTCTTCTTCTATCGGAAGGCTTTCTTGTCGAAGGTGGTCTTTGTTCCTGGAATAATAAAAACCCTAGTGATCTCTTAATAACTTCACCAAATGTGCTCTTGATAACAAAGCAAATAATTAAAATCCCTTACCAAACCTTGTGATAAAGGCAATACCTAATTAAGAAAAATAATAGCGTTAGTCATGTGTAATGGCATAGCAATAAGTTAGAGAAACAAATCTTAGTAACATGGGAAATCAATTTACTTGGGTCGTGGAGGGTAGGGAGCTATCTCAGCCACGACAAGAAGAGTAATCTTATTACCGAACCAAAAGTTACCATTCTTCTTTTCCTGCACCTGCAGTAGGGAAGATTTGGTACTTTCAAATAACTACTAGTAAATTTGGCACACTAGTTTTCAACAAATACATTTCATCATTGGTCTCACCTTCTTTGCTTCGTTAGCTGAAGCGAACTCAACAAAGCCACTGGAAGTACGCTTACCCTTGTGGTTTAAAGTAAGTTGAACACTAACAACTTGTGCAACATCTTGGAAGAAAGTGATGATATCTGGCATTCTAATATGGGGAGGGAGATGGTCAACAAAGAGCGTCTTTTTTCTTACTGATGCAACTGCCTTAACAAAATTGGGAGTTTCATCAAGTCCTTCCACTGGTTCCTCATCAGACTTTTTCTCCAACAACTCGACCCTTTCTTTGATCTGCTGCTGGAGACTACTATCAGCAAATCCTTTCGTTGTCTCCTGCTGCATGAGTGTAGCCATTATTAGAACCGAGACGTAGTTCTTAAAAAAACAAGTGGAATCCATCCGATCATCTTAGGTTACCTTCTCCTCCTCTGATTTTTCCTTATGTTTCTTCGGAATTGGTCTGGTCTCCAAATCATCTTTTGGCTCTCGCTTACCTAGAAGAACAAAGTTTTAAAATCAACAACCTCTTCAGCTAGAGACATGTTTATTTTATAAAACATTAGGTAAGAGAGAGAGTCACACAAAACAAACCCAATAAACTGGCCATGGGGAAGATGAAAACAACCTCGCTCTTCTTTCCCGGGAAGGAGTGGTTACTAGCTTTTTATACACACGTTAGGGGTTTCGCTCTTCTTAATGGGCCTTAAAGGGCTAATAAGCTTCGGCCCAATTAGATTATTTTGTTTTTTCAGTACAACCAAAATCAATATAATTCGAGATTGCAACCATATGATCCAAATTTTTTGCGGAAAAATTCCATACCTGTCCTAGCAAAACAGAGCAATAAACAGAATTGCAGGACCTCCTTCGCAAATGGACGAAGAATATACTTAACAGCCATAGACTTGTAAACATTGTGGAGCTCATACACAAGAAAGTGATGCCTACCCCAAAAGAGGAGTGCTCGAAGCCAGCTCAGCTCGGAGTCAGCTTTGCAGGAATTCTCTGCGTGGTCATCTCACATCCTGCAGATAACTTCGTCTCTTTCCTCAATAACTCTAAAGGAGCAACCATTACTGATTTAAGTGAAATACTATACAAATCCTTACTTCAACAGCTCAGACACATCCACTGATATATATATATATATATATATATATATGGCTTGAGAAGCTTCTGCGTATATCCGCTGCTACTGACTTGGTTTTCATTCTCACAATTGCTACAGGCAGTAAAGAGGCTATGGTTATGGGGTATGTTTACCAGGGGCCTTCCTCTTCGTATTTTCATGATAGGAACACTCACTGGAGCACAGTGGGTCATCTATGATGCTGTCAAACGTTTTAGCTGGATTGTAAGTTTTCATCACCTGCACTTAAAAGTATTCTCATCAATTCTTAAATCATTTTAGAACCAACATATGAAAGGCTCACATCACATACCTATACTTTTTTCAATTTCTTAGGCCAAACTCTGGTGGCACTTCTCCAGCTACTGCGCTTGTTCCATTTGTAAGTGCATAAAATTACAAGGACATTCCTCACGTAGCCGTCACATTAGACCAATAAAAGGGAAACAAAACTCTCAATTATTATTATTTTTCTTGTTTCTACCTTGTATAGTACAAAAATGGTGTTCACTACATCTAGTTATGATGTTTTACATATGAGAGTTTTCGAAAATATCCTTTTGCGTTCAAGCTTATATCAGTTTAAACACAATTGATAGATGAGGGACTACAGCTCTTGAGATGAGTTTAATGGGAAGACAGTATCAAAAACAACCCTAGCAAATACGTGTCTAACTTCTGGAAGGTTGCCTGAAGATAATGAGGTATAATCGATTTTACTGTTTTGCTTAGGCACAAATCTCTTTTGCACATTTTCTTTCACACACTCGAATATTCGTCTTGCATCTAGGTACAATTGCAACGGTATGAAAACCTGTAGAAAAGCCAACGATATGAGAGAATTAGTACAACAGCTAAAACAAGGAAATCTTGTTTCCAAACTTTAGCAAAAAAATATATCGGAATCCGTATCCTATAGTCGAGGCGTTCTATGGAGACGAATCTGCATTTGTATCAACGACAATTTGTTATATGAAGCTAAGAAAAGTAGGAATGCTTACCATATCGGAATGTGGGGCCTGAGGGTACGCTGCCATAGCCTTAGAAATAAATTTCCCATCAGTCATCTGTCCCAAGGCTTCTTTGATAGATGAATCAAAATCCATGACTTCATACAATAAGGATTGGGAGTCCAATTCCTCTGGCTCCAGTAGCTCGAAGAAACTTCTGTTATGTGGCTTTGTGACTTTCTGGGTGATTTTTACAGCTTCTAGAACATCTCCACCATTGTGGACAGCAAGGCTGAACGCGGCAACCACTGAAGGATATCGAGGTTGATCAGCAAGGGCTTTGTGAAGAGCCAAGATTGCTAACCTGCAAATTACCGACCCAATTTTGCAAGATATTAATATATTAGCATCTGTATTTAATATATATAATAAGGATGATGCCTAAAGGATCTTAATAGACGAAGACCATACCATAAGCTGCTGGGGCAAGGTCTATCTGGAGCCAACAATTTATCCAAATTGCCAAAGAGAGACTGCAAGGTTGAATGTTATGTGCAAGTTTTTTACTCAGTATTTTAAGCAACATACACTTGTTGTCTCTGACGAATATTTCAAAATATGCATCTGCTTATTACCAGAAGCATGTTAGTCCTTTTGTCACGTCTCTTGAAACCACTGTGAACGAGATATGCTGCCTGTGAATATTGGAGTTAGATAGACACAAAGATGCGATAAAGACACAACAAGGGACAAGTGAAATCACTAACCTGAATTGGCAAAAGAATTTCTAGTATCCCAAATTTCCACAGCAATCTTAAAGAAGCTTCTGCTGATCCATATGCTAACATGTAATTTATTTCCATCAAGATTCTTCCCTACACATTTAATGCAAAATCATTCATGAACAAGATGTAATACAAATGTGTAATATATATTTCTTTGTGGAGAGAAACAATAACAAAAGCTACCCTGTGGAGTCTTTGTACAAGGAAGGAAAGATTCTTTAAGAAATGAGCTGTTTCCTTGGATATTGTGAAACCTAAACGCGCAGCAATTCTTGTTCCACGAAGAATCCGGGCTGGAAATATTATTAACAATAAAGCACTAATAAGCTTCCATTATATAGATTTTTGATGGTATTCATACAAGAATTTGTTTTTCTAGACTCTGAAGGGCGTTTCTAAAGAATCCGAGGTGGAAATGTTATATAGATTATTTTTTTCCCAGAAAACTCACCACAGTCCTCTTGAAAAGATTTGCCAGCATGAAACACCGTCTGTACCTGTGAGAAAAGAACCACTGTTCTGTATTTGTAAATAATTATACCCAACAAAAAGTTATTACAGAATACGTCCACACCTTAGCTTTTCTAATATCTTCAATTCCCCCGAGATAGTCATATACAACTTTGGCATAAGGATCAAACATCAACCTGAGATAGGAAAAACAACATTAACTCGTAACGAAGTGTAATAAAAGTTAGAGATTAACAGGAAAAATGAAGAACCAATTCTTTTTGTCTTTCTACAGGAGATTATCTAGGGATTAGTAAGATACCCATTAATAGTGAAATCACGCTGCAAGCAATTATTGAAACGGATACTGTCCTCGTCATAGGAGTCACTGGATTTTCCAGAACCATTTCTCATGTTTCTTGGAGAATGTTGAGCAGATGTGCTAATACTCGAAACCTACTCAAAATGATAGAAAGGAATTTAAAGAAGAGACAACAAAAAAGTTGCGAGATTTGTTCTTATTTGCATTTACTTATATTGGCTTTCAAAAGAACATCCTTGACAAGAAAACAACAAACCTCTATCATATCATTCCCAACGTGCACGTGACATATAGGAAACCTTCTTCCAACAATTTCACATCTTGAGAAAGTCCGAACAACCTAAACACATTTCCAACCAAAAAGAAAAATAAATGTTTGAAATCCGACTAAGACGATGTTATAGAGATGAATTTTTAAGCTTGGAGACCAACCTCTCTAAGTTCTGCAGAAGTAAGTATATCAAAGTCTTTCGGAGTCCGCTTCAAAATAAGATCCCGTACACAGCCTCCAACAAGGTAAACATCATGTCCTACACATCATGGAAAAAAAGGAAAACACTTAACAAAATCAACAACAGAAAAAGCTTGAAATATGTCATATGTAGGTTCTATCAGAAGATCAAAGCATCAACCTTTATTCTTAAGGCCATTTAGAACTAGTCGGGTGGGCTTTGAAATCATAGAACTGGTTATCCCAAGATCTTCTGAATTCAATTTCTTCCACTCTGGTGCTTTACCTTTCAACACAATCACCCAAAGTTTACCAAAACATCAAATCAAGCCAAAAGATATAAGCAATCAAAATTCGAAATAGTTGCAACGAGTTAAGTTGATGTTCGCTCCAAAAGAGTTAATTTTTGTATACAAATGTCTATAATAGCTGGAATCAGAGAATTGAGTCTGGATTCTACCATTACTCGTTTGATCAGAACCCTTGTCATGATCACTATCCTTGTCATCCACAGTCTCAATTGCAGCAGCAGCAACAGTGTTGAACTGAACCTGTAAGCGAAAGAACATATTATGAGAAAAAAAAGAAAAGAATTTGAATATATGAATGAATTTTTATATATGACTGAGTGCCACCTTCGACAAACAGTAAAACAGGGGAAGAACAGGAAAATGGGATCTGCAAGTGAAACCCAGACTCAAAACCGCCATGAAGATTCAAAAAGATTCACCATTTCATCATGGGCTTCTAAAAAGGTTATCAACCTGCTTTAATGGATTTTTTTAGTAGCAGAAATTTTTTACAGGGGAGATGTTTAGGGTTTTGAAGCTGAACAACGAAGGGGTTTAAGGCCACGTGGCCAGTTCTCATTTGAAATAACGTTCTGTGAAGTCGATGCCGGTTTCATGTTACTCACTAGAACATCTTGGCGTTCTTCAACATATCTGTTTCTAACTATCGTGCCGTTTTAACACTTTTCGTTGAGAACGCAGCGTTTTGTATAATGATAAAAACTGTATGCCGTCTTAAGCTTCAGAAAGGGGACAACACGCTGTTTCCGTTAATGCTCATTGTGTAGATCGGAACTTTCGCGTTAGTAAGTAATTCACATCGTCGTGTCCTGGAAAGATCGAAGCTGAAGGCTTTACTGGGGAATCAATGAAGCTCTTGCATTTGATATTCTTATTAGCTTTAACTACTGGGATCTCTGCTGTTCTAATCTACATTATCGGCGTCTCGAATCTATGTAAGTGTATACTCCATTGTTGTCCCCAGTGTGAATGCTTGTAGTATGTGTATTCGTGAATTTTTTTCTGAAGTATGGCGATGATTAATGATAAAGAAGATGATTCCGTGGATTTAGACGAGTCTAATCGGCTTAGCAATGGAGATTTAGAGGCGTTGCAGTCTTTACAGAGCGGATTCAAGAAGTGCGTAGTAAGTGAATCCAATTTAGATATATATGTTAAGCTTCATCATCTTTTGTTGCTCCTTTTGCGCATCAGTCACTCGAATTGATTGCTTGATCCGTTTTGAGTTAGATCTTACTTACCTATCTGAGCTTAGCTGACTAGAACTGATCTAATGATGATGCAGAGTGCAAATGGGCTGGGACTACAAGCTGCTACGGGTAGAGATTATTGCAAAGTTTCGATAAACTTCCCCAAGGATACTGTACCCAAATGGGTAAGTTCTGTCGTCTGACTATCTATCTTACCTGACTTTATACAATAGCAGAGTTAAGCTAGTCATAATCCTAGTATTAGTGTTTAGCAAAAAAATAATTATAATCTACCTTATTTTTATGTCATGGATTATGTACAATGACAGAAAGATCCCAAGTCTGGAGAGCTTGAAGGACTTTCATATGAGTTTGACCTGTGCGAAGCAGTAGCTACATGGGAACAAGTGAGTGTTGCGGTTCTTATAGTCTGTGTAACTTTCAGTTCATATTATTTGTTTTAGTCTTTATAGTGATGGGTTAATGGGCGTGTTGGTTGAATAGGTCAGGAATAGCTCTACCATACTCACCAAGGAATACATTGATGCCTTGCCAAATGGATGGGAAGATTATGCGTGGCGCAGAATCAATAAAGGAATTCAACTGTACGTATTCACGGATGAAAGGCATTATAAAATTGCTATTGTCATTATCTGTTTTCATAGATAACAGCTCAAGTATGTTAGAATTTAAGGGTCTTAGTCACAATATATTAGGTAGTTTGTAAATATAGTGTACAATGCTGTGTTATCATCTTCTTTTCGTGGCCTTAATGAAACTCGCACTCTGGTGCAGTAATCGTTGCCAAAATAAATCTTTATGCATCGAGAAGCTTTCATTGGTGCTTCCTGAAACAGCACCATATTTCCCCCGGCAGTTTGAGCGTTGTGCTGTTATTGGTAACTCTGGTGATCTCTTAAAAACAAAGTTTGGAAAGGAGATAGATACTTACGATGCGGTTCTTAGAGAAAATGGTGCTCCGATTCAGGTTAATGATTGGTTCTTTCATCAAATTTCCAATTATTTTGTTTCCTCTGTAGTCTCACGTACCTTCATTTTTGTTTGGAATATCGTCTTGCAGAACTACAAAGAATATGTGGGAGAGAAAAGTACATTCCGTCTTCTTAACCGAGGGTCAGCCAAAGCCCTTGACAAAGTCGTGGAGTTGGATGGTACTGTATAACTGTCCTCTTTCTTTTCACTCCTTAATGGTTATCGTCGCCATTGTTTCTATATATATATATATATATATTCATTTGTGTGTTCACACTTTTATGCTTGCAAATATATACTCCACTCTCTCTGATCCTTTGAAATTATGCAGAAAAAAAGCAAGAGGTCCTGCTAGTTAAAACAACAATTCATGATATTATGAACAAAATGATTCGGGTTTGTACATTGCACTTATTTGTGTCTTAGCTCTCTTGGTTTTGAATATCTGTAATCTGCTCCTGGTCTTTGAAACATATTTCAGGATTTTTCTTTCTATGCAGGAAGTCCCGATAAAAAATCCTGTGTACTTAATGCTTGGTGCTTCATTTGGCTCAGCAGCCAAAGGAACTGGGCTCAAGGCTCTTGAGTTTGCTCTCTCAACGTGTGATTCAGTGGATATGTATGGTTTTACTGTGGATCCAGGCTATAAAGAGTGGTATAAAGTCTTACCTATATTTGTTTTTTCTAGCCGTCTACTTATTAACCATGTTGACTATGTGTACCTGTCTTTTAATTAACCATGTTTATGTTTGACAGTAATCTCCTGTAATAATTTTTCAGGACTAGATATTTTTCAGAATCACGACAAGGACATACTCCTTTGCATGGCAGAGCTTACTACCAAATGATGGAATGCTTGGGTGTAAGTATCTGGTGTCTCATTTTTCCTCATTATCCAGTTAACTAGTTGTTATGGAATAACCACATGATTCGTTTATATCATTTGCATTGGCCTCTTATGGATTAGGAGATCCTTCTAGCTTTTTGGTTTTAACTTGGTTATCCTTTTTTAAGCTCATTAAAATACACTCTCCCATGAGAGCTGATCCAAACCGAGTTGTGAAATGGGTGCCAAGCCGCAATACAATTAGATCTGCAAGAATTGCAGCAGAGAAGCTGTTGAGGTAATCATCATTAACACAATTTCATCTTCCATCTTTGCCAACATGTATCAATTCTCTTAAGAAACCATTGTATGTGCAGGATAGTTGGAGCAGGATCTGCAGACCCATTAGCCTCATGCTCAATAGTAAAGAAGAGAAACAAAAACAAGCGTCCATTGGTCTCACACCTCAGAAAACCTGTGAGTGACCATCAACATTTTGTGAGAAGCACGAGCATGTACCCTGTGGAGCACAGTCCAGGACATGGTCAGCTTTGCATTACACCAGCTGACCAGCACATCTAAGAATTGATTAACCACCATACACATTGAAGCACAAAACAGGATTTCAGGATGATGATAGATTCACATTCAAAAGGAAGTCCCTTTGCTATTGCACAATTGTAGGGATTGAAGATCATTGAGGTGAGAATTTTCTGTGCAGTCTCTTGAGGTTAGGTTGATTCTTTTGTTATCCTGTTTTTCAAAAAATACTTCACGAGAGATGTAGGTATAAAAATCATAGAAGACTAAATAGAATGGGAAGCTAGAGATTGCTTGTTCCATGTCTAGTTATAGAATATCAAGCAAATGCTACGTTCTTTGTACTCTTGCCTTGTTATTAATCCCCGACTTACTTTTTACTAGTTGCAAAGTTAGATTATGCTATTAATGAAAAAGCACAAAATAGTGTAAAGCAGTTGACCCTATATTTGTTCCTACGAGCTTCATGAATATGAAAATGGAACCAGTCAATGAAATCTGACAAGTCCTAAAGGGAGCTTAGAGAATACCTGATGGATCTTTTGAACCAGAAAAGTAGCTGAAGCAGTAAATTACATCTTTCAGAAATTTCCTTCCTAAATGTTCGTTTGAATCTTGGGTCAGTTAAAAAACCCAAACCTTTAGATTCCAAATCTCATCAATGGTTTTTCAGTACAGAATTCAAATAAAATTTAAACTCAAACATTGGCTGGCTGAACCATGATCGTTCAAGACATATGCTCATTCTTAGCCTAAATTATATGGGCTTAAACGATGAAGCCCACAAGGGCCCAATACCTCTCTCGTATCACACAATCAGATCGTCTTCGTCTTCTTCGATTCATTCATTCGCCGGTTCAATCGATCGAGAGAGATTTGCAGAAGGAGAGAAAAAAATATGTCTTTCATGAGAGGAGAAGCGTTAGTCTCTAAACTTGCTGCGCTCGCCAAATACGCCGTTCTTCCTGGAACTATGATCGCCGCTCTCATTTATTCGCCGCCTGATTTCTCCAAACACTCTAAATCTTCCAAATAGGTCAGATTCGGAATCATTGATCTCTTCCCTTCGTTCGTCGCGGTCGCCTCTGGAAATTTTCAGTGATTCTGATGTGAGATTTGTGATTTGCGTAGTCAATTTGAGAACGGAGAGAGCTCTCGCATACTGAAATCAAAATTTGAATTAGCTTATTTCGTTGAATCGAAATTGGGTTTTAGGTATATCATCATCATCATCATCATCATGTATAAACTTGCATATAAACTCAAAATTCATACTAGTTTTGAGTTTTTGTTTGTTCTGATTTTGGGAATTTGAAAATGATAGTTTTGTATTCTATGTTACTCATTTAGGGGGTGAAGGAGATCATGATATGAAAATCTTGAAGTCTTCTTCTTCTTCTTGATGTGCAGGTTACAAACCGTACAAGTATGTGGCCTCAAGAGCTACTTCTCTCTTTGGAAAATGTTCGTTGGTGATTGATTGACTCGAATGTTCAGAATAATGTTTCATGGAAACTTTCCCCGTTGAGAATAAGATATGCACAAGTTATCTTGTTACATAACCATCTCATTTTGACTTCTTATTGTCAAAACTCTTCCTTAGATCGTATTCATCGGTTGATTTGCTCTCTAAATGTTTGTTCGGTCTAAGTTTAGTTAGTTTCTCAAATTTCTTCTTTGTCGATACTCGATAGTGTTTGTGTGTGGGATTCAAATAGTAATACTGCAGTCACATTATGTACTCTGCTTATGGATCATTAAATCAATCAATAGAGTCTAGGTTTGGTCTTTTCTATGCCATAAATTATAACTTTATTGCATTAAAACTAATCTTCTTTTAAAATTGAATCCCTCTTCTATTGCACTAGCTTAGGGATTGACCGATCGTTGAGGTGACAGTTTTCTGCTTAGTCTCTTGAGGTTGCTTTAGTATTGGTTCGTTTGTTATCCTGTTTTCCAATTTTTTCTTCAATAGGTATAATCATAGAAGACTATAATAGAATGGGAAGCTAGAGATTGTTGGTTCCATATGTCACTATAGAATATAAAGCAAATGTTATGTTCTTTGTACTCGTCTTACTAATCCCTGGCTTACGTTTTACTAATTACGAAATTAGATTAGTCGATTAATCGAGCAGCAGAAGAGTGTAAAGTGGTCTCAGCTCTCTCTTTGTTCCTACGAGCTGCATGACTAGGAGGAAATGAAAATGGTATACAAAAGTCAGTAAAATCTGAGTCCTAAAAGACAAGGAAAAGAGAGCGTAGAAAATACCTGACGGATCTTATGAACCAAAAAAAGTAGCTGAAGCAGAAAGTTACATTACATCTCTCAGTGATTCGAAATTCCCCTCCTAAATGTTCGTTAAAACCCAAACCTTAAATTCCAAATTTCATCAAGGGCTTCAGCCTTCAATACACAAATGAATATAAAACTCACACCTTTGCTAGAGTTTGGTTTCTCTCCCTGAGATCGTTAGAATCTAGGAACGAGCTTCTTGATGAACGGGGATCTTAAAACTGAAACAACAATTTATAATCATACATCAATACACATCTCTTCTATTAACCATCAGAAAGTTTAACCAATTTGTACGTCTTATCTGTAATCAAAGATATAATCATAGAATAAACGACTGCTGACCAAATAATCATTTACAACAGAAGAGCATCTGTCTTTATATTTCCTTACCAATCTCTCAGCAATGTATCTGTCAGATACCAAAACCAGTCGCCCGGTTCTTCTTGCTAGGATTGAAATGTTTGCTTGTGTTCTTAAAGGGTCCAATGAAGATCCACAAGCCAAGCTTCCATCCGACATGAGATTTCCATACATCCACACCGGACTTGATGCTTCTATTCATACAGAGAAGCAAATGGCTTCCAGACAGATTGAACAAGTTTAATTTTCCATATTGTAGACTGATCATGTGCTCAAGATGTCATCGAGAATAAAACATCGAACCAATACATTCCATGTAGCAATACTTGGGTCAATACCTTCACTTATCATCCTCTCAAGAAGAATCACTGCATCCTCCCTACAATTAGATCTGCATAGACCCCATAACACATTTGTGTAAGAGATTACATCAGGTCGCCACTTTCTTCTTCCACATGAAACTAGATCCAACATCTGGATTGCCCTCTCAGCTTTTCCTTGTTTGCAATATGCTAATAATATCATATTCATTGTTATCTCATCTGGAGATTTACCATCAACAATCATTTTTCCTACTAGTTGCAGAGCTGTCCCCGGTAAACCTGCATTGCATGATCCATGTAAAAGTGTGTTGTAAGTCGATAAGCTCCACTCCACACCTCTCATGAAGATCTCTCGGGTAAGACCATAAGCTTCTTCTATTCGGTTTGCCTTTGCAAGCCCATCCAGCAACTCATTATATGTTACAATGTTGGGAGGACATTTGTATTGCTGTTCCATGTGTCTGAACACTTTCTCAGCCCAGTCAAGCCTCCCAGCATCGCATAAACCTTTGATAAATGCGTTAAACGTTGGCACAGAAGGAGCACAGTTTTCTTTCGACATAATTTCTATAAGAGATTCAGCTTCTTTAAACTTGGAGTGCCTACAAAGAGCTTCAACCATGTTCGTATACACCACAACATTTGGGGAGCATCCATTAGTTAGCATCTTATTCCATATATAAACTGCACCCTCGAGGCTACCTCTTTTGGCAAAGCCGTTGATAAGAGAGCCATAGGTTCTGATGTTTGGAGAACATCTGTTTTCTTCCATGTGTGAAAAGACAGACAGAGCCTTTTCCATATTCCCATGGGAACAAAATCCTTGAATCAAAGTATTAAACGCTACAACATTCGGTTGTAACTCAAATTGTCTGATCATTCGGTTCCACGAGTCTAGAGCATCGACTGTCGTACCCTTTACAAAACAACCCTTCACAAAAGAACTCAATGTATGGATATTTGGATGACACCCTCGTTTCAACATCTGTGCCAGAAGCGAGAAAGCCAGCTCCAAATGACCAGAATTGCAAAGCACATTGATAAGTGTAGAATACGAGATAACATTAGGAGATATCCCCTTCTCCACCATTTCTCTCATCAGGTCAAACGCCCCTTTGTAATCATGGTCTTTGCATAACCCATTAATCAAAGCATTATACACGCTCACAACAGGTTCAAATCTTACTGCCAGCTCCCTACCTTCCTTCACCATACCAAGCTCGCACATCGATGAGATCACCGTAGTGTAGCTCACAGCATCAGGAGAACACCCTTTATTCGACATCTCCACCAGCAACTTCTTCGCACCATCTACCTTATTGTTCTTACACAAAGCCTTAAGAAGAATATTATACGTGAATACATTGGGCTCAAACCCATCTCTCTTCATATCTCTATAAACAGTATAAATCATCTGAATCCTATTCTCACCAAGTAGAGTATCCAAAACATGGTTATATATCTTAACAGAAGGATCACACCCGAACTCCTTAATCCTATAGAACATCTCCACAGCTCGTTCAGCCAAACCCACTTGCCTATATACACTAATAACACTGATAAACAAATCTTCAGAACAATGAAACCCTTGGAGTTTCATCTGCTGCAAAAGATACTGAACACTATCAACCTGACCATCCATCGCAAGTTTTCTGATCATCACCTCGAATGTGAAAGGTGTGTGCTTGAAAAGATTCGAATTGGCAACGGATTTGAAGAAATGCAAAGCTAAGGGAACACAAGACTCTTGTCTCAGCCTCTTTACCACATCTGATTCTTTAATCTCGTCATGTTTTGGAGCTTCCGTAAGGAGATTCACACTGAGATTTGTATTGAGTACAAATGGGATAAGTGGCTTTTGAACTTTCAATAGCAACGAACATCCTTCTTTCAGGTACATGACCGTGTTCTAAAGCGCCGCCGCGAATACACTCAAGTCGGAGAAAAAGGCGGAATTTTTTTGAAATGTCGATGTTGAGAAAACTTCTGCCAAAGCTAGGGCTCTGTAAAAATCGCAGGTCTCAGGATGAAGATGATAGTCAAATTGAATTAAACCTTTCCTGAACGGTAAGCATATATTTCTGAGGGATTAAAAAGGAAACTAACGAAAGTTGAGGGACTTGTTTATAAAATCTCTTTTAAAAAACTGTTAGTGTCTGCACAAACACACACGTGTCAGTAAGTAAACACCTCTCTTTCGTCTTCCTTGCTCGATTCTCCTGATGACGATTTCTCACATCCACTTCTGATTCCTTCAGATAAACCTAAAATAGCCTAAGCCAAAGACTTGCCCTTTCATATTCTCCAGTTACTTCCACGCTTGCTAAAATTCGCTCATGGCGGCTCCAATCTGAGAATTTTGAAATAAAGATACCAGGTTGCCTTGAGAAAAAAAAAATGGCGGAATTGCAGCCACTGGATGGTCAGCAAACAAACGGCGGCGTTATTCCTCCTCCGGCTTCAAGTTCAGTAGAAGTGACGGCGATTACAGCCGCGGGATCGAAACGATTGAGAAGACCAAGCGTTCGATTAGGCGAAATCGGCGGAGACCAGTACCAGCATCATCATCATAACCAAGCGGCGTCGGCGTACGATTCTCAGGGGAGGAAATCGAAATGGGCACCGGCGACGACGACGAGTGGTAATAGAAAAGATATGAGTAAATCGTCGAGGACGCGAACCCTAACGAATTTGAGTTCTGGGTACGATAATATCGGAACCCTAGATGATGAAAGAGAAGGAAATGTGGATCCTTTTGGTGTTGGGAGTTGGCGGGTCAAGAAACGGGTCGGGTCATCGACAACAGGAGCAGCGGCGAAGAGAGTTCGATCCAATTGGGTATCGAGAATTGGGGATGGGGATGATAAAATTAGTGGAGGGGAAGAATTGGAAGGTGGGTTTAGGGATTTTAGCAGAGAAGATTCAGAAAGTCCGATAAAGGAAGAGTCTTTGGATAGAGATGGTGGAGGTTTTTACGGTAGAAGAAGATATGAGAGTAACAATAGTAGTGGAAACAGAGAATTCGAGTCGAATATGGATGGAGGAGTTGGTGGTGGAGGAGGAAGAGAAGGGGTGAAGATTTGGCTACAAGAGTTAGGGTTAGGGAGATATTGGCCAATGTTTGAGATACATGAGGTTGATGAAGAAGTTTTGCCATTGTTGACATTGGAAGATCTTAAAGATATGGGGATTAATGCCGTTGGATCGAGGAGGAAGATGTTTTGTGCAATCCAGAAGCTTGGTAGGGAGTTCTCATGAGTGTGAGAGAGAATTTTGATCGATTAAAGAAGAAAAGAATTTGGTTTTTTGTGTTGTTCTTTTGTTTGTTGATGATAGTCAGTCATGGCAGAGTATAAGCTTGCAATGTTTTAAACCATAAAAGGCTTTTTTCCTCTATAGATTTTTCAATCGGTTCTATAGTTTCTTATCTTGATATTTATTGTTTGAATGTAGCATTAGGCACAGTAGTATTAGTAGAAGGAGAAGTGGGAAAAGAAGAGGATGATGAAGAAGAATAGTAGAAGAAGAAAGAAGAAGGTTCTTAACTCTTTGGTCTCACTTTTCTTCTCTTGAGATGGTCTTCATGGATGTTCTTGATGATAATAAGTATTTTGCAATCGAATAGGTGTTGCTATTTGCAGTAGAAGTTCAAGGAGAAGGAACGATTGTGTTAAGTCTAGCATTTTATTCACATTGTGGAAGTGTTTTGCTATCTCAATGTGTAGGAACAGGAACAACTAAGAAAAAGAAAATTAGACTTTTCATACTTGTGCCTACCTCTTTTCATCTGTGGAAACAGAGGAACCATAGGAGGCTAAAACCAGAAAGATTTCAGATCTGAGTCAACATGGGATTTTTTCCATGTGATTTATGTATAAGTTACAAATGCGATCAATAAGTTTGAAGTGGTGAACTCAACTCAACCATGAAGTTTTTTATGCTCTAACGTGGTTTTTCGAAAATATTATATACTGTTAGTTTGAACTTTGAAGTATTGCCATGTTTCTCTTCTTCTTGCTGTCTTTGGAGCTGCCGGTAAATATTTGATCCCGGTAAGGTCACCTGCTCTGCTCATAACCTGTCATAATTCAGAGAGGAACTATAAGCACAGTCCATTTTTTGGATTTAACCTTTTGGGGTAGATTCAAATCATATATACTATGCGGAGAATTTGTTAAGCCATCATGGAGTTTATCAACCTGGGGAGTGGGGCTTCCTACTACTTACAAGTGAAACGAATTGGAGAAGAACCTGAATATGATGATATAACCGTCTGATGTAGAAATCCTCATGCGCCAAGTAGATGGGTGCATACCCCCATATTAGGGTTGCTGGTGCGCCACCAATCTAAGATTCGTTGGAAGCAATCGCGGAGCTGACCAAAGGTGAAGAGCAAGCCGTAGCTAAAGTAGGTGGATACATCAGCAAGGTACGGGATCGTAACCATTGTTTCCAGCTCCACGTCGTCTTCTCCTCCAATCAACCTCTCACTAAAACCTCACCACCATGGATGGCCCTGTCTCTCCTCCAGTAAAGGCCCGTCCAAGAAACCAAATATGGTTTTTGACAACGTAGCAATACGGATGAAATTCTTGAAGATTTAAGATTTTATAGAATTGAAGATTTTAAGGACTTGATCACTCTGCGCAAGTTGTACGTAGAGGACCCGGAAATTTTTCTCGACAAGATTGGTCCCTAGCAATCTCTGGAACTATATCACAGGGCACCAATGTTTGTAGCAAGCTAGGTATCGAGAGCGGGTCCATAAAAGTTTAAGAGACTGAGCTATCCGACTCTGAATTCGTACGATATTTTTAGTTTACGAGATTCTAGTTTCTACGGCTTGTATTGTATAGTCGTGTGATATGGAAGACCAAAACAAATTATTTCGGAAATAATTCTAGTCCAACTAATCAGGACCCTTAGTTCGTGGAGTGAAGCAGAAGCACAAATGTCTTCGATAGCATCTGTAATTTTGGGCAACAATTTAAGAGGGAAACTATACAATTAACTCTTACAAAACCAAAAGAAAACAGGAATAAGGAAGAAGACAACAATCACATGTTTCACAAACAAGTAAGAGGACGACAAAACAAAGACAGACAGCCATGAAATTGTACGCTAATACGCTATAATTGATTGCTAGTCAAACCTCTTCCGGAAAGAAACTGATGCATTACTGTTTTAATCCAATTTTATCCCATTTTTGTCTTGGTCTTGCTTCTTTGGAGCTGCCGGAAAATATTTGATCCCGGTAAGGTCACCAGCTTTGCTTATAACCTGTCCATAACAAAGAGAGGATTAGAGAATGTGGTACGAATCCATTGAAATGATGAACTACAAGCAGAGTCCCTTTTTCAGGATTTAGCCTTTTGGGTAGATTCAAATCATGTATGTGATGCTGAGAATTTGTCAAAGCCTTCATGCAGTTCATCAGGGGATTCAGGTTTTCTACTATTACTAGGAGTTTACATGGTAAATGATATGGGAGAGAAAGCGACTAAAAGGAAGATTTCTTACCTGTAGGGCTTTAATGAGATCTTCTCTTGAGTGAGATGCTGATATGCAAATACGAGCTCTGGCTAGCAATAGAGGTGTAGCAGGGAAACCGACGACCACAACTGCCAACTGTTTACAATTTTTTAATATCCGTTAACATAAGAGGTGAATTTTCTTGTGTGAAAGCAAGTGAGATATTGCAGCAGAATTTAGAGACACTTACGTTTTCTCGCAAACATTCCCTTGAGAAGGCTGGGATTTTTGCTGGATTGTAAAGCATTATTGGCATGACTGGGGAATCATTGTCACCAAGAACCTCAAACCCCATCTTCTGCAACTCAGCCCTGAAAAAGTTACTGTTCTCCCTTATTCTAGCTAATTTTTGTGCACCTGCGAAGGTTTTTTAAAAAAGAATTTGAAACTGAAACTTGAGAGTATGAAGCTCAAAGAGCAAAAGAGTTACAGCAAGAAGAGCAAAAAGAAAGTGCAAAGATACCTCTGTTTGAACCGTCCTCTCCAAGGATAACTTTTATGGCCGATATGATTTGCTGTGCGGAGGGAGTTGAAATTGAAGTTGCGTACAGGTGAGCAGGGCAATGGTACTTCAAATATTGGATGAGGTCCTAGAAAAGTTGAAAACACAATATGCTGTAAAGCCTTTGGTTAATTTTGAGATGAAGTGTACTATTTGCCTAAAGAATCACGTTGTCTGTTGTGTAGATACAGAATGGTCCAACTTATGATTTACCACAACAATATAAACCACGGAAATGTGAAACAATAGATCAGTGAGTGAGAACAAAAATATAACTGCTAACCTTGGATCCGGCAATATAGCCACCGCAAGACCCGAAAGATTTTGTGAAAGTTCCCATCATTATGTCTACATCAGCAGTGTCAACTCCCAGGAGTTCACAAACACCCCTTCCTGTCTTGCCAATTGCTCCAATGCTGTGAGCTTCGTCCAAGTAAACATATGCCTGATACAAGGATATGCAAGAAGTTAAGTTACACATATGACAACCAAGTCTGATTTTGGAAATGATAATATAGTTGATCGAGTTCTTTCTCTCATTCATGTTGAGCACAAAAGATGGTATACCATGTTACCTCACCTTATACTTCTTGCAAATTGAGACAATCTCGGGCAGATGACAAATTTCCCCTTCCATGCTGTAGATACCCTCAACAACAACAATAATTTTCTTCCACGGTCTGTGTGTCCTCGGTTGTCCCTCAGCGATTTGTTCTTTCAATACTTTTTCCAAATGAGCAGGTGCTGCGAAGCAATCAACAAGATATCATAAAGATGATATGCCACCCAGTTAATTGGCAAAAAATCTGGAAAGTGGAGCATGAGAAATGCTTACTGTTGTGTTGGAAAACACGGATAGTGGCTCCAGAACCTCGAGCACCATTGACAATTGAAGTATGGTTCAAAGAATCGCTAATTATCAACCCTCCCTGTATACATGGCAATAGGTAAGCTACTAAAACATAGGTTATGGAAGTAACATAAGGGTTCATCACAAGGTGTAGCAACATACATACCTTTCCAATCAAGACAGGAATGATAGCCGAGTTTGTTGCATAACCCATGCCAAAGACAACAGCAGCAGGTTGTCCCACATATTTAGCAACACATTCCTCAAGTTCTGCATGCACAGATGTAGTTCCTGATGGCAGAAACAACCGATGTCAGGCAACAACAAACAGAGAGTTTGTTCAAAACCTAATACACAAAGACGACACTCGGTACCTGCATCAACACGAGAGCTACATGTACTAGCTGAAAATTTCTTCAAAGACTCGATAACACGAGGCGTGCAATATTCATCAAAAGAACCAAATCCAAGATAATTGTAGGACCCCAGATTAAGGCACCTGCTAGTCTTTGTTGTTCGCCTGCACAGAGTTGCAACCAAAAGGTTTATTATATGACATCCTCACATAGGTGACAAAAATCTCAATTCTATAGCTTATAAGATCAATCTTTATATTTGGTTTCCTTATCTCCTAACATGACCATAGAAACAACAATTGTTCAATAGAAAAAAGCAGAGGAAGGCAGACTGACTTAAGCGTCTTATTGTTGTCGTCAGAGACTCTCTCAACCACATCAACCCAGGCATCAGGTGCACTTGATATAGGACGTCCAAAACAGTCCTTTACACAAATAATAACATTGAAGGTTTAAGAATCAAACACCAAACAAAGAGTCCATAAACAAACAATACTCCACAAAAATGACGAGATTGAACCTGAATACGATGATACAATCGTCTGATGTAGAAATCCTCATGCGCCAAGCAGATCGGTGCGTATCCCTATACAGATAATAGAAATTAGAAACGTTAAAAAGATCCACAAGCGATTTCAATGGCGGAAATGGAATCAAATCATCATTTGAGTGGAGAGAAATGAAAAAAAACCTGGAGATTGTTGGTGCGCCACCAATCGAAGATAAGGCGAGAGTAATCGCGAAGCTGGCCAAAGGCGAAGAGCAAGCCGTAGCTGAAATACGTTGATACAGCTGTAAGGTATGGGATCGTAATCATTGTTTCAGCTCCGGCGTCGTCTTCTTCTTCTTCTCCGAACGATTCTCTCTCCCTCTGATATCTCTCTCGCTCCCTAGCTTTGAGTTTGAATTGAACGATGAGATCTGGAAAATTCAGCGCCTGCTCTCACGCGAGAGAGAAGAGACGAGAAGAGGAGAGAGAGAGAGAGATTTGAATTCAACCTTTGTTCTTCGTCCCTTTCGTCGAAGAATCGGATCATTAAACCAATCATCTTCGCTTCTTCGGTTTTTGTTTTTTTTTTCAGTTTTTTTTTTTTTAATTTGGACCGTAGAGGACTATTCAATTGAACGGTAAATAAATATTATCCTAACCACAAATTATTTAATTTACTCAAATTATCAATACCTTTTTACTCTTATAAACTACGACATTCGAGTGTTATAAAAAAAACTACTAGATTCGAATAGTTAACATTTTGACCATTTATTGAAGAATAAAAAATAATATGCAAAAACAGAAGTGGATTTAGGGTTTATTAAACAAAAACATTCTATGAGATGAGACAGTCTCTGCAACTGTCGGGTTCAACGACGACTCTCTAACCTTCTCGCAAAATCATGGAGTCTAAAGGCAGAGTTTGTAATTAAGCACCAAAGTCGAATCTAGTATAAAGTTGTTGTGCTGTTTCCACTTGAACCTTCGGAATCACGATTCAGTCACAAGTGGTTCTGTTCCACGGAACCTTGGTACGCACCAGGCCACTTCTCTCTCAAGGGCAGAGTCAAGCTTTAAGGTAATCCGATCTTCGCTTCGTCATTTTTTCACGACCACTAAGATTTAATCATGTCTTCTTTCATTAGTGTGGTTTTAGTAATCATATATGTCTTTGTCTTCACTCATCTTCTTCATTCCACGAATCCATGGATCATAAAATGTTAGTTACATGATTCATGTGTGTGTGAGAGAATTGAAATGAAATAGAACTTTTATTCTTTATCGATGTCTTCCAACATTTCTAACTTTGATGGTTCCAATTTTATCCCAAACCATTGTGTTCCTTCGTCATGTTAGTTTTCTTTAATGATTATATAAATTTATAATAATTGGCCTGGGTTCGTTATATTTCTTAGTTAAGAGAGAATATACATTTGTACTGGTAAATATATATGTTTTTGATGGTGCAACGTACCATTATATTCCTTTTTAAAAAAATGTTTGTAGTGATACCCATCGATATGGAGAAGATTGATCGGAAAAATGTAACAAGCAATATAAAGCAAGAGAAATCTTCGCAACGTTCCAGTACTCGTCATCATCAGAAACAAGATCCGGCGTGGAACTATGTTTGTGAAACTGTTGATTTAAGAGGGAAAAAAGTTATAGTTTGTGACTTTTGTGGTAAATAATACGGTGGAATTGAAATAAACAGAATGAAACATCACTTGGCTGGGTCGAAAGGAACCAGACGTGCATGCCCGAATGTTTCTTCCAAGGTTCAACAGTCTATGAGAAAATCACTGGAAGATAACGAAGAGAAACCCAAGGAAATAGTCGTTGTCGATCTTGAAATGCAAGACGATGAAGTTGATCATGTTGGCCAACGTTCTCACCAATCTTGCACTTCTTCAACTCGAAAGAGAAAGGTTAGTTTAATTAGTACCTACTTATACATTTGTAGTTTATAAAAAAAATAGTTTAGAATATTAAACCACAATCTACTGACTACGATACATGTAGTTATTATGTATAACAAACAATTAGCAAGAGAGGATTCTATGGTACGGTATATGACAAATGACAATTGCATCAGATTAATAAAAGATGGTCGGTAAAAATATATACAGATCGATACTTCCATAGAGGCCAGTTAATAAATCTAGTCAACCAAAAAAAATCAACTGTTTTTCCAACTGAAGTGGTCAATGAAAAGTCAACGGTTTTTTTTTCTTAAAACAAAAAGTAACAAAAAAATATATATATTAAAATTATTGGAAATGTGGTTTTAGCATCTTCAGGTTAACATGACTGGAACCAAGTACTAGGGATATTCGTTTAAAACAACTTCTAATATAAAAAATTCGATCAATTCGGAATACATAAAGAGTAGATAATACCAAATCTACACAAAATATGTAGTAAATCGGGAAAAAGTTAAAAGATTGTTCTCCCAAAAAAATTAAGAAAATGAGGCATATATAAAACATCAAACTCTGTCCATTGAGTAAAGGGATTCGCAGATGCTTCTTGCTAAAGAACAAATGGCTCGATGTTACCATGGAATAAAACCCTAACTTACCTCTCAAGCTCGTTCTTGAAATCATTGAGTTCTACCCTAACTTATCGATTGTGAGTGTTTTTACTCCCACCATCGTACATGCATCATCTAGTATATAATGTTTTTTTGTGACTGATAATAATTTGATCACATGCTTTTATATAAATTGCATTCATCTTTAAATGTTTTTTGAATTGTTTTTCTTTTTCTGTTCAAACAAAGTTGGACTAGTATAGGAAAGATCTAAGTTTAAAACCGACAAGAATTAAATTGGAAAAATAAAATGAAGTGGTTGATTGGTTATGTCGATTATACATTGTAATCTCCTCTCATTATGAATGAAAAATGTTTCACACTTTGAAAGATACTTAGATTTACGAAGTTGCATAGCTTTTTCTTGAAAATTAAAACAAGAGTACAATATGTGTCTTTTGGTTAGCCAATAAAATGTTAGTCTTTTGGTTTTCCCTGTACAAATAAAGAGTGTCACATCATCATCGTTATAACGAAACTTCTTAGTTCCTAAGTTTACCTTCCCTATGAAGTTTTCCTTTCTCTCTTTAAATCTCCTCACTTCTTCTCTCACTCGTTTCCACATTTGCAGAGAGAAACCAAAACCAAACCTAGAATAGTAACAATGGCGGAATCTGCTAAGCAACACATTGATCGTATCCGCAAGACCAAGTTTTCAATCGGCGGAGCTGAGAACCCGTTGACGGAGGATCTTCATCAAGCTGTGAAGAACCTCTCCGCTGAGCTCTATGCTAAAGATGTTCACTTCCTCATGGAACTCATCCAAGTACGTTTTTTTTTTTTAACTCTCTCTTACTCTGTTGCCTCTGTCTCGGCATGTATTTCTCTGTTTCTCTGTCCATTTTTTGTGATCGTGTTTCCGGTCTTGCTCAGTTTTCTCTAGGGTTTTGTGCTCTTTTCCCGAGAAAAAATCTTGAATCGAAATGTTGAATTTTCATACTTTTCCCCGCGATATTTTCTCTGTGATTTTTTTATGTTTTTGCGTATGCAAGTCTGATTTAAGAGAATGAATTAACCTGATCTTGGTTTTGGAAAAATGTTGAACCAGAACCGGAACTAAACCAAACCAAACTAAACCGTTTACATTCTACTTGGTTTGTCCTGTATTCAAGCAGTTTCATATCCTGTCAGCTTAGTTTTCATGAAAGAATCATGTTTGCTCTAAGTCTTAGCGCACACACACGCTAAAAGGATAGCTACTAGAAATGGGTTTTGATGTGTTGATATGCTACAAATATGCTACAAATATAATGCTCTCAAATCAATGTATAGTCTGCTTGCATAAGCATTAGATGTTTTTATGCTTTTGTTCTAATGCTAAGCATTAATTTTTGCTTATTATTATTATTTTTTTTTTGAGTTCTCAGAATGCTGAGGATAATGAGTATCCGGAAGGTATTGATCCATCTCTTGAGTTTGTGATAACATCTGAGGATATCACATGCACCGGAGCTCCAGCCACTCTTCTTATCTTTAACAATGAGAAAGGTTTCTCTGAGAGAAACATTGAGTCTATTTGTAGTGTTGGACGCTCCACCAAGAAAGGAAACCGGAAGCGAGGTTATATCGGAGAGAAGGGTATATGTTTAGTCTTTTGCCTTATACCAATATGACACTTCAAGAAAAAACACTAGTTTCAAAGACTCTTATTTTTACATTTTTGTTCTGTTTTAAACTTGGCAGGAATTGGTTTCAAGAGTGTGTTTCTGATCACCTCACAGCCGTATATTTTCAGCAATGGCTATCAAATTCGCTTTAATGAGGCACCTTGCAGCCACTGCAGCCTTGGCTACATTGTTCCTGAGTGGGTTGAGCAGCACCCTTCTCTTGTTGATATACAAAGGATGCATGGTTCGGGTTCCTCTCTCCCGAAAACAACCATAATCTTGCCTTTGAAGAGTGACAAAATAAAGCCGGTGAAAGAACAGCTTTCGAATGTTCATCCTGAGGTGTTGCTATTTTTGTCAAAGATCAAACGTCTCTCCATCAGAGAATACTGCCAAGATCCTAGGCTCAGCACTGTGAACTCAATAGGGATTGTGAGTGAGACTAATTTTGTCACGAGGAAGAGCATTGACGCTGAATCTTACACAATACATCTCTCAGCTTCTGAAAAAGGGAGAAACTCAGAACAGGAATGCTCTTACTATATGTGGAGGCAAAAGTTTCCTGTAAAACATGAGCACCGTGTAGACAGGAGAAGTGAGGTTGATGATTGGGTGATCACTTTGGCATTTCCTTTTGGAGAACGTCTTGGCCGAGGAAATAGCTCTCCTGGTATCTATGCGTTTCTTCCCACTGAGATGGTAACGAACTTCCCCTTCATCATTCAAGCTGATTTTATCCTTGCTTCGTCTAGAGAAACTATCCTGTTGGATGATATATGGAACCAAGGGATTCTCAGCTGTGTCTCTACAGCTTTTGTGAATGCATTCACCTCCTTGGTGAAGAAGACTGAAGCTCCTGTGTCTAGCTTGGTGCCTACTTTTAGGTTCTTGCCTGTTAAGCAGTCTTCTTACCCACAGCTGAATGTTGTCAGAGAATCCATCAGGGGGAAGGTTTCTGCAGAGGAAATTGTGCCAAGCATATCACATTTGGGACAGAAGTTTTTCCACAGGCCGTGTGAAGTTGGTCGGCTCATTCCTGCTTTCTGGGACATCTTGGAGAAAGCGAGAGAAGAAGGTGCGAGCTTGCAGAATATATCATCACATGGGATCTACATTCTGGATTCCTCGTTTGATAGAACAGAATATGATAACGTTCTGGAGTTCTTGGGTTTGAAGCAGGTTGGTAACGAGTGGTATGTAAAATGCATTCAGGGCTGTAATCTCGTGACAACTGTATCAGAAGGTACGTATGTGGAGGTTCTACTCTTCATCGCTGAGAATTGGCAGTCTAGATTTCAGAATACAAACATGGCGAAAGTTCCGCTTATCAAGTATGTTGTCCAAAAGGGAGTGGGTTCTCTTAGCAGTTTGGCAGGTTTTAGTCCACGGACTCTTTGCTTATCCACAGAGAAGAACCAGGCATGGCTACTTGATTGGAACGATGAGTTCAGATGCATGTATAACTTTGGTTTCATGCCTCAAACAACGCGGACAGCTTTCAAAGCCTGCTCCAAGAAGGAAACGATAGTTAATTGGCTCAAAGAGAACATAAAGGTCGTCAATCTTAGTATCTCTGACTATGCAAAACGTCTCCGGGAGAATCTTAATGGAGACAAGAGGCTTGTGGTTGCATATGCACACTTCCTCCATCATTCTATCTCAAAAGATGTTTTGTCAGAAGAAGAGGCTGTTAAATGCTGCAAAGACATGCCGCTTGTGGACAACTATAAGAATGTCAACACAAACAGGAATGGGGTTCTTGTTCCGGCTAGCGTTGGTAAATGGGTCAGCTTAGTTGGCTCCAATCCATGGAGACACAATGGCTATATTGAACTGTCAGAAGAGTATTTATCGTTTGACAGGTTTGCTGGTCTGCGGTCTAACAAGAGTGACCTTCTCGAGTTCCTGAAATATTATGTTAAGGCTGGAGATATACCTGATATAGAACCTCCAAATGCTGCTATACCGGCTTTGTCAGGTTCTCTTAAAAAGGAGAACGTTCTGTTGCTGTTGGAGTGGATCAAGTGGAATAGACGTGCTCTTGGTTCCAATTTTTTGGGATCTGTTAGAGGAGGAAGCTGGTTGAGAACAACAATGAATGGTATCTCTGATTACCGTCCGCCTTGTCAGTCGTTTTACCATACTTCATCATGGGGAAGTATTCTGCAGAACGGATCAATCCTTGTTGATATTCCGCTGGTCGATAGAAGCTTCTATGGGAAAGAGATTGAGAACTACAAAGATGAGCTTAAAACCGCTGGTGTTATGTTTGAGTTTAGTGAAGCTTGTACATTTGTTGGCAACCACCTAATGAGTTTAACTGAGACTTCAACGCTGTCAAGCGCAAACGTGTTCTCCATTCTGAAATTTATTAGGTACTTGAGAGAGAAGCGACTCCCACCAGATGATTTCATCGATGCCGTCAAATATGGTCAATGGCTGAAGACAACTTCTGGTTACAGATCTCCAGATGGAGCTGTTTTGTTTAGCCAAGAGTGGAAAGCTGCGTCGCTTATCAGTGATATCCCATTCATTGACAGAGATTTCTACGGTGAAGTTAGCCTCAATGGTTTCAAGGAAGAGCTTAAGTTGCTTGGCGTCGTAGTTGAGCTCCCTAATAATCACAGCCTCGTCGTTTCTCATTTGAATACTTCAAAGCTGAATTATCTGACACCTGATGCAATGCTCTTAGTACTTGAATGCTTGCGTCATTTGAGTCCTCAAAAGCTGATCAATGCCCTGAGAAATTCTCAAGGCTTCAGGACAAAGAAGAATGGGTTTAAATCGCCTGCTGAGTGTTTCATACCTGATCCAGAGTGGAGTTGCCTTTTATCTGTTTTTGATTGCTTCCCTTTGATGGACGATGATTTCTATGGAAGCAGAATCTTTTCCTACAAAGAAGAATTGAAGCAGATTGGTGTTAAGCTTCAGTTTGAAGATGCTGTGAGAGAGTTTTTGCGCACATTCAAACAGAAAGCTACCTCCTCTGGGCTAACTCGAAGTACCGCCTCGTCTCTTTTATCTTGCTACAGGAAGCTCATGGACAGTAGTCACAAAATGCCTGCAGAACTTATGAGCAGCTTAAAAGATTTTCAATGGCTGCATACCAAACTTGGCGATTTCCGTGCACCAAAGGACTGTATTCTCTTTGATTCAGACTGGGAACATCTCCGCCTCATAGCGAATCTTCCCTTTATCGATGACAGCTCCAACTGGTATGGCAAGAGTATCCACGATTACAAGAAAGAGCTCAAGGACTTGGGTGTTACAGTTGAGCTGAAAGAAGGTATGAGCCATGTGGTTAGCTCTCTAAGTCTCCCTGATCCATCTCGCATCACTCCTGCAAGCGCACTGTCTCTTGTTAAGTGCATCAGTTTCTTGCTTAAAGATAGATTCAGTGACCTCTTTAAAAACTTTCTTGAAAAAGTTTCTGGTAAATGGTTGAAGACACATGCTGGTTACCGCAGTCCCAGTGAGTGTCTCTTGTTTGATAGCAGCTGGAAGTTAGAGCCGCGTGATGGTCCATTCATCAACGAAGAGTATTATGGCACAGAGCTCAAATCGTTCAGACAAGAGCTTATTAATATAGGAGTTGGTCATGATTCAGCTAAAGCTTGCCAGTTGCTTGCTAGTCACGTCTATGCTCATTCTGATTCTGATAGTATCTCTCGGATATATGGATTTCTCAGTGAAGCTAAATGGAAACCTGAGGAAGATGCGTCTCTAGACCGGATTTGGATACCGAGCGATGAGAAATGGGTTGATGTTTCTAGCTGCGTTCTCTATGACAACGATAAGCTGTTTGGTTCAAAGCTCAATGTTCTTGAAAACTATTACAAGGATCAGGACGTTGTCAAGCTCTTTGCCTTCTTCTCGTCTGTGTTTAAAGTGAGAGTCAACCCGTCCATTGAAGATTACTGTGGTCTGTGGAAATATTGGGAGAGAACGAAGGACAGTTTGTCAAATGATGAGTGTTGTGCGTTTTGGAGTTTCGTTGTGGAACACAACACATTTAGAGCTAAGAAGCTCCTCTCTGAATCGTTTTCGCGTTTGCCTGTACACGCATTAGATTGCAACACCGATGAAGGAGTCATGTTGGCTAACATAAGCGACGTGTTCATAGCTGATGACTTGCTCATTAAAGATCTCTTTATCAATTCCCCTGTTTTCGTTTGGTATCCAACTCCAAGCACCCCTGCATTGTCCCGAACCAAGCTTGTTGAGCTTTACAGACAGATTGGTGTTAAAGAGATCTCCAAATGCGTTACCATCACAGAAGCTGAACTAAGCGGAGTCAAAAACGAGCAGCAAGAGGTCGGCGAGTCAAAGAATAATCTGATAGGACCAGCGCTTGTGAAGCTGATTCTTGGATTCCTCTCTGATCCATCTCTCAAGGTGGAAGCTGAGGAACGTTCAAGAATTATAAAGAGCCTTGTTGACCTCGACGTTAAAGAAACTTTGGAGGCTATCACGACGGAGTATACTCTGAATCTTCCTTCTAAGGGAGAGAAGCTGATGGCAAAGGCTAAAAGGATGATAAGGTGGGAGAGAGAGGAAGGAGTGGTTTATGCAGAGAAGTTGGAGAAAGCTTGTGGGAAAAGAAAGGTTTTGGAGTACGCCACTTGTTTCGCTGAGGTGATTGCAAAGGGAGTAATGTGGGAGAGAGAGGATCTGATCGGACGGCTATCAGAGCTTGTGAAGATGGCTTACTTGGTTGATTTAGATGAAGAGGCTTTAGAGTTTCTGATGAAGTCCAAGAACCTTCAAGTTTATGAAGAAGATGAGAAACTCATCTCAGATGAATTCTCTCTCAAGTAACTCAAAGGTACGTAAATGGCAATTCTAGTTTTATGTTTCTAATTTTGCTCTATGGACTATAGGTTAATTTCTGCTTCTGTAAGTTTATGAATACTTTTTCTTCTTTTTTGCAGGTTTCCTCTATCTGGAGTAACCACATGGATGTTCTCTATCTATTCTCTATGCCTTCGTCTCATTTGTCTTTATTTTGGTATTTGGAGCTTTGTGACATCATGACTCTTTTGATGATACAACTATTGAAAATGAAATGTTTCAGTCGTTTCCTCTATCTCAAGTAACCACAGAGATGTTCTCTATCTATGCCCTATCTCGTTTATGTATTTATTTTGGTATTTGAAGCTTTGTGACATTGTGACTCTTGTAATGTTACTACTTACTACTTTTGAAAATGAAATGTGTTCCAGTTGTTTCATTTTACCAGAAATTTAATAGCATTTATCCTTTGAACATTTTACACAAACACGTTACAAGGAAAATAAACAAACAAACTTGAATCACAATCTTGGGTTTCCTTGATTCCTTCTTACTTTTTTTCTTAACCTTTTTTTTATAGTGAAAATTGGCTTAATCCAGAGACTACAACTGTCCTATACCAGTTCCAGTTCTGCCTCTACTTGATATTGCATCATATATCTCAACATGTAAATCTCTGGAAGCATCATTGTCTGAAGACTCTGAGCTGTCTTCACCAACTCTTCTCGACACAGACTCGTCCCTTGTTCTTAAATCTTCGTTAATACGGCTTGACAATTCCCAACTCCCTCCTCTTCTTCCTCTGCTCGACTCTCTCGAATGCATAATCCCCCGTCCCCTGCTTGACTCTCTCGAATGCATGATATCGCGTCCTTCAGAATCTTCTGGTGGAAGCATTCTGCTCAAATCCCGTGATGTAACTGCTGTTTCCATGTCCTTGTCCATGTCACCAAGTTCTTCTTCAACTGTCTCGTGCCAAACTGGTTTTCTTCCCATCTCTATGTCGTGGGAAACTTTCTGTAAGCTTGGGCTTGACATACCTCCGTTTACTGTCCTTGGTGGGATTGCTGGCTCCTTTGAAACCTTTGCTCTGAAACTGTTCTGAGATATGGCAACATTTGTGCAGAATACTTCCATGAAATTCCCTACTATTCCTTTGTTGAAGGGGTTCTCATGTCTATCATACCGATACCTAAAGTTTTCGTAAGTTGACTGCCAAATCACAACATATCAAACAACAGAGAACCAGTTAACAAGCAGCTAAATCATCCAACAGTTTGAGGGCATAATGAAACAAGGAGTTTTTAGAGAGTAGATATTTAACCTGATTGGTACTCATCAGGTACAAGTGGAAACAAGTAAGCCCACCAACAAACCAGACGCAGATGAAAGTGTAGATTATCAGAGCGATGGAGGCAGGAGTCTTGAGAAAAGATTTCCAGATGTTTATGTCTTCACCATGCATTATGCGCATGACATAGATCCAGCAAAATACATGGACATAAATGCAGAGAAGAGTTGAGCACAGCACAAACATGAAGTAGAACCTATAGTTTCTCTGCAATCAAAAACCCCAAACTACTGTTAGTTACTCAAAATTCATAAAATGCAGTCAGAAAGATGACAAAAGAGGGAACAAGATTGTTGAGGCAACATAATATCCATTACCAATCCAATGCACTGACCAAGCCAAGGACAGTGGTGATCAAACTTCTCAACACAGTTATTGCATATCGAGCAATGAGAAGCACGGGGAGGTCTGTAAAGCATGCATGTGTCACAGTATTTGATCTTCACAGTAATTCCATTTACAATCATATCCTTTGTCCGAGGCAACCGACTCTGAGGAGTATGAGCAAGACGTGGTTCTGCATTGCCTTCATTACCCTCTGGTTCAGGAGGATACAGATTACGTGGTATTATTCCTGGGTCTCTCGCCGAGGTTAAAAGAAGAAATATTAGATCCTGAAGGGAAACAAATACCAAACTTTATTATCAAGATGCCAAGAGTAAAAGGTCGCAGCAGCGATAGGTAAATGCAGAAGCGGAATCAGAATCAGTATACAAAGATTTATGAGAAAGAGGAACTCACTAATAAAATCAGACCAATAGCAACAGCTAGTACTGATACTCCTCTATGGTGAGGGAAGTCATCAATAAACTTTCTGCCAACAAATACACAGAATACAATAACGGGAGCTGTAATCAAGAAGATGGTGATTAGAATAGACCGAGCATCAGGTCCGAACACAAGCCTTCCTCCAAAGAAGAACACCTGGAGAAAAAAAAAAGAACAAATCAAAGATCAGTAAAAATATTGGAAAAAAACAAGTCCATACATAACCACAACAGTTGAATTAACCAACAACTATAAGTCACTAAAGAAAACTCAAGTAACTATGAGATCACACAGACAGACGTATCGTCACTAAACTCTGATAAACATCAAAAAGGTCTAATTTTGAAAGATACCAGCAAAAACCAGACCACATCTCTTCAGCTTAAGAAAACACATTATCCAAATAACTGACTAGGAGACCAAACCAGGTAAACTTTGAGCATCCATGGTCTCTAATTTATCTCAAGTGAAAGCACAAATTTTGATGAATCAATTCATTAGACAAAAAAAAGCAAAATGGAGACTAGCTTCAAACGATGAGCAGGTAAAAGTTGAGAGCTTTCAAAGTCAAATTCAAAAATCAAGAAAAAAGAATGAGCAAAAACCCCTATATATAATTAGGGTATAGAAGTCAAACTTAAAACTCAAAACTTCAGAAGAATGAACAAACCCAGAAAAAAAAACACACAAACAGATAACGATTAATCCGCAGTTTCTTCTGAGTAAACACAACAATTAAACTAAAAAACTGAATCAGATCTTACTCAACAGACCTTAAATCTGAAGACCCAGGAAAACAAAAAAATCAATCATTATAAGAGAAGAAGAAGAAGAAGAAGCTCTCACGTTATTGCCTTTCCACCCTTTATAAGTTCTGATCAGCTCATCTCCACCGCCACCACTAGAACTCGGAGCTCCGTGACGCCGATCTGACGGCTGCAAATCTAACATCGGCGAAAACCCAGAAAAATCGCGTTTTTTTTTTTTTTGGCTATTGCTGCTGCTACAACAAAAGTCTTTGGAGCAATCAATAATAACTTTTTCTTTTTAAAAAGATTAAAATTTCGAAAAGAAAAAAAAAGGAAATATTGACTAGAGCCTAGAGGGGGACAGAGAAGAGAAGTAGAGAATTATGTTTTTTTTTTTTTTTTTGGTTCTTCTCCGGCTAAGTTGGCCTCTTAAGCCACCATCTTTCCCTTTTTTTACGAGTCAAACAACTAATTTCAAGAAATCATTTTTATAATTAATCTAGTTTTTTTTGGTAATTTAACTAATCATTTTTTTTTCTTTCACTTTCTGTCACTGAATAATTGATGTGTGATAGAATCAGTAAAATTATTTGGCTTTTTTTTTAGAGGAATCAGTCTTTGCCTCTTTGGCATTATTATTAAATTACTTTACACGCCTTTTAAGTTATTTCCATTTCCAGTAGTTTATAAAAAAAAAATTAATTAAGTAAATGACGATGAAATTAAGTAAATGGTTATGGGGTGATATCACTTTGACATGTAGCTGTTGAATTTGACTAGGAAATTATATATTACTATCTTTACTAATTATTTTGCATAATGTGCTACTTATTTCTGTTTAAATTGATTTTTTTAAAGAAACTGATTTTATCATTAATACACAATTTTATTAATTGTAATTTGTAAGTTTTATCCTAGGGATTCCTTTAGTGAACAAAATCTATCAATATAATGAGTTTCTGTTTATGTAGATATGTAATGAAGGTAAAAAATTTATTTGCTAAAATAATTGTTTATTTAGATAAATAATTGTTATTTCAAGAAAATAAAAAATCTTGTGTTCTATAAAAATTTACAATTTAAGTGACTTGTAAGTAAAAATACCTTAAAAATTTAGTTAACAAAATAAAATCTAAATAAATAAAAAACAATAACATGTTACAGAAAAAAAGAAAAAGATAACGCGTCATGTGCGAGTTGAATGACAAGGCTAAAATCGTCTAAAACGTGTTTGTGTCAACTCATCATTGTTTTCTCTCAACTTTATGTTAATTTTACAGCCTATTTGCTTTCTAAAATATTTGCTCACTTGAACTTTAGGATATTAAAATTTTCCTTGAAAAGAAAAGAAAACTGCAACTACATATTGTGATTTTTTTTTTGGGGTAAATTGTTAATAAAAAAACATACTGTATTTAGATATTATTTTCCTTTTAACTAAAAAAAGTACTAGTTACGAATGCCGATTTATTGCATAGGAAACATTTATTTCACTGTATAAATGGTTAGATCTATTTTACATGAGGTTAGCACAAAGGCATTAAACTGCATTGATTCTGTATAATTATTTTCAAACACCTAAGTTCATGATCTGTCATCATTGAAGTTTATGTTAAAAACACTTGGCAGATTAAGAACGTTTACATTAGACTGTAATTTCACCCTAAATATTCCTTGTTCCAAAGAAGAACAGTCAATGAAAGAGCTGCTGAGACCAAGTAAGCTTACATCGAAAATCTTGGTATATAGATTGAGTCGACACAACAACTTGTTTGTCAACATTTTTAGATGGTCATCGGGTAGTGATGATCTGTCTACATTCATATGTAATTTCTATTAAATTATTGACGTTTGATTTAGAGACCCACATGTAAAATTAAAATGTATCATCCAAATTATCCAATACGTGTGTTGACCAGCTCTTCTCCTCAAAAACATTTTTTGTCGCCGTTCGTCTCGTCAATATTGGTCTCATCTAACTGAGAAAACTCGTTCGATTTATATGATAAATCACTACTATTATACAGAAAGAAGTTGCATATTATGCAAAACAAAAACCATATTATATTCTGAGTACAAGAAAATGATCTCAAAAGCTTAGAAGTAAAAAAAAAAACACACACTCGAAATCTTCTTCTTCTTTTTTTCGTTACTAGGATATATAAGAGTAGGAAAGGAACTCAGAGAAAGAATAAACAAAACCCATTAATATTGTTCTTAATTTTCTTAGGATAAAAAAGCCTGCAAGATAATTATATATAGAATGAAGGAGAGATTACTGGTTTTTATCTCTTTCTATGGCATGACGCCAAGATCCTTGAAGTAATCATGCTCCAGGGCGGCTCTTGCGTTGATTCTTTTCGACGGATCCATTAACAGCATTTTCTGTAACAAATCAATAACGGAGACATATTATTATCACCATCTTTACTTGCTGCTGAGCTTCAAAATCTTAGATATTCACAAGTTTTGTTTGGTTCAGGACTTTCATGAATCCCGGTTATTCACTATTGTTCATGTGTAAGACCAGTTTGGTTTCACCTTGAAGTGGCACATACAAGTAGCCAAACCAATGTCTCTGGTTTTGTTTAAAAACACCATAAAGACTTTCTCGGGGGATGCTTGGTTCTAGTCCTAAAGGCCGAACGGAAAAATTATCGGTGGCTTTATAAGATCCAAAACCTCAAGTGGTTAAAGGATCAGCAGAGTAAGCATGGCACCAGGTCCATCAAAAGCAAGCATCCAGGTCTCTAATGTAGCAGAAGTACAATATATAGATGTGTGTGTATATGGTCAGTGAACTTACAGTAAGGAGATCAACGCCATCGGGATCTAGATTGGGGACAAAGGCTTGCAAGTCCTGAGGTACAACAATTTTAACGTGTCGTGAACTCATGTTTGCTGAATACAAGATGTACAAGTGAACAGAGATATTTGACGTACTGTTGGTTTCCACTTAGGGAAAGCAGATTTATAATCTGGCAGAGAAGTTACCCCACGCCACGTATCCTCGTATGGAGTTCCCATGATTCTGGTTAAAGAAAAAAGAACATGGTTTAACACTTCAATATCTGTGTTCATTAGCACTCCAAGATTACACTTCAAGTTGAGAATGTATTTAGAATCCCTTGCGATATCATTGCAGACAAGTTCTTTCCACTTGTAATATTTAGACGATGATTAGATTGAGGAAGTTAGTAACAAAACCTGAAAATCTTAAAGAGTTGATCAATCTCGGAGTCTCCAGGAAATAACGGCTTTTGGCTGATCATCTCGGCAAATATGCATCCAACAGACCAAATATCAACGGGTGTAGAGTAATGATGAGATCCTAGGAGTATCTCTGGTGCTCGGTACCAGAGAGTAACCACCTGAAAGGAACAATATGCAAAAATTGTGACTAACCATGAAGTGACGTCAAAATCTGAATGTAGCACTGATACTTATTATGGTATCTCTACTCTAACATTATTCAACCGTCTATCTGAAATGTCTGAGTCTTTTATTCACATTTACCAGATACTTAAGTGGTTCTTTAACCTTTAGGATTGAAGCAAATATGAAGCCATGCCAAAGATTTTATAAGAGAAACATATGAACAAGACTTAAGCTCTTTGGCACCTCGTGAGTAAATGTCCTGACAGGGATACCAAATGCTCTGGCCAGTCCGAAATCTGCAAGCTTTAGTGAGTTTGTGCGACGATCAATCAACAAATTCTGTGGCTTTAGATCACGATGGAGAACTCTGTGCGAGTGGCAATACGCAATTCCGCGAAGAATCTGGTAAAGATATGTCTGCAGAGAGTAGATGAATAGCTACAATCAGCTTGTGTTGAGTACTAAAAACGCATTGAGAAGACACTAGATAACTTAGATTTCACCAATATTCAGCGAAACCAAACAGGTAGAGGTCCTAAAAAAGACTAGAAGTAAGTTTATCGCATAATGACCAACCAAATAGCTCAATAAGACGGTACTTTTAGGGGTTTCTGGTTTGTTACAACGCTTCATATAAAAAGTGCATTAAGCACATAAATAAATAAATAACTAAAGTTTCTGAGCACTCACTTTGATCATATGTAGATCCTTAGAGAAATCAGGAGTTAAATCCATGTGCTTTTTGAGATCCAAATCAAGATACTCAAACACCAGATACAAACGCTTCTCGCTGTGCACTACATCCTGCAACCTGTGTACCAAAAAATCAACCAAGATTGTTCACAAGACTCATGCTGAATTAGGTTTCGACAATTAGTTTTCGACAACTTCATACTTGACAATGTTACTGTGCTGCATTTCTTTCAAGAGGGAGATCTCTCTAATTGCTGTGCTAGGTACACCTTCATCCTCCTGCTCCAGCCGGATCTTCTTCAAAGCTATAGTCTCATTGGTCACTTTGTCTCGTGCCTTATAAACCACACCGTAAGTTCCTTCACCAATCTTCTCAACTTTCTCGTACTGCATTATAAGTATGAGCATTTTAACCACGAGACTCGCCAAAGAGTAAGCAGTGACTATGAACTGAAACAACTATCACACAAACCTGATCCATCGCTTCCAGAATAATCAAACTGAAGCAACTCTGCACATGTAAATCTGAATGTCACAGCACAACTAAGCGAAAACCACCTAGAGATTGAATAATAAAACATCACAGGCTACATTAGCTAAGCTATCTCAGCACACTCATGTATTATAAGAAATCAATCTCAAAATTGAAGTCAAAATTGTACAATGAGACGCAGGAAACAAACAAAAAAACCTCAGATCCAAGCTACTGTGACTTAATTCTTTGGACAGATTATGAAAATGAACAATCAAACAAGGCTGCTTAAATCGTTCAAGAGAACAAATCGGGAAAACAAAACAAAATCCACAGCAGCGAACTCACATTTTTCTCCAATCCAGCGATACATGGAGCGAAGCAAACAATCATATAAAAACATAGACCACAAAATGAACAAAAAAAAAAAAAGACTAGTCTAAATCTAGTGAAGAAACACTACTAGACGCCACTGAAAATGCTAAAAGGGGGAAAACAAGTAGAGATCAGCAACGAAGCAGTAAGATAATGGGAGATGATGAGAAGAGAAAGCGTATAATGAATTGACAACAAGTTCAAGTCAGAATTCTAACGAGAAAAGAAAAAGAAAAAAACAAGTTCATCGGAAATGAAATTGATCGGAGAGTAAACGAAATCAACTAACCAGCGACGATCGGATGTAGTGTCGGAGTGAGAGTAGCACACCGACGGATCCTCTCTCTCAGAGCTCTCTTGCCTTTGCAAAAAGGCAGTAAAGAGAGAAGGGTGGTTTCTGTGTAGCTTGAAGAAGAGAGGACTAGGGGAAGGCGATTGACTAATAGAGTCAGGGTTTTTTCTTTTTTTTTTTTTTTTCTTTTTTTTTGTGTGTGTGTGTGTGTGAGTGACGAAATTTTTTGGTTCGTTATTTTTTTACCCTTAGATTTCTAAATAATTGAATTTACCTAACCGCATTAACTTGGTATGAAATTATATTTTTTTTTTCTTTTTATACTGGTTTTGATTATCAATCATAAAAACTAGCAATACTAAAATGATATCATTCTTTTTATGTATCACGTAATCTCTTCTTATCGAGGTTTTTTATTAATATCTTTTTGAGTTAATATTTTTAGAATATTAACATTTTCAATATATTTATAAATTAAGAACTTTGGTTTGCTTAATTTAAGTCGTTTTAAATGGTTAACCAGACATATCTTTCTTTTTTTTAGAAAAAATTACTCGTTATTCACTATTTTTGATTGGCGAATAGACAAGAAATATCAAAAATTAGTTACAAATCACTATTATGAAGTAAACAACGGATTATTATTTATCTCGAAGATCTAATTCACAAGAAAATTAGAATGTATGTTTTTTCGATAAAAAAATTAGTATGTATGTTTTTTTCAGCGATGAAAAATTAGAAAGAAAATATTTAAATTAATTAAAAACAGAAATTAGTATGTATGTATATATATTTGGTAAGTATTTGCAGCACCAACTGAAAGATAATTGGACAATAATATGAATGTCACTTTAATTAAAATTTATGTCAGTAAGCGACTGAACATTTAATGTAAATAAAAAAAGTATTGCGCTTCTCACCAAAAAAAAATAATAATAAAGTCTTGCACCAATATAATGGCCAACACAAAGATAAATGAACAAATAATATGAAAATCATTCTTGTTTTAATGTGTTATTAAGAGACAGAAGTCGTATTCATTTGAATCTTTACCTATCCTGATAATTTTTGGTCAAATGATCAAATACTGATGTACATCTAAATTTAGTGGCTTTAGAAGGTTAACAAATTTTTTTTTTTCTGAAAACTCACATAATTGCAAGAATATCAATTTTTTTTTTTGTAGTGATTGCAAGAATAGAATGGGTAGAAGTGTAGAACGACAAAAAAAAAAAAAAAAAAAAAATTTACATGCTATCTATAAAGAGCCTCGAAATTACTAATCAGATAAAAAATCTTCTGTTTTTTATTTGTTTTTCGCCGATATTTTAATTTTATTTTTTGGGAGATATGTACAGTAGGTAGAGTTTTAGTTGGTAACGTACTGTAATATGTACAGTAGGAGTAGTAAATTAGTTATATTGATGGAAACACAATCTCGGCCCAGTTCGACCCAAGTTTTTTAAATGAGTCAAACGTTATTGTAATCAATAGTAAGTATTGGATCATAAAGTGTAAGGCCCAAACAAACGATAACTGAAAAAATGGTAAAAATACTAAGGAAAAAAGGTCCTACCGGGAGTCGAACCCAGGTCGCTGGATTCAAAGTCCAGAGTGCTAACCACTACACCATAGAACCGAATGGTTGTAACAGGAAACTTTTGTATATATAAATGTTAATTATTCAAAACATTTTAAAAGTTAAATCAAGAAATAAATCCACGTAACCCTTTTGGCCTTGACTGGTTTTACATGAAGACTAAGTACGTAACCATCCCATTCGAATTGGATGGAGTTTGTATCGATGTTTTCATTTTTTTAAAAACCCTACTCGAAGATACAAAAAAAAACTTAAAATCCGTTTGCTACTTAAGTTTGTTACTTTTGGTAGTTTTATCGCAAAATCATTCGCTCTTTTCCTATTGATCAAGCTTGATGCCTTAATTTTAATCAAATCTTATATATTATAGAAAGCAGTTGATAGATGTTTACCAAAGGAAAGCTAGCTCATCAGTTGTATAGTCGTCTCCCTCTCCACTCAAACCTACAACAAGATCTTCAGGTGGTTGTTAGTACCTTGAAATCATATAGATAATTAATTTGATATATCACCAAAATGTTAAACTTTTTCTTGGTTTCTTTTCCTTCATTATATAACATATAAATATCGATCGAAAACAATTCTACTCAAAAAGAAAAGGGAAAAAAAAGTGAAAGAAAGAATTGAAGAAGGTTTCTTTGATATTTCCTCTCTAGTTGCCAAGTAAGCCCCCCCTTAGCGAGGCATTAGGTTATGTCATTATTATTGACACTACAAGAGAAACCCTCCTTTAATTTAGAAAAAAAAAAAGAGGATTGAATCTCTCAAATAAATAAAAATAAATATGAAGTCATTTTACTAGTAAAATATGAAAAAATGAGTAAACATCATCCCAAAATAAAATAAAATAAAAAAGATTGTGGAAATATTAAAGTATAAATTTCATCTGAGATGTAGATATGTATAAAGTCCTACAAAGACTACAGATAGTCCTATAACTGTATATTGTTGACTAAATATAGTATAATATTTGTGAGATTGATTAGGATTTTGTAATATTTGAGGAGATTAACTTATTAATAACATAATAATAACAAAGGGGAAAAAGAGGGACAAAATTTGGTGCACCAATGCTGCCGGCCAACTATACACAAGACAAAAAATCTTTTAAACGTTTTCTCTAAATGGATGACGAGTGTTTGTTTTTTTATACACTTAAATTTTTCATATTTAATCAATTTTCCTAATCATTAAAAGCATTATGATATCTGGATATATATATATATATATATATATATATATATATATATATATATATTGTGTATAATATATGGTTGTCCCATTATTTAATTGTGAAGATTAAATACTAAAAAGCGAAAATAAGGTAAAAAAATGTTTATTTATCATTATATTATACTATGTTGAAAAATATTCAAAAATTATATAGTATAAAATGTTTATAGATGTAATAGATTTTAAAATATTATGAAATAGGAGCAAATAAAGTAAGCAACTACCCAAGTTGCCAAGTGTTGCATCAAATTTGGGGAAGACCAATAAAATCAGATATGTTCTTCTTTGTAATATATACACAACAAGAAGAAAGAAATAACAAAAGAAGAAAAGGAGACAAAAGAAATGAATGGAAAAACAAAAAAAAAAACAAAAGCTCTGTGATATTATCTATCTTGTTATCTTTCAAGAAGAGTGGAATGTTCACTCATAGAGAAAGGTCCATAAAGCCTTCAATAATTAGTCTATCATGCGAACTATATAGTATAAGATTAAAAAAACCAACTTGGTACTTATATGTAAAATGTCTTATCCCCATCGAATAATAATCAATAAAAAATCTCCCGTAATTAATTTTAGGTTAATTGCTAAGAAACAAATGCCAAACTGAAGCACACGAGTTTAGGTCGGTCGTATATATATATCATATGTGGTTTCGCACTACCGAAGCGTAAACTCTTCGATGGCAATATCTTACGGATAACAATAGTCACAATAGTCACAATCTCTTACGCATCTCTTACGCCGTCATCATTAAAAATAGTCAATAGGTACGATGTAGTAAACAAGTCAATGGTGTGTGTAGTAAGGAAAGGATAAAATATATTATTTGATTTACCCTTTTTTATTGTTAAAGTTAATTTACCCTTTTGTTTTCTTCTTCCAAAATAGTATGTTTGATTTATAATTTTTGAGAAAACTATTATGTTTGTGATGAAAACAACATATAAGAATGGAAATTTATGTCATTCATTAATTCAACTTACAAAATTAAGAACTTTTTGTGGTTTTAGTAATGAAATTATGAAGCTAATGACTCAATATGGACTGTTCATGTGGTTCTGTTACTAATGTTATTTCATGATTTTATAATCCTTTGGAACAATAATACTTCTAATATAGAAGAAGTAAGAAGTTAGTCGAATTCTTGATCACAAATTCACTACTGATTGGAACCAACTGTTACGGCTTCTCTCCAACCCCAGCCATGAAAGAATAAGTCTTTTCACACTAAGGTACACCTTTCAAACTACTCTCTATCATATTTGGCAAGAACGGAACAAACGACGTCATGGAGATAGTCCTTGCACGCAATCTCTTCTTCTTAAGAATATTGACAAGAACATCCGCAATAGATTCAGCTCAATTCTTCACCAAGGAGACTACTCCTATAATGAGGGGCTAACCTACTGGTTTGCTACTCGCATCCCTCCACATTAATCGCTCTTGTTTATGAGTTTCACAGTTGGAGTTACAGCTCAATTTCTCTTTATCTAATTGTTTCAAATCCAAGTACACAGTCATTGTAAAACAGTTTTTTTTTATTTGAATAAATTTTACATTCAATTCAAAAAAAAAAAAATACTTCTAATATAAAAGCTAGCTTTAACAACAACAACACATATTATAAAAGTTACACAGTCAAATTTACAAATTATATGGTTATAATTAGTTAATTACTGGCTCTATTCAAATATATCAAACTTTCGTAACCCCAAGAGGCCAAGACTAATAATATCAACTAAATTTTCAACCCCAAGAGGCCAAGACTAATAATATCAACTGAATTTTCAAGCCCGACCTTATAAAATAAGTTTAGGGGCGGCATGAAAAGGAGAAGAAACTTGACACAACTCAATTCTTAGAAATAAATAAAATTGATAATGCATATTTTTATTTTTAAGTGGCAATAACAAATATGGCCAATCAAATCATATCCTCACCAATCTCTCTTTTAATCTTTCTCTTTTTTAATAAGATCTCTAGATAAAGCCGACGTGATCGCTATCTTCATGGATGTTTGTTTTCCTTTTTTGTTTCATAATTGCTTTGTTTTTTTCCTTTTCATTTTTTTTTTTGTTATCTTATGAAACATGCTATAATTTTTGCTTGAAACGAACTCGTACATCACGAGTCACGATGGACATGGTTAGCCATGATTTGCCAAAAAGTTTGGAGTAAAATATCAATCATGACATCTTCATACCAAAACTAATGGAACTTCACTGTTTAATTCTTTCCATTAAATTGAAATGAAATTAATTCATATGATATATACGTTAGTCAAGTGTTCGACTCCTTTCTTTGTATGATAGGTAAGTAGCAAATAATTAAGTATTGAAACATATC